ACGAAACACGACAGCAATTACTCACGCTTACATCAGTAGTGCCACTGAAAATAATAGGACTGCAATTAGGCGGGCTCAGATCCGGGTTTGCAAGAATTTCTAATCGTCACTCCACTTTAAAGTTGAAACGCGTAAGGTGTTTTATTATTGTTATTATTAATTTTCCCTTTAGTTTCTAGCGGAACATACGGCTTCAGTAGCTCGTCTCCATTGCACTCTCTTCTCTGCAGCCTTATGAACCTTGCTCAACAACTGCCCAAAAGCTTTTATTTCTCCCTCACATGATCTCCTCCATGTCACCCTCAGACGCCCAACTCCTCGTTGTTTCCCCTCTGGATTCCACTCAAGGATCTGGCCTGGCGCGTGATATCCCCAATCAGCCTTCTCAGCATACACCCAATCCATCTCCATTTCCTTCTGCATATTTATTGAGCGATAGGTTTTTGTTTGGTTCGTTCTCAGAGTTCCTTGTTGCTTATTCTTTCTGGCCATCTGATCTTCAGTAACGAGCGTAGGCAGCTGTTGATCAATGTCTTTAGTTTGTTGGAAACGCTTTTCGTAACGCGCCAAGTTTCTGAACCATATAGAAGCACTGACTTACTTGACTGACATTAGTGTTGAAAATCCGGATCTTGTTCCCTGTGCTGAGTGCAGTAGATCTCCACACTGATTTCAGATTAATGAAGGCCTGTCTCGCTTTTCCGATCCTGGCTCGCTTTGACGTCCTCGTCTGTGCCGCCTGTAGTCGAAACGATGCCGCCTAGATAGGTGAAAGAGACTACTTCCTTTAGGTTTCTCCCTTTGATGGTGATTGCTGCTTGTTGTTAATGTTGTTGGCTGGGTATCATCACCACCTCCATCCTCTCTACATTCACTTGAAGTCCCGTCTTCACTGCCTCACCTCTTCTGTCAACTTGTTAGTTTTACGCCTGTAGACCTTCGAGTTTGTGCGACATTAGACACAAGTCATCATCAGGGAAATCCAAATCCTCTAGGATCTTTTCCCCGGTCCAGCGTATCCCCTCTTCCCGCTCCTCACTGTTTGCTGCATGATCCAGTTGACCACAATCAGAAAGATCATCGTTGATAGTAGGTGGCAACACTGTTTTACTCCTGTCTTCACTTCAAAGGCGTCACTGAGCTTTCCATTGTGGATCAATTGGCATGTGGCGTCTTCATATAGCTATTGAATGAGGTTGATTAAGGTTTGTGGTACTCCGTAGTGTTGAAGCAGCTGCCGAATTACTTCTCGGTTGACTCTGTCGTAGGCCTATCCGATGTCGATGAAGTTGAGGTAGACAGTTGACTGCCATTCTATGCTCTTTTCTATGATAATGCGTAGCCTTGCAATTTGATCCGCACATGATTTGTTCTTCCCAAAGCCAGCCAGCCTGTTCCCGTCGTAATTTCGAATCCAGTGCATCCTTCAGTGCCTCCAGGATGGTGCGGCATAATATTTTGGTTGGGGTGGACAGGAGTGGAGCATGATTCCTCACCAGTTCTTGCAAAGACTTAGGTCTCCCTTCTTCTACTACTCGGCAGGTACTTTTCCTTCCTTCCAAAGCTTCTGCAGTAGTGGTGTGAGCATGTCCACTGTTGTTTCTGCGTCTGTTTTCAGTGCTTCTGGAGGAATTCCATTTGGTCCCGCTGCTTTCCCGGCTTTAGGTAACTTTATGGCGTTCAGGACTTCGACTTTTGTCGGAGTGCTCGTGTCCACTTGTAGTTCTGTGGCTGCTGGTGGTATTTCTGGACGAGTTGCAGGTGGTGATGGCGGTGGTTTATTCAAGAGTTTTCTGAAGTGGTCAGCCCATTGTTTCCTTTCTTTCTCCACTTTGACAACTGGGTTCCCTTCACTATCTCTCATTGGTTTCATCTGTGTTGATCTCTTCCTAAATAGTAACCTAGTTATCTGATACAATGTTGTCAGGTCTCTGTCTCTCTTACCAACAGCCTGTTCTGCTTTACTTGTGAATGTGTCGTAGAAGTGTCTTTTGGCCTTCCGTGAACTCTTCACTTCCTTGTCCAATGTTTTATACGTTGTACTCAGTTCATCTTTTCGTTGTGCATCCTTGCACTGGTTCATCTTCTGCTTTACCATCTTCCTCTCCTCTATCAGCTTACATGTATCCATCGACATCCATTCATTGTCTTCTTTCTTCTTCCTTCCTAACACGGTTATGCAGGTTACCTTCCATATGGCTTTCGAAGAGTTCTAGTATTCTTCTACACAGGTTTCTTCAGGAAGGTTGCCCAATGTCTCCCATTTTTTCCTGATAGCTGATATGAAGATGTCCTTTGTAGTTTCGTCCTTCAGTTTCTGTTCTGTTCTGGGGTGGGTGTTGAACTTGAACTGTGGTCTATCACCAACTTCCTTGAAGGCTTTCAACTTGATTTTGAAAGTAGGTTCCTTGCACTAGATGGTGAGTGGTGTAAACCTACATCTGTTCCTCTTATTGATCTTTTGTCCGGTAGACTGCGTCTCCCCTTTTTTCAGATTGAGATGAAGTCGATCTGATTTTAAGTGTGTCCATCTGGTGAAGTCCATGTCACTTTGTGAATGTCTTTGTGCTTGTACACAGTACCTCGCCTCCAATCACCGAATCGTTGAATGCGCAGAAATCTGCAAACAATTCTCCATTCTCATTCACTTCACCGTATGCTTCTCGACCCATCATGAGCTCTCTTCCTGTGTTGTCCGCTCCCAGTTCGGCATTCATATCGCCCATGATTGCGGTTGTCTACAGAATTCCTCCTTCTTCTCTTGACTTGCATTATTTGTAAGTGCATAGAGTAGCATTGGATGATTGTGGCTTTTCTTCCTTTTGAGTTGAACCTTGCTGTCATGATTCTGATCGTTGAAGAGATTGGTTCCCACTGCATGAGAGACTTTGATGTTCTTGGAGACATCATGATAGCCACTCCCTCCGTGTGCTCGTGGTTGTCGTCTGGGTGACAATATCGGAGCAGATAATTGACTCTTCAGTTAAGAGTTTGGAGAGTCCACTTCCATTCCATCTGCTTTCGCAGATTCCAAGCACTTCCATGCCATACCTTCTCATCTGTTTTGCAATCTGGGCAGCCTTGCCAGCCGGCTTCAAAAATAGTGTGAACATTCCATGTCCCCATCCTTCCTTTCGCTTTCATCGAGAGGAGACATATCGACCGACTGGCTTCCCGAAGGCTTTCACCAACTGAGGTCATTTCGTCTCTCCGGCTCCAGTGAGGAATAAGTTTAATTTTATTTTCTCATGTTTTTTAGACTTTGGAGTTTCTTTAGCGATTATACTGGTTTTATGGGGTAAAGTTGATAGCCCTGTGCCCAACCTTCCGTCTTTATCCGGGCTTAGGACTGGCTAGTAACCACTGAACTAGTTAGCTAGGCGTGGTTGGTTAAGTGCTGTGGGTTTGAAATAATTAACGAAATCTGAAGATACATAGCTGCAAACAAATAGTCTTAGTGGGTAATTTCTCACACTGCATGCCTCTCATCATGGAAAGATTTCACTTGTACTTGGAGGAGAAAGAAGTTACATGCCATGTATGTGTACACACCGTTATGGTCATTTTGATTAGAAATGGTAGTAGACGGCGTGGAAGTTTAAGAACTGTCCTGGTGCGAACTTGACAGATGCAGATGCCAATCACTAATTTTTAGTACTTGTTCTACATCCGTGAATGCGAGACCAAGAAAGAACACAATAACGTAGTCGGGTGGGATAGGATATTCGCGAGGCCTAGCCAAGATACCTATGCTTTTCAACTAGCTGGTAAAAGGGTCAACTATGAGCATTGCAACGTCACACGACGGCATGCCAAATGACCTGGATGCTTGACCGAGTGCCTTCAGCTTGGCGAGCCCGATCAAACTGTGAAAGTTGGCATCAATGCTGAATCTCATCGAACCCTAGGCTCCTGATTCGAGAGGATGGTGATGCTAGGAAACCTAGACATACTTAGATTAGTTGAAGAACAGTGACCGAAATACACGAACAACTGCATAACGGCAATCCGAATAAAGTTAATGTAATGACGCCCAAATTTTCCACGTGGAAGTAATCCCTATAGTTTCCATTTCATATAATGATATTTTCATTTCATGCTAGTTCGTGAAAATTTCGGCTGACAACCGAAAACCAACCCATTCCACTTGGTGCCACGTCAAATGATCAGAACGACCTACAGGCAGCGCTGAGGCTAAGGCAGAAAAAATGCCATAATTAAATAGCCGAGAGGACCATACCCATACTGGCATTTAATTGCTCTTTTTTTATAACCGAAACATAAGCCCAAATGGTGACGAGATCGACAGTGTACCCAATACCAAGCAAGATATGAGAGAAATGAAGGAAAAAGCTGAACTATAACCGACCGAGTCCATGAAAGATTGTGCGAACCTGCGCTGATGATTGTTTAAGATTTCAGCAATCGCCTTATTATATGTTAGCCAGATGCAGGGTAGAAACGATGGGACAATTTATACATACAGATGTCACCTGCAAATTTATCAGGAGGTTTTACGTCCGTATCTGTGTGTACATTAACCGTAAAAAGTTTTGTAGCTGGCGACAGCTCAAGGCTTAAGGATGATAGCATAGAGCATAGAGCATAGCATAGAGCATTTTGAGCGGTGGAGTGAAAAACTGTTATCAAGTTGCAACTACAGGCAGCTTACCTGCACTACTTACAGACGCAGTATTAGTTTGAAGGAATGGTGAAGAGAAATGGAGATAAGTTGCGTCTTTTGGTGGCAGCAATGATCCTTAGGAATTTGAAGTGCTCAAAATATCCTACAAATTTGAGATTACAGATCACGCTTGCTCTTGGTTCGTACCAGCAAGCAAGATGTCCCCATTTTCGGAAAAGAAGATATTAAGTTGACCCAAAAAGAGTTCAACGGTCCAGCTCTTCTTATATGAAGTAGGCGGTCTTAGATTTTGACATAATACTCGATAAGGATTAATTCTAGCTGCGTGAGCAAATTTTAATTTGTGGACAAAGTGATGCTAGCTCAGCAAAGTAAAGGCAGGTGAACTCAAGGATCTTATAGTAGGTGGAGTAGTAGGGGTTCCGTTGGAAGGTACATCAAATAGGAGAAGGTCCAGAATAGAGCATCTTTGTCTTTACGGTATACAGGTAGATTTGTTCGTATCTATCATTGCATCTGACGTTGCCCACGCTACCAACTGTCAAACAGCCACTGAAAACTCGGATGTAAACTTGCTGAACACTCCGAGACTACTGGTTAAGGAAGGGCATCATTAGAGTAGAGATCATATCTGGGTTTTATGAAGCACCAGTCTGTTGCTGACAAGGATAAAGTTTCCAATGAAGGGCCCAGGCAGTCTATGGGCTTGTTAGAAACGTGCAGTGTGAAAGCAGGGCCGCTACAGCGGGTTGATCATATATCCGGGAGACTCTGCGGTTGAGACAGACTGCAGTGGGAAGTAATTCTGTCCAATCAATAGTCTTGGGTTTGGGAATATTCAACTCTGATACTAGTCCTCACAGTTCTGGCAGACTGGCCAAGCAAGTATAAACGCCATTTGGTGTGTTATGTTATGTTCCGTTGGTCATGTGTGATCTGGCAACTAGTTGGTCAAAACCCAGCGGTTTCTAGGTGCAACCTATCAAATACACCAATCCTACCTGGGTATTATACTGTGTTACTTCTTGTAGCTGCATTCGTGGGTATTGCACGAGTAAGAAGCATTGGTGGCGGGTCTCTACGCTTGTCAAGTTCATATGATGACAGTCCGGTAAGTCTGACACCGCCAAACACAATGGATACCCTTTCTTTTGTCCATCAATACACGTTATACCATAGTCATCGCAAGCGATGTGTAGTTACAGGACTTTACCCTCATACTTCCAAAAGATAAAGACCAAATACTGTTTGGAGTATCTTATGTACAAGGGGACTTCTGGGAAAGAAATATATGCCAGATATACCGTGGCAACCAATCAGTTATCCAGAGCGCTTTGATAAATTCATAAGCATTCTTGAAACAGAGGGTTGGCAACAACATGTGCAACACCCTGCCGGGTACAATAGTATCCTGGACCTGGTCTTCACAGACGGAACCACACCCATTAAACTCCAAGTGGGCACACAACTTCCAGGTAGCGATCACAAAATATTATATGGATACTTCAACATATCCAGCACAAAATTAGCTCAAAAGTCAGGAACATTACTAACCAGAAACTACAAGAATGCCAAATGGGACGAACTACAATCTTTTCTGTGCTGCCTAGATTGGAACCCCTACTTTACCAACAGTTTAGCCAAAGAACTTTGTGATCCATTCTATGAATATATAGGCACAGCTCAAGACTATATTGCTCCACCGCTCCAAAGAGAAATTAAGAAAAACAGAGTCGACTATATACCTACGAAAGTACGCAACCGCATGCGAGACCATGCCAGAGGGTACTATAAGTCGAATGACTCTTCATTGCTTGTCACACTCAGAGACGTATACGACACATTCAAGGTAGCAAGAGTACTGGAAGCCGTTAGGCAAGAACGCATCCAATGTAGTTAAACTAGTGATACAGAAGCACCAGTGAGACTGATGAAAACCCGGACAAACAGCTCCAGAAATAGTACCACTAGTTTAATGATAGACAGCGGTATCCTCTACGACGATCCACTACAAATCAGCGAGCTGTTCGGCTACCAGTTTGCTAGCTGCTTTACACAACAGGATGAAATTAAAGTCACTGGTACACCGTGAACACCGACTCACTCGATAAGTACTGTTCTCTCCACTGAACGAAACATTTCTCTAGCTATGGCATTACTTCCAACCTCATACAACGCTGGACCTCATGGGACTCCAACCATCTTGTTAAAAAGAGGTGGCAAAGATAAACCGCTGATTCTCTTGAAGCTCTTTAATGCGTCCCTCTCCAGTGGCAATTACCCTGAGAACTGGAAGCTATCATACATACGTCCTGAGCATAAATGTGGACAAACATCCAGTATAGAAAACTACCCACCTTCAAACATCACGTCAGTAGTATCCAGGACTATGAAAAAGGTGATTGTGACAGCAGTTGTCGACTGCACGATGACAAAGCAATTACACTCACTAGTAAAACATGGATTCGTGGGAAGCCGTTCATGCGCTAACAGCTACCTTGGCTATCTAGACGGCACTAAAAGCAAGCGTGATCAAGGCCTATTTGTAACTACCATTTTCTTAGACTTCAAGCAAGCATTCGATAAGGTGCCTCACGAACGCCTGGTTGATCTACTCCTGCGTATTTTTGTGCTCCTGTTTCGAATTCCGCTTGCTGCTCGCTTCTGTTATTCACTTTTTAGGTTCACCTAACCATTCCTGCATTCAAATGGAATCCCACTAATCGCATTGTCAGTAGGAACCTTGCAATCGAAACCCTATGACGAGCGCACACACTCTGAGGTCATGACTGTACTGCCTGCCCCACCTTCAAGAATATTGGAAGATTCGGACAATAACCGAATAATTCCTAATCTCGAACTGAGCCTGCTTCAACACACCTCTTATATGCCATAAATAACGGTATCTAACGTATAGCTTAACATTGTACATAATAATCATTTCTCATTACCAAAATGATCAAACCTGTAAACTGGTTTGTAATCATGTAACCTTTGTTGTATGAAATATATATTATTATTATTATCAGCATTATAATTTGCTCAGGGTCACCTATGAAGAAGAGTGTATATTCGTGCAGAAATCAAGTAGATGTGTCATTGACACAACTCGGAAACTGTCACACGTCATGATCAGGATGAAATACGTTTTGTCCTTTACTATCTTCTTTTCCTAGGCCACATTCTATCTGTGCACTTCGTACAAACTATGCCCCTTTGTTACATTGCCATAACCCAGACTTAACCACTGGCCATTTGCGTAATATATACCACTCTAGATGTGGCTTTATCAGCTGTAAATCATAATCACTACAAAGAACCCAGATGTTTTGTTCCATCCGGACCATCGCCATATCTATGGTGCAACTAGTTTCCGTGGTTGTTTCTCCTTCTCTCCATCCAATTATTATCTGGCAACCACGACCGCCGCTTAGATAATGCCTGATGTTGTGTGGGGTAGTATGTTTACATGCATAAGAATCATGACAAGCCATTGCTCTTTTAAAACAGATGATTCCTGACCGATTTCAGTACATATCCACCTTATCTTATGGACACCTAGACTACTGTCTTGTTGGCTAATTTGATGGAGTAGTGATTCAAAGTTACTGACAAGAATCACTACGAGTTCCGTGGAGCAGACGTCCTACAAATCGTACGACTTACCCACACTAACGCTGAAGGCTGCACTTAGTAAAGTCGAAGATATTAGTTGCATGTTTAGTACCCAATGAAAATTTGAACCGCACGTCGCGTCGACATCATCTCCATCCATACAAAGCGTATTAGCTACTCAGAGAAGATTCCAAAAGAACTTGCTGATTAACAGTACGATCAGTGAGATCATTCTTAAAACAGATGACATTTATAATATTTCCCACATCCTGCCACATGAAACTTAATATGATAATCGATAACATTTCCATTCTGGAGTTAGAGGAAGTTTAAGGATAAATAGACGGACAGCTTTACCCCTAAGCAAAAATGTTAGAGGGTAGCACATGCTTCCAAGAAGGGCCACACATGCCCATGCCATGGTTATGCTACTGACGAAGCAGTGTTATTACTGAGTGTATCCCAATCAACGTCTTGCAGTCTTGGCTGGACAGATGCCCACTGTTTGGGTGGTAGGCGCCGTGTGCTGGGGTATTTGATGCAAAGACACAACGTAACTACGCTACCGATGACGATAATTGATTTATTGAATATATCGCGTAACCATTTCTGAGGGCACGATATCTGTGGCATTTTCCGGAACATTTCATATTTATTGGTCAGTTTCAAGCGAACATCAATCCCTTAGGATGCTATCCACCTCATAGAAGACTTCTCGTTCGGACAACAGTCCCTCATTGCCTTTCATGTCCACCGGTCACATCAGATGAATTATGGTAGTGAGTCAAATTTCCTTCAGTCCTTTTTCGAAACGATCATGCAGGACGTCCCATGTACCTTGAAACTGCAAACTGCCTTTTCCTTCTGGGTCGGAATATGATCATTATTCTTCACTAAAAGGCCAAGACCTTGGCATGGGTAATTCATACCCTGCGGAAGGATACACATTTTAGAAACTTGAGGCTGTCGTCATTCCGGACGTAGCTGTCGCTACTTTTAAGATCTCTCTACATTAGAAAACTATCATTTGAAATTTATCAACCTATCAAAACCAAACTTTCGCAACTATCCTGTTGCTGCCCTTACATGACTGCTGTACATTCGTCAACAAAATGGAGGCTAACGGTGTCAGTAGACTTCCGAAACCAACGCATCTGAAGTTCGTCCCCACTCCTAGGCTACTAGCCATCCCACTTGGCCCACATGCCTTCCCCACGGACACCCTACACGCGTAGCGTAACGTGATTGACCGCATATGAGTGGCTCCAAACTCAGGCTGCCATCCAGAGGCAAGAGTGGTCAGCGACGTGGCTCCGGCCCAGCTTCCGGAATCTTTGCAGTGCTAAGTCATCCTTCATAGCGTGAAATACCTGTCCTGGAGCATATATCGGTCCTCCATTATCTCCCCTACTTGTAGAGAAGTGGTCGTCAAGGTTCTCTTGGCGGTCCCTCATGCAGGTTATGCCTCCGTACTCAACGCCCACGGCTTCGGTACTCCTTCCATCTTCTTCGGGATGGAAGGAAGGCACAACAGATCCCTGAATCAGAAGTTGGAGAATGCAAGCACGGCTTCCGATCTCTCAGATTTAGTGGGAGATGCTTTACCCTGGGGACCTCAGGGAAATGCACAGCACCTGAACTTTGATCTGATGAGCGATGATCCTCCTGTTGGGGCCATATGTATCTTATCCACTCTTGGTCTCAGTGATCACGGAGTAATAACCTTCTCCATTATTACCAAGTGGGCTCCGCAAAGGGAGGCACCTCAAAGTCTCCCCTTTTACACCAAGGCCAAATCTGAGACCGTGAAATTTTACGTCATGAATGCACCACGGCTTATGGACTGAGCTTTCCTCACGACAGATGACCACTGGATACAGGTGGAGGGAATAACCGGTGGCGTCACTAGTCACAGTGCACCAGAGGTTATACACAGACCAACGGGGAGAACCTAGTGGCTAAAGAGGTGGACAGAAAGGCTGCCTCAGACAAAGAAGCAGGCTTGGTTTAAGTGCTGTTCATCGTGTAGGGAATCCGAATCCTTGAACTACAAAAGACCCCGCAACCGTTGAAGCATATGAGCCCGTGGACTCAGGTTTAGCTATCAGACAAACCTAGTGGGGAGATTAGGAAGTAACCTTAAAAGCCTGTGCCGCCTCACGTCAAAAAGGAAGGGGGCCAGCGAAGGAGTGAATCTTATCGCAGGTTCTGATGGGGGTGTACTAAGCAGTCTAGAGATAGATGAGCTTCAGAGCACGCTCTTCCGAGCTCAACTTAGTACTGACGTTAAATCTGCACCGATTCAATACGATATTCGTCAGACCATAAATGACGAATTCCCCTGCCACACCCCAGTTACTGAGAACAAAATATAATAGAAACTATCCAGGCTACATCCAGGCAAGTCCCATGGCTGCGACTACCCGAAACCAGCAATCCTAAAATACTGCGTCAAGGTGCTCCCAAAACCAATCTGCAACTTCTTTATGCACTCAGCAGCGCCATGCAAACTCCAGAAAGGATGGAAGTGCGCGATCTTGTCACTCATCTTCAAGGGAGGAGACAGAAAAACCCGTGCAGCTACAAACTTATTGCCCTACTCTCTATGCTGTCTGAAGCATTAGAAAGCCTGATAGCCGACAGATGATAATGATAGCCGACGAGGTCTGGGAATTCCCCAACGGGGAAAACGCAGTCCACACCGCTCAGCATGTCTTTCGGAGTGATCCTTCGTGTACCACCAACTTGTTGATGTTCTGAAATGACTGGACACAGCTGGACAACGGACGTACATGCTATTTTTCTCGGCCTAACCAGAGAACTTGGCAGCGTTTCTGCTACAGTCAAGCTTCATAAGATCACGTCAGCCGGTATAAGTGAACGACTATTCTCTTGGTTCAAGGAGTACGTAGAAGGCGGACAGTTCTGCTTCAAGGCAAGTGGAATATGGTCAGAGGGAGACCACCGACATCAGGGGTATCTCAAAGAGCAATCATAGGACCACTTCTGTTCCCTCTGCTTGTCAGTGATCTGTCACACAAAATCTCCTCACCCATTCTCCTCTCCCCTGGAGACAGTGATGTAAAGGAGGAAGCATAATGTACAGCACCACAAAATGACCTGCAGCGACCTGAATTCTGGTTTTCAGAAAATGGCTCTAGCTTCTACCTGGAAATGTGCAGAGCAGTGCACATTACTGCCAACCAGGCAAGAGCTGCTGAACTCCAATACAAGTTGGGTAACGGTGGTATTGCCAGAGTATCCACGGAAAAACATCTGTGGCTTATCTTCTCTGACGCCCTGAACACCGGCACTAACTATGGAGGAATGGTACGAGGAGCAAAAGTCGCTCTACACTTTCCGCGTAGACGCCTTGGTTACCCCACCCCTGAACTATTTCTCACAGTTTTCAAATCCTACGGAGGCCCAAGCCTAGAAGTCTTCAATGCGGCGGCACCACAAACGCTTAGGAGAGATTCTAATCTCCTTGAAAAGAAATACAAGGACTTGCAACAAAATCACTTGTGGGACCAGGGAGGGGGCATGTTTCGGAGGACTAAAACACTTAAACCCATTCACCTTGGGCTGTCGCGGAAAAAGGTGGGTGCCCTTTTTGTGAGCAACAAGATCATCCATCAGTCAAATCACCTAAACAAACTAGCCTTGCTTGCTACACAGGGGTTATCACGAGGAAACCGTGTACATCAGAGAGCTGACACCGCCTTCAGGTCCAACTTTTTCTATTGAGAGCATGTGCTTTATGGAATGCCCATCCACGAGATGTAGTCACAGCCTCCTCGGTAGACTCATTCAAAAGACAGGTAGACAGTCATGTCATTCCACAGGGTTTACCACAGAGGTAATAGGGGAATAAGTGACCTCACCAGCCCACCCTCACTTCTCCTCCACCTACTGCTTACAACCTCTCTTCTTGATACACCAATAATGTCTACTAGCTCCTCTCTTACAGCTAGACCCAAGCTATCTAATTTTGCCTTTTGAGCATTCCCACTTACTTTTTCCCACTATCCTTTCGTTCCTACTCAGGCGCCTACTGAGTCAGGAGTCACAAGAGACCCCTAGTCTTCCCAGCAGCCGTACCTCCTTAGCCACCCTACAAATTGAAATTTACTAGCCCACAAAAATATTCACCTCACCCACGCCAAAAACATGAGAGCAGAAGAGCATTCCTTGTCCACTGCAGGGGCCAACCGAAAAACTCGAACCAAGCCCTACGAACTAGACATGAGAGGTCGAAAACTCAGTTTCCTCCGCTCTCACTGTCAGTGCTGGGTGTTTGATCGACTTTTACTCCCCGAGAACCTTCCACGTAACTTTCCCACTATCCTGCTATTCCTATTACGCCGTCTCATTGGGAAGGAGTCGTGAAAGACTCCTAATCTTCCCACTAACCCATAGATCCTTAACGAACTTTATCTACAAGCTGCAAATGTCATCCCTTAAAAACATTCATCTCACCAAAACTAGAAGTAGGAGAGTGGAAGTGATTGCTTTGCCTGCTATCCAAGGAAACCGACCAACTGGAATAATGTTTCAAGAAGTGGACGTGAGAGATCAAAATCTATCATTTTCTTACTCGCTCACCATTGTTCTAGGAAGTCAGGTATTTGGCCGCGGGTTATTCCAAATTGTTGAGGTATTGAAGGTCAGTTTTTCCTTAGTCTTTATTGTTGTTTGGATTCTAGTATGGCTTAAGAAATTGTTTGTAATATCGCTAGTCAAGTGTAGGGTTTTGAATAGTAGTTTTTTCACCCAATGTTGCAAACTCTTCGAATGCTGACGTGTTTTGCCTCGTCTCCAATCTTCACGGAGTCATCATAAATACACCTATCCAATTGGATCTTTCAGTTTCAAAACCAACAGTTTTGCAAACAAAAACTGTCTGCGAAATGTAAACTTTCCAATTGGTCACTAACACAACTCTCCAACCGCACAACGTTTTGGTAGGTCTATCTGGCTAGACAGCTGACTCGATCAGCTGCCGTAGCTCAGGTTGCTGCATCTGCAGTACTATTTCTCACTTGATCACACATCCTAGATTTTTATCATTTTTGTGAGTTATAGAACCAGAAAACCTAAGGTAGGATTGACAAGTTACTTTAATTATTATAGACTTCCTACATTTTACCTGAACTAAGCATTTTTATTTTTATCGTATCTACTTGTCAAATGAGTAGCAAAAGTTTCTCAGTTAATTCTGGCCCCCGAAACATCAAGTGAAGCCTCACCTCAGTGACCACCCCTTTCTTGGTAATAACTAAGGTCGGAGGTATTATTATTAATTGTCCCTTGGGTTTCTAGTGGGACATACGGCTTCAGTAGCTCGTCTCCATTGCACTCTCTTCTCTGCAGCCTTATGAACCTTGCTCAACAACTGCCCAAAAGCTTTTATTTCTCCCTCACATGATCTCCTCCATGTCACCCTCAGACGCCCAACTCCTCGTTGTTTCCCCTCTGGATTCCACTCAAGGATCTGGCCTGGCGCGTGATATCCCCAATCAGCCTTCTCAGCATACACCCAATCCATCTCCATTTCCTTCTGCATATTTATTGAGCGATAGGTTTTTGTTTGGTTCGTTCTCAGAGTTCCTTGTTGCTTATTCTTTCTGGCCATCTGATCTTCAGTAACGAGCGTAGGCAGCTGTTGATCAATGTCTTTAGTTTGTTGGAAACGCTTTTCGTAACGCGCCAAGTTTCTGAACCATATAGAAGCACTGACTTACTTGACTGACATTAGTGTTGAAAATCCGGATCTTGTTCCCTGTGCTGAGTGCAGTAGATCTCCACACTGATTTCAGATTAATGAAGGCCTGTCTCGCTTTTCCGATCCTGGCTCGCTTTGACGTCCTCGTCTGTGCCGCCTGTAGTCGAAACGATGCCGCCTAGATAGGTGAAAGAGACTACTTCCTTTAGGTTTCTCCCTTTGATGGTGATTGCTGCTTGTTGTTAATGTTGTTGGCTGGGTATCATCACCACCTCCATCCTCTCTACATTCACTTGAAGTCCCGTCTTCACTGCCTCACCTCTTCTGTCAACTTGTTAGTTTTACGCCTGTAGACCTTCGAGTTTGTGCGACATTAGACACAAGTCATCATCAGGGAAATCCAAATCCTCTAGGATCTTTTCCCCGGTCCAGCGTATCCCCCTCTTCCCGCTCCTCACTGTTTGCTGCATGATCCAGTTGACCACAATCAGAAAGATCATCGTTGATAGTAGGTGGCAACACTGTTTTACTCCTGTCTTCACTTCAAAGGCGTCACTGAGCTTTCCATTGTGGATCAATTGGCATGTGGCGTCTTCATATAGCTATTGAATGAGGTTGATTAAGGTTTGTGGTACTCCGTCTTGTTGTAGAGGTCGTACTGCTGCTAGCTGGATGGTGTGTGACAGCAGTAAGGTGTTTCCCTTGGATGACCAGCAGTACCATGCTGATGCTGCCTTCACAGTGAAGGGGGGTGGTTAGAAAAGGTTGGCCCCAAAAGTGACACTCCACCATGTCCGTCGGTCTGCCGGGCCGGCGGTGTTGGTTCATTTGTCGTTTCCTCTCCACTATCCGGCTCCAAAAATACAAAAGTTCACAATAATCATACTTAAAAGGCTACGTGTGACAGGCCTCAAGCAGATGTCCGATGGGCTCTGCGGTCACACAAATCTCTTTCAGGTACCTTAAGAAGAAACAGCCTTCCACAGTGTGGGCAGCCGGGAAGTATCAACCGCCCTCACAACTCAATCAGCACTCGAGTTTCCTCAGACTGCTATCCACCTCCTCCATCATTACCTCCTATTCTTCCTTCACGTCTCTTAATTAATGATGCTGCATCATCTTCAATTTCTCCTACCTCTAGCAGCCTTCGACAACGATCTGAGTCCACAGAACAGCATCACTGGTCTCCTTAAACCACGCTCCAAATTGCAGGTGTAGACATAGCACTAAGGACTAGAGCAGAAAACTCACTACTAGACTGGATCCCAGTTGATAGTCGCCTCTGCGCTATCCGACTTAACGGCACAGTGAGAACTAAAGGGAACAGTGAAACTTGTTACTGTCTCTTTGTAAACTCTGCTTACGCACCCACTGACTGCAGCTTGGATGAAGTGAAGGACGAGTTCTACCATAAACTGTCTAACCTCCTCTCGAAAGCCAAACGTTCGGACGTGGTGGTTGTTGCAGGTGACCTCAACGCACAGGTGGGTAGACTGAGTGAGGCAGAAAGGCACTTAGGTGGCACTTTCGGAATCCCAGCTGAACGTACAGATAACGGTGATCGCCTATTACAACTATGCTCAGATAACCGCCTATTTTTAGCCAGCACCAATTTCAGACATAAAGAAAGGCACTGTCTGACCTGGCGTCCACCGAGCTCGACTCAGCGATGGACACAGATAGACCACATTGCTATTAGTCATCGCTGGAGAGGATCGATGGGAGACTGCCGCTCCTTCTGGAGTACGTGTTTGGACAGCGATCATGCGTTGGTCCGAGCACGTATATGCCTGCGTCTCAATGGACGTAAAAAAATTTGGCAACAAAACCACTACGAGTTTTGCTGGAAAACGAAAACACCAAAGCCGTGTTCAGTGAGAAGTTGGCTAGGCAGTTATCGAAACAAAATACTGTCACTCATCCAGAAGAAGCTTGGTGCCATCTTCAGTCTGCTGTAAAAGCAGCACTGAAGACTGTAACCGACTCCAAAACAGTGGCTAAAAAGAGCCAGTGGATATCAGCAGCTTCTTCCGAACTAATGGATGCACGTGAATGCATCTCTGCAGGCTCTGAGCACAATGAAGAGCGAGTGCAACTTACAAGTAGACTGAGAAAAAGTCTACTCAACGATTGCGAACAGTAGTGGGCAGCGAAGGCTAGAGACAGAAAAGGCAGCTGTGATCGGTAATAGTAGACAGTTATTTTGACTTATTAAGATTAGGGGGAAAAGGTCAACAACAGTTAGTGAGGCTATAGCAGAAAAGGACGGATCTGCGATTTACTCGCAGGGGAGACTACTGGGACGATGCGCAGAACACTTCGAGGAACAGTTTAACTGGCCTCCAGCCACTATTGCGTTGCCCGCTATTTAGTCGGATCTTGAATGGGACATAGAGATAGGTCTCGCAACACTAGAAAAAGTTGAGAAGGCGGTAGGTAACCTGAAACGAGGAAGGGCAGCAGGACCAGACGGACTACCTGCTGAGGTATACGAGAATGGTAGTGCAGTGCTCTGAGTCAGGTTGACAGATGTGTTAACTAGTATGTGGTAATCAAATACGATCCCCTCTGACTGGTATAAATCACTGATTATCTCAGTCTTCAAGAAAGGTGATAAGTCCTCTTGTGATAACCACAGGGGAATCAGCCTGACTAACATGGTGTCTAAGATTTTAGGTTCCGATAATTCTCCGATGCCTAAGTGGAGCTCGGGAACAGAAAACCCGAGAAAACCAAGCAAACTTTAGACCCAGCCGCGGGTGTATCTACCAAATATTCACACTGCGCCAGGTTCTGGAACATAGGCACGCTTACAGACGCCCGACAATATCTGTATTTCTCGACCTGAAGACATGACTCCGTTGATCGAGAAGTCTTATGGCAATGTCTCTCACTGAAAGGCGTGCCTAGTAAGTACATCACCTTAATGAAAGCTCTCTACTCGAACACTTTTGAGCATGTTAGAGCCTATGGTGAGCTGTCCAGGGAGCTATGCTCATCGAGTGGTGTCCGTCAAGGATGCCCACTGTCTCCATTCTTATTCAATTTCATCACAGATACTCCTATGGAGGTCTGCCTCTCGTCACCAGGTTACACAGACGTTGACCTTATCACAGAATTTTCGTTAGACCTAGAGTATGCAGATGACATAGTCCTGTTAGGTGAAGACGCTGACAAGATGCAGAGACTTCTAAACACTTTGAGAATGTTTGGGATGCATTTCTCATCAGCCAAATGCAAATTATGCTCCGGGATCGGTCTTCAGCGGTGCCGTGGTTAACAATAGAGAGTGAGGTGGTTGCATGTGTTAACCACTTCACTTACCTGGGAAGTAGGATCAGCCCTGGTGGGTCAGTTGCCGATGAAATCTCTGCACGGATGCAAAAGGCTCGATTGGCTTTTGCCAACTTACGTCACCTATGGCACCACCGTGATATCCGATTGTCTATTAAGGGTCGCGTGTACTGCACAGCAGTGCGGTCTGTTCTGCTGTATGACTGTGAAACATGGCCATTGAAAGTGGAAGATGTGAGAAGGCTTCAAGTGTTTGACCACCGTTACCTTCTTAGTATAGGCCGTATTCCATGGTGTCACCACGTGAGTAATGCAGAAGCCAGGAGTAGAGTTTTAGGGAGTAGAGGTAAATCAGTTGACGAGGTTATGAACCTTCATCGATTGAGATAGTTGGGACATGTACTACGTATGCCTAGTCACCGATTGCCTCTTCACACAATGTTGGCCGAAGTAGGCCCAGGATGAAAAAAGGCCTGAGGTGTTTAGACTAAAACATGGCACCAATGTATGAAGTCTCTGACTGTTGGTCTGAGCCATGTGGGGTGATGCAGGCTAGCTGGTTGGGGTCCGCGGGACACGAAAAACCAGTGGTTGGAAACTAGGGGATATGGCCGAAAACCGATGTCAGTGGCGCAGATGTATACACACATTATCGTCATCTTAACGACCCTATACCGAATCTCACCATTTTGTCATTCCTCTTTTCCTTCCTCTCCTACTTCATATTTCTTTTAACTACATCATCCTATCTTCATCCTTCACCTCTTACCTTTCTCCTTGATGTACTGTACTGAGCTGTGGCAACCAGGACCGTTACGCAGTAATGCCTAGTCCTATGTTGATATTCATTAATTGATTGATCATAATCTCCGTCCCCTCTACATTCACTTGAAGTCCCGTCTTCACTGCTTCACCTCTTCTGTCAACTTGTTAGTTTTACGCCTGTAGACCTTCGAGTTTGTGCGACATTAGACACAAGTCATCATCAGGGAAATCCAAATCCTCTAGGATCTTTTCCCCGGTCCAGCTTATCCCCTCTTCCCGCTCCTCACTGTTTGCTGCATGATCCAGTTGACCACAATCAGAAAGATCATCGTTGATAGTAGGTGGCAACACTGTTTTACTCCTGTCTTCACTTCAAAGGCGTCACTGAGCTTTCCATTGTGGATCAATTGGCATGTGGCGTCTTCATATAGCTATTGAATGAGGTTGATTAAGGTTTGTGGTACTCCGTAGTGTTGAAGCAGCTGCCGAATTACTTCTCGGTTGACTCTGTCGTAGGCCTATCCGATGTCGATGAAGTTGAGGTAGACAGTTGACTGCCATTCTATGCTCTTTTCTATGATAATGCGTAGCCTTGCAATTTGATCCGCACATGATTTGTTCTTCCCAAAGCCAGCCAGCCTGTTCCCGTCGTAATTTCGAATCCAGTGCATCCTTCAGTGCCTCCAGGATGGTGCGGCATAATATTTTGGTTGGGGTGGACAGGAGTGGAGCATGATTCCTCACCAGTTCTTGCAAAGACTTAGGTCTCCCTTCTTCTACTACTCGGCAGGTACTTTTCCTTCCTTCCAAAGCTTCTGCAGTAGTGGTGTGAGCATGTCCACTGTTGTTTCTGCGTCTGTTTTCAGTGCTTCTGGAGGAATTCCATTTGGTCCCGCTGCTTTCCCGGCTTTAGGTAACTTTATGGCGTTCAGGACTTCGACTTTTGTCGGAGTGCTCGTGTCCACTTGTAGTTCTGTGGCTGCTGGTGGTATTTCTGGACGAGTTGCAGGTGGTGATGGCGGTGGTTTATTCAAGAGTTTTCTGAAGTGGTCAGCCCATTGTTTCCTTTCTTTCTCCTCTTTGACAACTGGGTTCCCTTCACTATCTCTCATTGGTTTCATCTGTGTTGATCTCTTCCTAAATAGTAACCTAGTTATCTGATACAATGTTGTCAGGTCTCTGTCTCTCTTACCAACAGCCTGTTCTGCTTTACTTGTGAATGTGTCGTAGAAGTGTCTTTTGGCCTTCCGTGAACTCTTCACTTCCTTGTCCAATGTTTTATACGTTGTACTCAGTTCATCTTTTCGTTGTGCATCCTTGCACTGGTTCATCTTCTGCTTTACCATCTTCCTCTCCTCTATCAGCTTACATGTATCCATCGACATCCATTCATTGTCTTCTTTCTTCTTCCTTCCTAACACGGTTATGCAGGTTACCTTCCATATGGCTTTCGAAGAGTTCTAGTATTCTTCTACACAGGTTTCTTCAGGAAGGTTGCCCAATGTCTCCCATTTTTTCCTGATAGCTGATATGAAGATGTCCTTTGTAGTTTCGTCCTTCAGTTTCTGTTCTGTTCTGGGGTGGGTGTTGAACTTGAACTGTGGTCTATCACCAACTTCCTTGAAGGCTTTCAACTTGATTTTGAAAGTAGGTTCCTTGCACTAGATGGTGAGTGGTGTAAACCTACATCTGTTCCTCTTATTGATCTTTTGTCCGGTAGACTGCGTCTCCCCTTTTTTCAGATTGAGATGAAGTCGATCTGATTTTAAGTGTGTCCATCTGGTGAAGTCCATGTCACTTTGTGAATGTCTTTGTGCTTGTACACAGTACCTCGCCTCCAATCACCGAATCGTTGAATGCGCAGAAATCTGCAAACAATTCTCCATTCTCATTCACTTCACCGTATGCTTCTCGACCCATCATGAGCTCTCTTCCTGTGTTGTCCGCTCCCAGTTTGGCATTCATATCGCCCATGATTGCAGTTGTCTACAGAATTCCTCCTTCTTCTCTTGACTTGCATTATTTGTAAGTGCATAGAGTAGCATTGGATGATTGTGGCTTTTCTTCCTTTTGAGTTGAACCTTGCTGTCATGATTCTGATCGTTGAAGAGATTGGTTCCCACTGCATGAGAGACTTTGATGTTCTTGGAGACATCATGATAGCCACTCCCTCCGTGTGCTCGTGGTTGTCGTCTGGGTGACAATATCGGAGCAGATAATTGACTCTTCAGTTAAGAGTTTGGAGAGTCCACTTCCATTCCATCTGCTTTCGCAGATTCCAAGCACTTCCATGCCATACCTTCTCATCTGTTTTGCAATCTGGGCAGCCTTGCCAGCCGGCTTCAAAAATAGTGTGAACATTCCATGTCCCCATCCTTCCTTTCGCTTTCATCGAGAGGAGACATATCGACCGACTGGCTTCCCGAAGGCTTTCACCAACTGAGGTCATTTCGTCTCTCCGGCTCCAGTGAGGAATAAGTTTAATTTTATTTTCTCATGTTTTTTTAGACTTTGGAGTTTCTTTAGCGATTATACTGGTTTTATGGGGTAAAGTTGATAGCCCTGTGCCCAACCTTCCGTCTTTATCCGGGCTTAGGACTGGCTAGTTTCTAGTGAACTTTGTTAAGCGGGCGAGGTTGGCGGTAGGAGGCGTAAGACCGGTTCGGACGACCACGGGTCGACTTCAGTAGGACAGTTACAAATACCAATTTTCGAGGAACGCCGGATTAATGCTCCATGGTGGTCATCTGAACAGTGGAATCGTACCACACAACCACTGTAACAGTTCTTTTGGTAGTGTAATGAGAATCTCCCTTCAGATGATGAAAACTCATGTGTGTTTCCACGTTTTCTCGCCGTGAGTTTACAGCCGTTGAAACTCATTGTCTGCTGAGAATTTTACTACTTCGTCTGTCGATAGCCTCAAAAGGAGTTTGGGCAACTACACAGCGACGCACAGCTGGCTCTCATCCAGTGGCCTACGGCCTAGGTCGATATCACCAACTAATCCTGCCTAATCCAGCTTAGTTAATCCTTTACAAAATCTTGTGTACTGGCATTATCATCATGAACTTAACCTTATACTTTCCTGTTAGATGTCTCACACCCAGTCACCCTACCCCCGCCAGTAACATTATTATTTCCATCCCCATAGTTCGTTCCGTGATCTAACTTGCTCCTTCTTTTCCCTCTTACTCTATAATCTCACCCTGTTTGTTAAAGTTCTCCTTATCACTTTTATCTCTCTTGAATCTACCTAGGTTTCCCCTCCTTTCCCTAACACTTCTTTCCACCTTACGTTTTTTTTTTACAGATCCTCTGCCTTGATTTCTCAGGACACCTTTTCTTGCTTCCTGTCCTGTTGCGACAATTCCAAGCAACTGTCTGGTGATGCGATATTTTACAAAGCCATCTGCACCACAGTCACAGGACAAATGTTGTTATCCCTGCAGATTTAATCAAAACCCTGCCGCTCATCGTGTTTACTAGAGCTAGAGCAGGCGAGTGGATAGATCTACTGCATCGAAATCCACTAAAGATACATCACCGTTCCGCAAGACCTAGAAATGAGTGCAAAGAAATCAGTTTGTTTACACTAGCTCGTAAAAGGATATTGGATATTAGATTATGATAACAATAACAACGTAAAAGCTGAATTTCTGATGTTAACTAAAATCCTGTTTTGAAATACCTTGTTTATGAAAATTTCGAGTACATTTTGGGCTATCAAAGTCTTCGGTTAACTCGTATAGCCAAGAGACCCTCCTAGCTTTTCTGTTTGTCATTTTGCGTGCATACTCATCCCAGTCAAACAGGATTGTGGAAATAATGCCGGTAATTGATTAGGAATATGAAGATGCGAAATTTAAACGGATTTTTATGGCTTCACCTCATAATTTACGGACTTGTGGGATAGTTTACGTCTGCGTGTGTAAATACAGCTTTCATCACGCTTTATTTATGGACAACTTGTGCACTACCAACTAAAATTCATATGTGTAACTGGAAATACTTTATTACTTTCACGTGAAGCATTCTAATTTTCTTCCACGCACGCCATATGAGTTAGCCTACTTTAATACTTGGGTATTTTTGAATCACATGAATAGAATATATATATGCTTTGTTGTAACATCAGTAAAACGCTGTTACTTCTAGCACTTCACAGAAATAGGGATCTGCCTCTGAACTTTGAATTATCATGTGGTAATGGGCTATTCTTGTGTACAGTTTATAAGTTTATCTTTGATATTTCTCTTTTCAACCATTTTCAGGTTTTAGCTATCCACCTGTTTTTCATGTGCGCAGATCTTTTACTATCCGGACAATAATGGAATTTTGTTGTCTATCAGCAGGAGCCAATCACTTTTCAGTCGAAGAGCGCTGTAGTTTATTTTGTAGAATTATGAAGATGTTCATATATTTCAGCGGTCAGTTTCCAGATTTGTCTCTCTTAGATCCTCCCCAGAATGGATTGGATAGAGGACCGCATTTGGTGTGTTTATCCTGTCTACTAATTATTCATTTCCATTTCAGAAACATTTACACCCAAAACTAGTGAAATTCATTCAGTCAGTCGTGGAAATAGAATCTCATCTTTTGATATCCAAATCAGAATCTATTGTTTACTTCCTTATCATGATAGGTGGTCTACCAAGTAATCCAAAACGTGCGCTCCTTGTAGACCTTAGCCATTTTTATCCTAATACCGCAAATGCAAGTACGGTGAATGCTAGTATTTTCAGAGAATTGTTTGAATCGCTTATACAGTCACCATTTTTCAATAACGTCTTTAAGTGTTATACGCCTACACAGACCTACGTATATATTTGTGCATCAAAAGATTTTTCATCATCATGGTTTCTTCCTCGTCTGCAATTTCGTTTACCTCAAACTTGTCCTGTTTACGTGTTGAAAGTTGTTCCTGACATTGCAATGTCTTCTGAAGAGAGTAATCAGACTGAAAATTCATTATCATCCCAAAAGTTACGTAGGGCTTTGTATGAATTGCCTTCTGAACTGCGATGGTACGCTTCTCCACTAGTTCTTGTTGGTGTAAAGCCTATATGAATCTTTTATTTATGCGCACAACTAAGTAAAATTTTGTAAGATACACATTAATGTTCAAAGTATTCCAGTGCTGTTATCGTTGTGCTTGAGTTTTATTTCACGATAAAGTCATGTATATAGTTGAAACGTGCTACTTTCCGAATAATTTCAATGTATATACTAATTGTAAATATATAAAAATATATGTGTACTGTTATTTACAGTTGTTCTTCAGGTGATTAGGGACTTCTAACTACTTTGCTGTGGTCAGATAAATCCGCAATCTAACTGCAAACAAAATAAAAAAAAGTACTAATTATCTTCGCTTGTTTTTGTCGCTTTAGTAGTACTTCTGCTTTCCGTTCGCTGATTACTTTTGACTAAAGAAATCTATGCCTACAGTTTTTGTAAGCTGTGTAACTTTTACTTGATATGAATGGTGATCACCTGTACTAACATAACTGAAAGTTTGTTGTAGTGTAGGCTGTTCAGATTGCAAAACAGATGAGAAGGTATGGCATGGAAGTGCTTGGAATCTGCGAAAGCAGATGGAATGGAAGTGGACTCTCCAAACTCTTAACTGAAGAGTCAATTATCTGCTCCGATATTGTCACCCAGACGACAACCACGAGCACACGGAGGGAGTGGCTATCATGATGTCTCCAAGAACATCAAAGTCTCTCATGCAGTGGGAACCAATCTCTTCAACGATCAGAATCATGACAGCAAGGTTCAACTCAAAAGGAAGAAAAGCCACAATCATCCAATGCTACTCTATGCACTTACAAATAATGCAAGTCAAGAGAAGAAGGAGGAATTCTGTAGACAACTGCAATCATGGGCGATATGAATGCCAAACTGGGAGCGGACAACACAGGAAGAGAGCTCATGATGGGTCGAGAAGCATACGGTGAAGTGAATGAGAATGGAGAATTGTTTGCAGATTTCTGCGCATTCAACGATTCGGTGATTGGAGGCGAGGTACTGTGTACAAGCACAAAGACATTCACAAAGTGACATGGACTTCACCAGATGGACACACTTAAAATCAGATCGACTTCATCTCAATCTGAAAAAAGGGGAGACGCAGTCTACCGGACAAAAGATCAATAAGAGGAACAGATGTAGGTTTACACCACTCACCATCTAGTGCAAGGAACCTACTTTCAAAATCAAGTTGAAAGCCTTCAAGGAAGTTGGTGATAGACCACAGTTCAAGTTCAACACCCACCCCAGAACAGAACAGAAACTGAAGGACGAAACTACAAAGGACATCTTCATATCAGCTATCAGGAAAAAATGGGAGACATTGGGCAACCTTCCTGAAGAAACCTGTGTAGAAGAATACTAGAACTCTTCGAAAGCCATATGGAAGGTAACCTGCATAACCGTGTTAGGAAGGAAGAAGAAAGAAGACAATGAATGGATGTCGATGGATACATGTAAGCTGATAGAGGAGAGGAAGATGGTAAAGCAGAAGATGAACCAGTGCAAGGATGCACAACGAAAAGATGAACTGAGTACAACGTATAAAACATTGGACAAGGAAGTGAAGAGTTCACGGAAGGCCAAAAGACACTTCTACGACACATTCACAAGTAAAGCAGAACAGGCTGTTGGTAAGAGAGACAGAGACCTGACAACATTGTATCAGATAACTAGGTTACTATTTAGGAAGAGATCAACACAGATGAAACCAATGAGAGATAGTGAAGGGAACCCAGTTGTCAAAGAGGAGAAAGAAAGGAAACAATGGGCTGACCACTTCAGAAAACTCTTGAATAAACCACCGCCATCACCACCTGCAACTCGTCCAGAAATACCACCAGCAGCCACAGAACTACAAGTGGACACGAGCACTCCGACAAAAGTCGAAGTCCTGAACGCCATAAAGTTACCTAAAGCCGGGAAAGCAGCGGGACCAAATGGAATTCCTCCAGAAGCACTGAAAACAGACGCAGAAACAACAGTGGACATGCTCACACCACTACTGCAGAAGCTTTGGAAGGAAGGAAAAGTACCTGCCGAGTAGTAGAAGAAGGGAGACCTAAGTCTTTGCAAGAACTGGTGAGGAATCATGCTCCACTCCTGTCCACCCCAACCAAAATATTATGCCGCACCATCCTGGAGGCACTGAAGGATGCACTGGATTCGAAATTACGACGGGAACAGGCTGGCTGGCTTTGGGAAGAACAAATCATGTGCGGATCAAATTGCAAGGCTACGCATTATCATAGAAAAGAGCATAGAATGGCAGTCAACTGTCTACCTCAACTTCATCGACATCGGATAGGCCTACGACAGAGTCAACCGAGAAGTAATTCGGCAGCTGCTTCAACACTACGGAGTACCACAAACCTTAATCAACCTCATTCAATAGCTATATGAAGACGCCACATGCCAATTGATCCACAATGGAAAGCTCAGTGACGCCTTTGAAGTGAAGACAGGAGTAAAACAGTGTTGCCACCTACTATCAACGATGATCTTTCTGATTGTGGTCAACTGGATCATGCAGCAAACAGTGAGGAGCGGGAAGAGGGGATACGCTGGACCGGGGAAAAGATCCTAGAGGATTTGGATTTCCCTGATGATGACTTGTGTCTAATGTCGCACAAACTCGAAGGTCTACAGGCGTAAAACTAACAAGTTGACAGAAGAGGTGAGGCAGTGAAGACGGGACTTCAAGTGAATGTAGAGAGGATGGAGGTGGTGATGATACCCAGCCAACAACATTAACAACAAGCAGCAATCACCATCAAAGGGAGAAACCTAAAGGAAGTAGTCTCTTTCACCTATCTAGGCGGCATCGTTTCGACTACAGGCGGCACAGACGAGGACGTCAAAGCGAGCCAGGATCGGAAAAGCGAGACAGGCCTTCATTAATCTGAAATCAGTGTGGAGATCTACTGCACTCAGCACAGGGAACAAGATCCGGATTTTCAACACTAATGTCAGTCAAGTAAGTCAGTGCTTCTATATGGTTCAGAAACTTGGCGCGTTACGAAAAGCGTTTCCAACAAACTAAAGACATTGATCAACAGCTGCCTACGCTCGTTACTGAAGATCAGATGGCCAGAAAGAATAAGCAACAAGGAACTCTGAGAACGAACCAAACAAAAACCTATCGCTCAATAAATATGCAGAAGGAAATGGAGATGGATTGGGTGTATGCTGAGAAGGCTGATTGGGGATATCACGCGCCAGGCCAGATCCTTGAGTGGAATCCAGAGGGGAAACAACGAGGAGTTGGGCGTCTGAGGGTGACATGGAGGAGATCATGTGAGGGAGAAATAAAAGCTTTTGGGCAGTTGTTGAGCAAGGTTCATAAGGCTGCAGAGAAGAGAGTGCAATGGAGACGAGCTACTGAAGCCTTATTTTGCACTAGATATCCAGGGTACGTTTGATATAATGATGTGACTCTAACTGAAGTTTCCCGGAAAGTCTTAATTCTGGATGAATGAATGAAATGTTCTTACTTTGGTGATCATTCAAGGAAGCTTGCTGCCTGCGGTTGAAGGAACAGATGAAATATATAAATAATGCTTTGCTGGGTGTATTACCAAAATGAAGTCTTACCGCTCTTTCTGAGCTTTTCACTGAAAATTTTGGTCTAATGCATCATTCTATTGTGCAATACACAATCTTCTCATCTATGTACTTAAATCCTTGTATGAATACACTACTATCTATTTTTCCAAGGACAATGTAGGTGGCCGGATTCAAACCAGATACCTTCGAGTTTCTAGCCTGATGCTCTGCCAGCTGAGCTACGAAGTAGAACATCGGATCGGAAACCCAGTGGTCGCTGGTTCGAATCCGGCCGAGGTCCAAATTTTCATTTCATTTTTAATCACCACTCAGTGTAAATACTAGTCTACCAAACCACAGCTATCTCAGATAGTCAAATGATACTCACTTGATTAGCTATTTAGTCACCATGGTATATTTGCGGCGAAACTATGTTCCAGTCTGTGTTGGTGATATTTATTCAGGAATGCAGTTGCTGCGTAAGCATTATGCTTCGTTATTTGACAATAGTGTCGTTTCCGTGCTGGGCGTGAACGAATTTTATGCCTGCTTAACCTACTAAATGAATTAAGATTTAATAAATCTCATATTCTCGATTTTCAGCTCTTTATCGTTATAAAAGTATGTCGTACTGTAATCCTAGTGCTTTAAGAAAATGGGAACATTTCACAGTGTAAGCCATTGCTTCAGCAAAATATTCCAAACAGGCTGAATAACATCGCATCATACTTTGATAGTGCTGAAAAAAGACTCGACGCCCAACTTGTTCTTGTATATTTGTTATAAATATGGTCTAAATGTCTAGAACTTCATCTGACTCAGCACTTTAAATAAACATTTCACCACTACGAATAACAGTTCTCCGTCAGCATATCAGGGGTAAAAGAAAATACATACTTGGTCATGAACGGCTAATAATCGTTACAACTCTGAAGACCATTAATTCCCAGTTTATATATAAACATGTTTTTTTACGGACACCTTCAACGACATGGAACCAGATACGTACGTAACTGAGACATTTAAGTGGTACCACGATTTATGCACTGGACGTCGTTTCACTGGTGTTAGGCATCCGGTAGACAATCACAATTTCAGAAGTACTGCCAAGGAAATCGGCGTACTTGAAACGCTTGCTAACATTACTTCAACAGATACTGGTCCGTTAATTACAACGAAATCAGTGAGATGAAATTATATGTTTTTAAGTTAATTAACACTAAACCTAAACCCGTCGTACAAGAAATGGCTATCGTGGTTCGGTGGTGTAGTGGATAACACTTTCGCGTTCGAAGTGATCGCTCTCGAATCTGGGTCCCTGTGGGAACAACAGCACTCACTGGGAGGCAGGTATGTCTAGCTGACTAGTCCCAAATAGGACGAAATGCGAATCCTGGATTCCACTGCTAGCCAAGATCCATCATTAACATACTGGAATGATTGTCATGAACTTAGTTGACATGCCCCACTTGAAAACGCTGTATGGCGTTTCTTATGATGTGTTATTTAGGTTAAGAGGCAAAGAAAGGAATGAGACCATCTTTTAAGCAACTGTACCGACATATTTATAATCTTTGTTCAATGAAAGTTTGTCAGCAGAAATAAGAACAAAGTAGAACATACTTTTATCCTACTTTAATAAATACGAAGCAGAATACTCCTAAAAAGATCTTGATGCTTTTATCTTGCGGCAGAATTACTTGCAGAAAAATAAATAAGGGGCTAGGAACAAAGCAAGTGAAATCTATGATTTCTTGCTGCTGTTTATAACTTGTGTCTGTGGAAATTTGAACTTTACATCCGTCAACTTATGACTTTTCTAAATGATACAACAACAAATCAAATTTACCCACTGACCTCATATTTTCTGCTGATATTACTGTGACTAAGCTAAGTGTTCGATAGGCTTTTTGGATTAATAAATAAGAAGTATACCTTAACGACGAATACCGTTAAAAGGAATAGTGGTATATGAGTGACTGTGTCATAAGTGTAAGCGAAAATACACTGGTGTATGGTGTTGTTTCAGCCACATTAATAGTCTAGCTGTACTCCTGATCCTGTGAAATTATATAAGAGATAATGGTGGAGCTTAATTTAGTTTAAAAAAATGGTTGAAAGAAATCTTTTTAATGGAGTTATATCTTCTGCATGCACAAGTGAAGACCAATAGCATTTTATTAAATTTTTGTATTTTGCCCAGTTGTTAGTGTCCTCAACATGCGCCGTCAGCACGTGGGTATTGATTAACCTATACGTGCAACGCTCTAGTTTTTACTACTAATAAATGAGATTGTACGGCTTGATGTTAAGGTCCTTGAACAGAAATATTTCACTAGAAAATCTTTGAAAAATCAAACCTGCCCAAACTGAGACTTTAACATACTCCACCTGATATACCTGAACCATCTGATAACCCAACCGGAATGTAAGAAATATGCAGGTTATCAGTCACTTTTTATTTCGGAGAAATCTTCACACAAGACCCTTTTGATCCTCCAAGTTTTTCTAATAGCTCAATTTTCTCGATTATAATTGATCCTTTTCGTAGTGGTTTCAGCATATCGTACACTGTTAGTGCAGCAACGGAGACGGCTGTTAACGCTTCCATTTCTACACCAGTAGCCTGACCGACTGCTTTAGCTTGTGATTGTATATGAATCTTTCCTAACCGATAGCCAATATTCACTGAAACATGTGATAGAGATACCTAAGAAAAAAATTTAAATGTTTGCTTGTGGTATTGTCAAACAGTTACGAGAGATAATAAAAGTGTAAAGTATTATATTTAAGGCCATAAATCGACAAGTCCTTCAGTAGTTAATGGTTGTAAGCGGTTAAGAGACAACAGTCAGAAAGCGTGATTGGTTTATTTCCCTTTTTTGTAAAAAAACACTCCATACTCATTCTGGCCTCCAATGGTTCAACATCGGATGCCTAACACTATCATACAGAATCAGGCTGGATCTTATGAGATCACATCGCCAACCCTTTTCAGGTAATCAACATTTATGGGTTAAGACGGTTAACTCATGTTTAGAAAGTGCTGCCTGACTTTCTGTTTGAAGTATGAATCGACAGGTAGGGGGAAAAATGTCAAAGAAAGTGTCATCGGAAACCACACACACATATACATTACGGATGTATAAAAATGTAGCTCCATGCAGGGCATGCGTTTATGCTATAGACTATGGGACAGACTTATTTGTGATCATTTATGATCCTAACTGTTTGATAATTGCTTGGTGTTCTACAAGCTTTAAGGTTTGTTCTTGGACTTTTCATCACTTAGCTGAGAGAACACTAAACAGTTATTATCCCCAATCTGAGCTATAAATCTTGCACACTACCTCACTAACTGGTTGCTAAGGCATCAGTTGGAGTGGGTTTTTGAACCATAGCTTGAAGTCCAAAGACCATAAACCACAGATCCGCAAGGTTTCTTAGACATCAGAAGATTCCAGATTCTACACCTCTAAATAGATCACAGAAGTGCAGTTCACCCACGTCTTTTCTTCATCTGAACCTCGTTGCTGCAAAACCGTGGCCTCCTCATCCATTTTGCTTCTTTATTGTGATTTTTATAAACGTTTGACTAGTTCAAGTGGATTATGTTTTCTACTGATGACGTCCCCATCTGAGTGTGTTAATATGAAATCTTGCAACTTTAAGACACTCACAGTAATACCGGCTCTTATTCTGTCCACACTTGTCCGTGTATAGTACATAAACTAATTTTCTGTATCAAGAAAATGAATATTATTTGAACCTACTGTATATCTTTCCGAACCACTGTGTATGCATGTAAGTTGTTATGGAGTAAGCCACGCCTGTGCAGTTCTGGTTCAAAGAAAATACTAAACTTGTAGAAGTACATGAAGAGTCCTTAGTTTTACTCAGTTTGAAGTATCTATATCTCTGAGAGAAATGTTGATTTCGAACTTATCAGAGGTGTCCAGCCTACTCGAACCAGTCAAAGGTTTAAGCCACCCATACTCGTTCGAAAACTAGATTGCTTGGTTAGTATCAATTAACAACCAAATTACATGCTACTGAAAAGTGTAATGAGTAGTTACTACGTATCGAAAAGATTACAAGCAATGCTTCACTTACTTGATGACACAGTGGTATAATTGTTGAAGTTTGTTTAGCAGCCTGTATTCCAGCTAGACTAGCTACTGTAAAGACATCACCTTTTGGAGTTAGGAGTTCATACAGTTCTTCACTATGAGTATCATCAGTGTTATTATCAATGTCATTCATAGTCATATCTGAGCTATTGTTTGTAATACACTGAGCGCGTATAAATTGTTTTAAATAATCATCAATACAAATAAAAGCTTCTGCTTTCGCTGAACGTATTGTTGCAAGCATATTGTGTCTGTTTCCGTCGCCATTGAATGACTTAATAGCTTTAGGTGTAATGTCAACCATTCTAGGCGAGTGAGACATATCTTCTTGGACTTCATCCTTTTACAAAACAATGTAGTAGATATTAGTATGTATTTGCATTAAATATAATTTATCGCTTACACAACATTTTAATACAAAGTTATTTAGGTGACATGAAGAGAATGCTTACTGAGAATAGTTGAAAAAGACAATTTCGAAGCAAATATTTACAGGGTCTACAGTTCGTTTTATAATGACAAAACTAGTTACACCGTAGTTAAAAAACCTCAACAAAGTTTCATTCGAAAAGCAAAATGTCTAGACCAGAAATTTGAATCGCTAAACACCAGGTATAGTGTTATCAAAGTCAGCTACAGCGATGAATGGTATATACTACTGAGCTCTATGAGTATTCAATACACACTCCTACAAATTAGCAGTTTTTATCATTTAAATCAATGGAATCTACATACTGGACAGTAGTTTCTTTCATATGCGGTAGACTTCGTCATTGGTTATCGTGGATGGATTTAAGTTACAAGTTGACACTTTTGGTGTGAATATATTGGTCTTAAAAAGAAAAACGCTGTGGTGAAATTCAGCAGTTTAATTGTATATAATTCCATTTTAATTGCTTTCTTAGATTTATCATAGTGTAATAGTATTGTTTACTGGATTAAGCTTCGGACATAATTCATTGTCCATAATCATATCAAGATAACCACACAACTTTAGGATATTCTTTACATAGTACTTGTTTCCCCTCCATCTTTGTGATATGGGTAGTAGGATTTTCCATATATCCGGAACAGGTGCTAAGTCATTCCTGTTGCATGTAATAATTGTTGACTTGATAAACAAAGATCCAATTACCAGCCTCTCCTTCTACCCTGTTACGTTAGTTGTGGGGACTTTTACCATATCTCATCCTAGTGTGTAGTTGTGTATAGTCGCATACATGGTTATGGCTGAGCCTTTCCCTAATTTCCTTGCCTTACTAGGATCTACCAATTTTGACCTAACTAGGTTTTTGTGCTCAGATAGTTTAGTTGACCCTGGTCGACTACTTTGACCTATGTATTTGATCTCGTAATCGTTTTAAGGGATTTGGTAAACTAAGTTATTCTGCTTAATTGGATCACTAGGATCCTATAACCTATATAGCTTATTTCTAAGTGAGTTTGTACGCATCGAATGCCACTCTATTGAGAATCCTGCTTAGTGTTTCTGAGGTGCTTTCTTTGTATAGTAATACTGTAGAGGTGACAAACTCTCTGTTCATAATATCGCTACTGTTATTATTAACATAGTTATTACTACTATTAACACCTGCGTTACTAGTAATAGTTGTATTTTTATTAAGATTCCTAAGGAGTTTATCAATTAATTTTGGAGGATAAGCGTTGGTGAGTAAGGTATCCTTAATGTTTCTGGTTTCTTTTCCTAGATTTCCTGTTTTACTGGAAAGCTTTTTGGCCCTGTTACTTAGACATTTTATCAAGCCAACTTTAACTGACATAGGATGAGACGATCTGAAGTCTAATTAGCGATCTCAATGTGAAGCCTTTTTGTAAACAATAATGTCTGAACTTCTATATTACTTTCGTTTTATTCTGCCATCCAACGTCGTTAATTCCCCCTGACCATATTGTAATTAGTAGGTGAATTGGATTGCGTTGACTGCTGAAATTATATATGTGAAGAAACTATGTATGTGCTTCTGTTTGAACAAAACAGGGTAGAAGGAGAGACTGATAACTGAATCTTTGTTTATCAAGTCGACAATTAATGCATGCAACAGGAATGACTCAGCACCTGTTCCGGATATATGGAAAATCCTACTACCCATATCACAAAGATGGAGGGGAAACAAGTACTATGTAAAGAATATCCTAAAGTTGTGTGGTTATCTTGATATGATTATGGACAATGAATTATGTCCGAGGCGCAATCCAATAAACAATACTGTTACAGTGTGTCCCACTGCTGTTTCTACAGCAGACCTAATATCACATCAGATTTCAGCAGGATGTGCATTGTTGTCATGTTCAGGTAGCTCCTTTGCTAACTCCTCCCTTATCTTCCAATCGAGCATAAACGGGCTTTATTATCGCCTTTTTCCTGTGACCAGTAAGCCACAGACATACACGTGCCAGCATTAACGGGTGATCGGAGTGCAAACAGGTACTTCAGAGAGAGCGGCTATCCTCCACCTATCCCCTCCAACAATGGATGGTTGCAATATGATCTATTTGCATCCGTCGTTCATTTGATGTCCACAGACGCCGTATGAGGCACAGTCTGTCGTTATGCTTCAAGCTATTGCTGGTCAGAAAGAAGTGACTGTTGGGACTAACTACCCACAGACAATCACCGTTGTCGGTTCGTTGGCAGGGATTCCGTAAATATCCTGAGTATGCTTTTCTGATTGACTCAGCTTCTCCACTCGAGCGTTAAAATCACCTGCCATTATGATTACACCTGAACGTTTTGCTTTCTGTAGTAAAAATTGACAGCTTATCATAGAATTCATCCTTTGCATGATCCAGACTACAGTCGGTGAGTGTGTTGGTAGAGATTACGAGTGGGCATCGCCTAGTCTCACAGTCTTTCCTAGTCGTTACAGATGAATTCAGTCAAACAGCATATAGACAACTGTTTAGTGGTAAACAATCTAGAAGTGCACTTTCTGCTCTACAATTCATTGATCTACCTATACCAGTGAGTCGATGAGAGCTGGATACTGCACCTACGGATACTCTTAGGATGAATTTTGAAGATTCACTACTTTGGCTAGTTGAGGTCAACTTAATAACCGCACTTGGGTCCTGTATACGTGTCTCAGAGATACAGCATACATCCATGACTGGAAATTCCAGAGTTTTGGGGAGCGATGCTTGCTGTTTGATTTAGTATAGAGTTCGGACGTTGAAAGCGTAATAGACCTAATATTGGTATCAGGAGGCGAAGGCAAAGGAGGAGACGATGTTGAGGAGGACAAATTATGTTTGACTGGGTCTCGTGTACTACTTGAAGGATTCAGGCGGTTGACACTTCCCAGCTGCCTGCACTTGAGGTACTTGGAAAGAACAGGATAGTGCATTACCGCAGAGCCCACGAGACATGCTGGAGGCCGGTTACACATAAACTTTTCACAAGTTTGAGGTTTTTGTTTTTTGCTTTGGAGTCCAACTGTGAATGCTTTCCTCAGACACTGGTTTGATGCGGGTTGATGGTGGTGTGCTGTTTTGGTGGGTGACCTTTTCCAACACACTCTTTCCACAGAGAATGCAGCATCAATGTGGCACTACTGGTCATCCAAGGGAAATACCTTACTGCTGTCACACCTTATCCAGCTAGGAGCAGTACAACTTCTCCCTCAGACCACCGTCAAAGCGTAGCAATTTAAAATACAATGGAGCTGCTTTTTGCTTAACCACTATCCAACAAACCTTTCTGATATGGTAGGAGCTCGAAAAAAACATTCCACCACAACAGCTCGTTGGGTCATTGTGATATACAAGCCCGCACGTCACATCAAGATAGCAGCTTTCGTTCGAGCGATTCATCCTGGACTGAAACCATTTGGAGAACCACTAAAAACCTGGGAGCACTGGACAGTTGTGCTCATTTAGGTGTGGCACTCCTCAGCAGTATGCACCCATAATCCCACCCCACTAGTAACCAAACTCATGGCCTTGCGGCCTCATGGGGAGCGCGCTGACTCACTGACTCACTGGGTCAGAATCCAACGGCTGGCGCTTTCCTACTTCTCTCAATTCCCATATTTATGATATCTGTTTGTCCGTTATAAAAAGGAAGAGCTAATGACGTTCACATTAGCTGCACATTGTCAGTTTAATGTATATTTATAAGGCAAAATCATTAAATAATTTTACAGATTGAATTAAAGCTAAATATGCAAACTGATTGTTCTTCTGTCGTAATAGAGTTGTACATTAGTGCTTGCAACTAGTAATAACCAGAAGATAGAGTTACATTCTCCGTTGTTAAAAGTGATCCCAAACTTAAAAACGAATGAACCAAATAGTTCCCACGGTTAGGATAATTCACTTCATCATTACTATTCAAGTAGACTGGTAGTAAGTACATAAATACATGCTAATAAGAAAACGATAATGTCAATCCCTCTAGTATCTACAGGAGCAACCAATAGAATTTCTGTGATGGCACCCATTGTGACATATGCCAACAGATAATGAGAATAAAGTTAGATGCAGAGATATGTCTGTCTAATTCATGCATTGGTATTGGGTGCACAGTCAATAAAAGTTTCTTTAAACCTACCAACCGGGCACATCAACTGATCACGCTGACCTTCACTTAGTTTCTATAACCCCTGAATTCACCAATAATATTTCAGATACCTCTATCAAAGTAAGTGGGTACCTTTAGCGCTAGTCTAGCAACTAATAAAACAACCAGTACAATATCTTTGTTCAGAGTGAAAGTTTTTTCGTCATAAAGTAAAGGAACTAATTTGGTTACTTCAGTATTCTCTAAGTTTGCCTTCATAGTTACTCAAGCGATTCATAAGTGACTCTTAAGGTCACTCTAACAACTGCTGATATCAAGTTCCGGTATTTTGACTGAGAAGGTAGTTTTTCATAAAATAGAGAAATGTAACTGAATATAAGTGAAAAACTTGGGCACTGTGGTAGAATGTAGTTCCATATTAGATTTGTTTATTTGATATATGATATGATTATGAGCAATAATTTATGCTCGAAACGTAATCAATTAAATAATACTGTATCACTGTGCGCTTTATATCAAATAAACAAATCTAATATGGAATTGTAACTGAAGTTGTTAGGTTGGCCTTTAAAGTCGCTAGCGATTTATCAAATTAGATTGAAATAAAAATAAAAGCAAATCGCAGCTCACATGATTTTGTTTTTCTGTTATACTCATTTGGCGCGATGATTTTTTAAAATTACTTGAGAAGTTTGGTTCAATAGCACGCTTGAAACAATTAATCAGAACATGATGATTCATTTTCATATGTAGAGGATAGTGTTTTAGACTGGAAAAATATTTCTTTATAGGGTAGTATCGGTATAAATTTCCTGTAAAATGAAAAACAGCCAAAAATAATTACATAGTAAGTAAACAATAGACTTACTTATTGTTCCCAACATTATTCTACTAATTCGGAAAACTTAAATGTTGAAGCATTCGTTTCAAAAGTGGTGACTGTGAAAAATTAACTACTCAATGATAATGGGTCTATATATTGACCTTTCATGTGATAGGTGGAAATATGTGACATATTCATCTTTTATTTTATGATAAAATTCTATTGTAAAACTATCCAACTATTAACAATATTTTAGAAAGACTTAGCGACTGTAAACATACCAAACATTAAATATCCTTTAAATCTTCACAAAGAACTTTTTTATTAATAATGATCTTCAGGTTTTATGGTGAACGCCTTAACCATTCAGCCACTAGATTGGAGTTTATTGGTCTTCAGTTCTCTACTTCTGTCAATTTGTAACATGTAGCTATTATCCACTAACGTCTTCAGTAAGCATACGCTTCACTTCCGACTGGCTGACCCCTCAGATCAAGGCTTCTCATTAGGACTTGAAGGTATTCACTTTGACTCCTAGTGCATGCTACTGAGGTGACCTATACTAAGACGAAACACCTATCCAATGCTCCCAGGTTTTCAGTGACTAGCCAACTAATTTCAGTTCACGATGAGCATTGCCCTAATGTAATTTAGAATTCTCATTCGACAGTATTGAAACAAAAACACACTCTTTCACAACATTTCAAATAGTGTTAATTTGTAGTGATTTAAGTTATGTAAGTAATATTAGTAACGAGGGCAGCTATACATGGTGATTTAGTGTTACAATGTTGATAAGCGAGTTCTGTTCTAACACTATTCTTCATATAGGGTGCTTGTTAGACAAGGTGCAGTTGAACTCTTAGATTTGGCCTTATGAACGTAATGCGTTACATAACTTCTTCTTTTCCTCCCTTAGAAAACACGAGGAGACAGCTGTGAATAGAGTGGATGTTTAGTATCCAATAAAATGAATGTAGCTACTTGCCTACTTGAATTTAAGTGTCTTTCATCTAAAGTGTTAGTCAGTTGAGTCAGCTGCATACCACTTACCCTACTGATAGCTTTCAAAGCCCTGTGCAAAATAACATAGTCCTTTTTTCATCGTACCACAAAATGTTAGGCGGGTAGGGTGATAATAAAAAAAACAAGTGAAATACACGAAATGGAAAAGTGTAAAAGAAGAGGCAGAGTTATATCAGAGAGTTTAAGATTGTTTGTGTAATATGTTAACTAAGATATTTTCTTGGAAGTTAGCAAGCTATGAGACGACCAACAAATATCAAAAGAAAGAGGTGAATGCAAAATAGGCAACATTTGATTTGATTTCCATAACAATATCATCAATGTTACAGGAGTCATGAAACCAAAACAAATAACATAATTCTTGTTTTCGCATTGGGCTCAAGTTAACAGTCTGACATTTATGAGGGCTTAGCTTGAGACCATCTGAGAAACACCACTCATCAATTTCAGATAAAAAACATTCAATCGAAAGCAATCTGACTGATGGCTAACACACGAAAGTCCAGTTCGAAAATCTTACTAGTCAAATCAAGGATCTAGTTCCAGTTTCATACGATGATGCTAACCATTTCAAATCAACAGTTTTAAACTGCTGTCTGGACTATATAAACAGAAAACCCAGCTATCGAAATCTCTTATCAAAAGAATATCGAAACCAATTGAGTGAACTAAAGAAAAATGAAAATCTCTTCATGATACGCCCGGAAAAAGGCTCTGGAATAGTACTACTAAACAAGAAACTCTCACTCATTCTATCCAATGAAAATGAACTCTTAAAACAGACAACACGGAAAGATCCTACTGAGCAAACAGAGTTGCAGTTGTCGAAAACACTGAAGAAAATGAGAGGTGAATAATTAATTAGCAAAGAAGTGTATAAACAACTTCGCCCATCAGGTTCTACGATCTTTAGTCTATACGGTCTCTCTAAAATACACAAAGAAGGCGTCCAAATCCGTCCACCACTAGATATGATAAATTCTGCATTTCATTCAATCGCGAGATGGCTGGTGGAAGTGCTGGAACCTGTAAAGAAGAGGCTATTGAACTACAGTCTTTGTGACACATCTGATTTTGTAGACTCAATAAAGAGTGTCAGTCTGGCAGGTAGTAGAATGATTTCATTGGATGTCGTGTTCCTCTTTACAAATGTCCCACTGACAGAAACCATCTGCTTCCTATAGGAATTCACTCAACGTCATAACATAGATGTTGACATCCCAATTCACTACCTAAAAGAGTTTCTACTTCGATGTACCTTCAATGTACACTTCAGATTTAATAATGAGATCTACAGGCAGATAGACGGTGTGGCGATGGGGTCTCCACTAGGACCCCTGCTAGCTGATTGCTTCATGGCAAGCCTGGAAAACACCAAATTATCACCAACAATCAATGAACTTCATGTCTAAAAAGATACATGGATGATACGTTTATATTTTGTCATGAAAATACAAATCTTGCAAACCTGCTTCATACATTCAACAATGACCACTGTTCAACCAAATTCACTTTAGAATCAGAATCGAACTCAACCTTTCATTTTCTTGATGTTCAACTTCAAAGAAAAGATGATAATTCACTTCGTAGATCGATCTACAGAAAGCCTACATGGAACGCACAATTTGTTAACTTTCAGAGTTAAATCCTCCTATGCAGGAAAAGAAATCTTATTCAGTTGCTTTCCTCGAGGATCAGGAAAATATGTACTGAGGACACGGCTGACGAAGAACTGCAAATACTTCGACGAACTCTAGTGGAAAACGGGTTCCCACTCAGATTCATAGATAAGAACATAAAGCCAAAGAAACCAAGTGAACAAAGACATTTGGCAACGAAAAAGATTCTTTTGTTGAATTTTGAGTTCAAAAACGATATTGTTGCAGAGATCCTGAGGAAACGACTGTCAAAATCCATAAACAGAACATACTCCGCCGCAAACCTTCGGATAATTTTATCACGCAAGAGACTTTTCGGTCATTGTGTAAAAAACAAGCCGACGCATAGGGCCACATCAATATGTGTATACCAGTTTACTTGCTCTTGTGGAGCTGAGCACATCGGTGGTACCATATGTCCGCTTGTAAAACGTGTCCGCGAACACTACCCAGCCTGGCTTGCAAAGGGAGAACGGAAATGCATCTTCACTTCGATAACAGGGCACCTCGTGAACTCAGGTCACTTAGCTCCTTTCGAAAGCTCTTTCAAATTCTCTACAGGATTCGATCAAACCACTCGAATGGAGTAAAATCAAGACATCTGTCTATAGCTGAAGCACTAGCCATCCAGAAGTTTAAACCAGAGTTATGCATGCAAAAAAGGTACATCCAACCTTTATCTTTGCCATGGTCATCATGAAGCCCTGTTGGTCACAGATTCATTTTGTATCAAGTAACTATACATGTATACCTTATTCACTTTTCAACTGTCATAGATTGAAACTGCATTACGTAATTACAATCTTATTTTCATGATCCACTGTCTATTCTCATTCTCTGTCATACGCTTATCCGGCATTACATAATCGTAGTTTTATCTTCGTAACCCTTCATTCAGTTTCCTACTTTGCCATATATTCATCCTGTATTACGCAGTTACATTTAATTTCATAATCCCTAGTCTATTTTCCCAGTCTAAACACAAATATGTATTAATTAACTTCCTTTCATCATTCAGTATATTTTGCGCCCTCACCGGAAACAATTCTTGAACATTCTACCTACTGTAACATCTATTCATGAATGTACAGCTTAGTAAATGACTTCATCGAAAAGAAAAATTTTTTCTTCGAGATACTGAAAGCTAATTGGTTATTTTAGTAGTTGCAGGCATGACCTTTAAAGTCGGCGTTATGGATATGTGCTCTTCTAGGCGAAATACCAAAGCCTGATTGGTCATTTTAACAGTTGTGAGAGTTTTCTTCAGTCATTCATTTCGTTCATATGATAAGTGTCTGAGACATGCTAACTCCTTCATAATTCACTGAATGAGAAATGCGTAATTTGATACACAGATGAATCATTCTGTTTGCCTATAATTCAATCTTATTATAATATTTTTAAATTTACTCGAATGCTTCATCTTTGCATTGAATAAATTATCACACTGATGAAAGCGTATTTTTATAATATGGCCTAGTTTACATGTTGTTATTCTTTCCTTTTCATGGCCCCAGTTTATAAGTCTGAGAAACTGAAATTGTCGATGTGAAGATTGATGATAAAACCTTCAGAACTGACCTGTTTGTCTTTACTGCAGATCAGTCATTTACTTTGCCAACCTTATTTACAAAAAATCTCCTGTGAAGAGGAGTATAAATTATTTAGTCTGAAAAATTTGCCGAAATTGTATGGCAAAAAAATGATGATTCCTATCAAGTCAGAAAGTTACTTTTTCCTAAACACCTTAGCTATCTACTCTTCGTTAGTACAACGTAAAGAGTTTAGAAATCAAATTTGTCTAGATTTATTTTAATTAACAAAGCCGATTCTTTTAAAGAAAGCTTAAATGATACAAATCAATGATTAGACCTCATCACACATAACTCATAACTCCATCAGCAGACAGTTCTTAAGCATTTACCATCCAACTGACCTAGTGCAGGTCAGTACAAAATTCTGCAAAATAAACTTCACTTGGGTCAGGGGTAACAAGCAAAGACATAGCAAAAAGAGCAAAAATAAATTTAAATTACCTTTTATACCAGCTTTGGATTCATGTAACATATGCATCGATGCCCTTAAGAAGTCATCAATAAGTCCAATGCAAACTACTGCAAATAGAAACACTACTACACATCTTTTTCAACACTTATCCATTTGGTGGTAATGATGGATATTGGATAGTAGTGGAGTCCACGATGTGCATCTCATCCTATTTGGAACTCGTCAGCTGGATGAACCTGCCTCTCGGTGAGTGGTTTTATTCCCAGTAAGACTTGAACTGAGGACAGGTCGCTTGGTTAAAAGCAATAAACCCATCATGTACGTCAAATACATGATTCTGAAGTTAGTGAATAGAAGACGTTTTGATTTACCATTTGTTGACGCTTTGAAATTAACAGAATTTAAGATTGAAGTAGGTTGGGTTATGTCGAAAACTGCCAGTACTGTATAGTTTTCCATTGTTTTGACTTTAAGTGACGGTGGAATAATTCATACTGACTGGAATCTCAGCAGCCGAGTCTTTCTCACTGAATATCTTGGATTTTGACGATCAGTAGTCATTTTGTTTCCACTGATGGATCAAAGCCGGTTCTTCAGAATGTTGCTTCATCTCATGCGTTAGGACGAAAAGATATCAAGAAGAGACTGGCTGTAACCATGAGCTGTAATACTTACTCTATTTGAGTCTGTAAACAGTCTACAGTCTTCAAATATTACCTTCAGTACAACAAAGTTGCTTCAGCTTAAACAGAAACCTCATGTGACCAGATCCGGACATAGTTGCAAACCAAAATGTCATTGTGTTGACAGATGTGGTTATTCCTTAAACAACTCAATTATATATATGATTGGGAAGGTAATTATTATTAAAATAAAGAAACGTGATTGATTATCTCAGCAGTTGTTAGAGTGACCTCCAGATATATGTAGACAATTTGTATGCTGGGTTTAAACTTGTATAGTCTGTAAATTGAGAACAGAATCCTATAGGAACTAATAGTCTCTTTTATACGTGAACTGACACCATTTTAATGCTATAGTAAAAAAACTATCGGCATACTTCAGTTAGTATCGAAGATTTAGATATGGCATTTGCCTAAGTCAGTTGTCAATTCACATTTGTTGCATAAAAAAATGTATCTTTTGTCAATTATCTGATGAGACGCCTAAGGCGAATTGTTGACTAGGTCCATCTAACTAAAGATAAGACGGATGATGAGAATTAGAATTCGGTGAAACATTGGTTTGGTAAACTTAAATCCAAACCTTAAGCTTCATTGTTGTGAAAATAGCCGTCAGTTTGCTTTGTTCATCCTAAACTACTCTGACAAACTCATAATGGTCAAGCATAAAAGTAAATGTCCTGTAAGTTGTTCATTACACTTTACTTGAATTTATTTTTAACTGATTTCAAGTTGGTATTTATCATGGCCTGACACCAGTTGGAGAATGACAGAAAATCCAGATGTACTGGTTAGCTGTGTTCGTACCATCATGGAACTCCTCAAAAGTGCACACACATGACCCCACCAGGAGGTGAACCGAGGACGTTCATGTTTCACGGTCAGCAGGTTACTTACTAATGAGCCACTGCGTTGGAATACAACGGTCCACATTTTCCTACTTCTGTCAGTTCGCAATACAGAGTGACCTCCATCTAATGTCGTCACTGAACTACTGCTATCACGTCCAACTTTGTTTGCTCCACAGGTCACCGCTTCTCATCAGAACGAATCTCATCTTGAAGCAGGTCGTTAATAAACATTAAACAGCAATTCAATTTGAAGGTTGTGAGGAGTTGTTCAGTGCTCCCGGGTTTTTTAGGGTTCTCTAACTGATCTCATTTCCTCATAACTATCAACTTGTAATCAATAAATAAATCCCACACAAACCTCCAAATTCAGTTGTTAAAATCGATTATTTACTACGAAAATTTTTAATGAATGGAAGGTTATGCCATGGAAAAGCTTAACTTATTTTTCTGACTAATAAGATAAGTAAATTCCAACAGACACTAGTCCTACGAATATTTCAGTGAAATTATCCTCTTAGACGACAAAAATGAAAACGGTAAGGCTTTCATGCCATCTAAGTGAATTGTTGGAAAAGCAGTTTGAAAAGTTCTTTGGCAAAGCTGCAGAAAATGAGTAGATGTAATACAATTACAAAACAGGATCTCATGTCAAATACCACACTATTTTCTTGTGATGACCACCAATAAGCATCTCCCGTTGTAAATTTTAATTCATTAGCGTTATTCAAACGAACCTACAGACACAGGAACACATACAAAACTCAAGGATGAAAAATGGAATTATGTGGTGAGTATGATGTATATTTACAAAATAGGCAATACATTCATATTGAAAAAAACTGTCGCCAGAGTAACTGATTGACTAACCACCGATTCGAACCATCGGTCGATTTACACTTGATGCAAGCTGATTAGCACCTGGAATTTGTTAACATTAATAAAGAATACACATAGTTGTATAAATCTCCAAAAACTTTAGTTGATACAATTCTGTAACAGTAGAAATAGTTGTACTTACTTGTTAGTGAAAATGTTTAATGAATGAAGTACTAAGAAAGAGAATGAAATCATGAAAAAGGTAGGCTTTCCGCGTTACAGGAAGATGTGTAGGTAAAGTACAGACTGCAGTTATGAAATAAGATGGTCATCAACTGAAACATAGAACTGTTTACATACTTTTCTCATTCATAAAATAGAAAAGGAAAATTAATAGAATGTGATTAACCTCATATATAACTCTTCTTATTTAGGCTTCTTGGTCCATGTTATCAAGTGAACCTTAGTTAAAGCATGTACGGTTCACTTATGTTATGAAATTGGACGACAATATGGGAGAATGCAACTGTATCACCTTTTTTATCTTTACTTAGATTACCCATGTTTTTGAAGTTAAAGAAAATGTACCCTTAGATGTTGTTTGAATGCTTATTAATTACTAGGTTTAAGAGGTTTAATTCAGAAACTGAGAAGTTAATCACTTCCCGAAATAAACTATGAGATGATTTTTTTCTTTCATTGTTCTCAGCCATATCACAGAAAGAAATCTATCAGGATAGATTCTGTCTTTAAGAAAACTAAAGTTAACTGAACGACAGGACATTTACCTACTAAAAGCTAGTCCATAAATGCCTTAAAATCAATTAAATTCTTACATTTAAAGTAGTATCAATGCTGAAAAGAATTCCAATAAATAATATATCTTTGGAAGGGTCCTGAAGTCAGTGAGGAAACTCATTGATGTTTTTCTTAAGAAGGCCACCTTAAAACATAAATTCCAGGCATTCATACGTCTATTATTGCATTATAAACACAGTAGGTATGACAAGTCACTTAGGGACCAAGGGAAAAAATGTCGGTTGTTGTAAAAAAAGACATATTTCTCCAAGTACTAAATCTCATTTTCATGCCCAGAAAAGAAATAAAGTTGAGAAAATCTAGAACGAGCTGTTGCTCATAAACAGCATTTCATGGCTCCAACTATTACTGTTCACATCAACTGTGTTAAAGTGACATAGACTGGGGTGAAATGTTTTACATAACTTGTAGTTAGTTTCAGTAGAAAACTGCCTCGGTTATGTACCGATAAGTGACAATTTCGACACTGGCTTAGCATGCAAACAGTACAATGAGACGAAATCTGGAATTATTTTGCCACAGACTTCAAAAATATTTACACTTGTTCATCAGTTCACCCTTCACAAAACATGATTGTTAAACGGTATGCCTAAGGGTAGTCGCACTTATAATCACTTAAAATAATGGATATATTCTCGTTAAGTGGCTGATATTCTCAGGTTTCAGAACAAGAATAATGTAATAGAATAACTGTTTATTCAATCACTTCCCCATCTTACCTTACAGTTATAAATTCATGAAAACTGGTGAAACATAAGGCTAACGAAAGGAACATACAATATTGCACGAGGATACAAAGTACAAAAAGTGAGCGTAATAACATAGAGCATAGGGGATACTTTTCAAAGGTATAACTTGTTACTAGGTAGGGGAATCTCATTAATATCAAATGTATCATATCAGTAAACGACTTTAACTGCATGTTGTACTCTTACATGGGTAAATAAAGATCAATTTAAGTGGATGCAAATTCTTTTGGGAAGTGGGATAACAGTCACTCTAGTCTCTAATAACCATAAACTGCCATCTGAAATTCCGTTTTATGTCATTTTTTAAACAGAGCACGTTAAACAGAAAAAAAATGGTGATGAAGACCTCAAATTAAGTTTGAGTTGTTTATTGATGATGTAAATCAAGGACTTAATAATGAAGTATCTAACTGAAGCATTGAGTTACCTGACTTTGAGGTTTATTAGGGCTGTGAGTTTTCCTGAAGCTACAATTAGACCTTATTTACTGATACCGAAAAGCACAAAGCTAAGTTCAAGAGTATTCTATGAATGTAACACTATTTATTTCACTCCTAATTTACACTAAATTACAATCAAGTTTACTTGACACTAAAGAATTATGGATTTAGAACACTGGATATTTATGAATGAAATATATTTGCACATTATCAGCAAGGTAGAAAAATAAATTTCTGACATTTCACGACTTTGTCTTACTCTCTGAAGAAGCAACTTCTACGATGTCTTGAAACGTTAGAAAACTGTTTTTTTACGTCATTGAGCTTTCAAAAATATATTTCATTTATAATCCATTTAGCCAATGCTCAACCTATTCAACTTTGCCACGTCAAATTTTGATCCTGACATCTATGAAAACAGGATATTTAATTGGATGCTTTCATTGCAAGTATTGAAAAACAACCCAGTTATTAAGATCTCTTACTTTTCTGTAATATCAGACAATAAAAGCACAGCATAGCGTTTCATATTCTGAGCTTAATTTGTCAACAGTTAAGTGGAGAGTTTCAAACAGTTTCATTCTCCAAGCCTGGTGACTAAATTGTAAAAATAATCGATTAAATTCGGTCAAGGACTAAGGATTAAGGCCTAGATATTATTAAATTGGTTAATCTCCAGTGACTAATCAATATGAACTTCAACTTGTAAGCGATCCAGTGTCAGCTAAGCAACACTCTTAGTCAGTAATGAAGATCATAACAATTTCTTATAAGCTGACAGTTTGGTCTATGAAAATAAATACGTAGTGAAGTGTACTGATGAAGGTGTCCAGACGGGAGATGAAACATTCCTCAGTATAAATTTAGAAATGAAAAATATTCCATGCGTTTACATTCTTTTTATGGAATATAGAAATTTTTCAAACTTACCTTTGTGACTGGCTAACTTTTTAGCTAAAATTTTATCCACAATTTTATCAAGTTGATCATATATTTCATTCACTAGTGTGAAAGTATTTGAATCAAGTTTCGACAAGTGAATAATATCATCTTCTGTAATTGCACTGAAGTTTGTCTTGCGCAATATTTCCACTAGGCTAACTTCATCATTTCCATGTAAGCATACTTTTAGGTTACCATCAGCAGTTAGACGCAAACGTGAACATCCAGAACAAAAATTCTCAGTCATTGAAGTGATGAAACCAACCCTGCCTAACCATCCTGGTATTTGATACACCTTTTTTAAGAGAAGAATTTGTAAAGTGAATGACAGCAGGGATACACTTTTAGTTGATTCCAGTATAATACTAGTGACTAAAACTATGCAAAAAGTCTGTTAACTTTATTTCTATATCGCTAACACTGAACACGTAAAATACAACTAACTATTCGGTTTAGGGTGTTCTCTATGAAGATAGCCGGTAGAAATAAATAAGACATGCGTGTTTCTTATTCAAGACTTAATGACTAGAACAGCAATTGTTAGGTTTAAGAATCCATGGGAACACTGAAAATGAGATTTGGACACCTTCTACAAACCATTATAAAATAAAACAAAACTCCCTCCTTGAATCTCCATGATGAAGACAACTACTTCGTGTGGTGATCTACGAATGGGAGATGATAAATTGGAGTTCAGGGGGTTAATGAGAAGATCAACAGAATTCACTATGTGATGTGGTTGGCTATCAAGTTACAGTGTTAGGTATTTGTCAGTTTTTGATATGCTGATGATGTTTTTGTAGTTGCATTAAAGGAGATGACGATTCATCGTATTTTTGAACTAGGAGTAATGTTATCTAGACTTAAGTAAAATAGCGGGAAAAAAATTTCGAATTCTGAGCGACAATTATTAAGGTTTATCGAAGTATGAAATTCTGTTCGCAAAAATATATTCATAGAAACAGCAAAAGCAACCTTTAAGCTTAACAGTAAGGTAACAAAAATCAAGGATGAAGACCAAAAAAGGCCAGTAATAGCCCCAAAAATGTACAAATATAGGGGTCCACTTGACTAATAAAACATGTAAAGCAAATCACTGAAGTCTGAAAACCCGTAAATTAAGTCGTAGGATAGAAACAACTAATCAAGAGGAAGTTATTTACTACCAAAGGGAAAAGTAATGGCAAAGTATTTGTTACGTGTTAAAAGGGTGCAAGAGGAAAATGTAATCTCGCAAATGAAGTGATTGTGCAAGAAAAATAAGCCAGATAGGAATGATTTTAAGGACCACTATTTAACGCAAAATTAACCTTCCAGATAAAATCATGAAACTTGGTTGATTATTTCAATAGTCTCTAGAATAACTCCTTAAGTCACTCTAATATAAATGAGTTGATGAAGCTGAAAATGTGAAAGAAATTCAGTAAACAGGTGAAGTCTAAGTCAACGCTTAGTCTTCCTATTTCGCAGACGTAGTATCTGAAGCAACGTTAGTATTCTCAAAGTGTAATTAAAGTTTAGAATAAGATCTCACAATATGCATGAATAACCTGTTAAACAACAGACCAAACTAATTCACATATTCAGTTCCACATACCACCATTTCGTGATGTATATTTGAACGAATGGATAAAAAAGCTTCCTTTTTGTGACGGTATCGCGAATTGACAGAAGTTGGAAACTGTTGGCCAATGGACTCCGATCCAGTGGCTGAACGGTTAACACATTCTCCATGGGACGTGAAAGTTCTGATTTCTATCCGTAGCCGGGTCATGGATGAATTCCGCTGAAAAGTCCCATACTAGGATGAAACATCTGTCCAATGCTCTTAAGTTTTCAATGGTTCGCCAAGTGTTAACAGTCCGCGATGAATGAAACCTTAAAAATAAAATCCCCATAAACCTCAGACTACATTACTTATTAATTTGTTAGTCCTATATCTCTGAGACCGAATTTATTTTGAACAGCAGTATATTACAACTGAGTACAGAAGTATTTTTACTGAGAAAAAATTAAATTAAACTTATATGTAGTTTCATGACTTCATTTTTAGTTGCCTACATTGTACACAACCTATATATCGTGTGTTGAATACTTTCTACAGGAAGCTTTCCGTTTATACTTTGGTAGATGGAAGAGAAAAGATTGTCTTCTCCATACTTCGATTTATGTCAAAATGTCACATGGATGGTACATTAAGTTAGTTTACTTGTTTCTTTAGTCAACTGAGGGTTAACCTACTTGTCAATCAGTTCCCTGTAGCATTTTGATACAGGCTTGACAAGTGAACAATGGTTAATTAGTTTTGCCAAGTAAAAGAATGCTCTGCAGTCATAATCAAAATACTGTTTCTTGCGACTTCGGTACCTCAGTGAGCTGTAAGCCATTGAAGTATAATCATTCTAGTTACTCAGATTAGTTTCATAAACAGAAAAAGTCTAAACTGCACAAATTTATCTCCTGACTATATATTTAAAAATTTATCAAGAAATCACCCTACGCTTTGAATACTTGATCAGCAGCTTTAGCTTCAATCTCAACAGCTCACTTATTAGTCATAAACTAATTTCTCAACATGTTTGTTTTATTTAATATTTGGGTTTAAGAAAATTTATTTTCGTGAAATAAAGTCAGCTGAAAAGTTATTTTTTGTAATCATGGAGTGCAAATCAATTGATGAATTCAATTGTATTAGCGGTCATGACCCAGACAGCCAAGGCATTATCACTTACTGAATCAATTAATAACCTAATGAATCAAATCGATTAACTGTATTATATTTTTTTCTACATGCTCTTTTTGATAAAAGTGAGTTAATTTAATAATGCTATCTTGAGGTTTGTTGGGATTTACAGATTTTTTTGTAAGTTGATATTCATCTAGGACTGACACGAGTTGAAGGAACACTAAAATTCTGGGGGCACTGGATAGGTGTTTCGTCCTAGTACGGTACTCCCAAGCAATGTGAGCTCCATGACCCCCCTAGGGATCGAACCCAGGATTTTCAAGTTACTTGGCCAGCACGTCACCCCTGATGAATTCTAACCTAAAATCAATTCGTAGACTTCCACAAACCTCCAGATGGAATTAATCTAGCGCTGAGTGGTGACTAGCATTTAGGGGTGGTTCCCGAAGTTCCAATGAGAAGTTGTGACCAGTGGAGTCAGTTAAGTCGAACATGAGAACAGTTAGTCAACGACGACACAGGATTTAGGTCACGCTACATCGTAAACTGACAGAAGTAGGAAATATGGACCAGTGGGTTCAGACCCAGTCACTCAATGGTAAAGTGCTGGTCATGGAACCCCTAAAGGCCCTGATGGGGTGGGTTCACAGGTGGGTACTGCTGAGGAGTACTATACTAAGATGGAACAATTGACCAGTGCTCCCAGATTTCCAATGTTCCTCCAACCGATGTCAGTCCATGATGAAGTGTAGTGTTGCACTATATCAGTAATACAGAAGTTGGGTGCAGTTTTAAGGAGAGAAACGTAACTTGATTAGGTTGTGAATTTCATCCACTCAGGTGGTTTTGACGTATGTTACATATGCCTAGTCACCTCCGGACCTCGTCGCGCAATATTGACTGAAGCTGACTGAATGCTCGGGGTAGCCAGCCTGAAAAGTGGAATCGGTTCATAAAGTCCTAAACTGTTGGTGTAAGTAATGTTGGGAGATTAGGAGTAGATGGTTGGGGTCGATGTGACAACAGAAATCAGCAATTGGTGACTCTAGATGATGTGGCTTAGAATTGAAGTTAGTGGCACATATTATTCCCAATCTTCACACAGAATTCAGTAATTTCTCCCTTCACTTCCTTCTTTTGTAATTCTTGTGAGTGCTTTCTATCTATCCTCCCCCATTTCTCCCTCTTTCTTCTTCTTGCCTTGTTACTTGATGTACAGATATTAAGTATGGCTACTTGGACCACTACACAATAATGCCTGGTCTTATGTCCCTATTAGGGATGGATTGGCTCGTTCTTTGCTGTTGTCTTTATGCTACGTTTTGGGGAAAATGAAATGTCTTGTATTCTAACGTTTTATGCCAAAAAGATATTTCTTGCTTCTGTATCATCCAATGGAATTCAGTATTTGGGCATATTCTTGAAACTAAGATCATCTGTTCAACGGAGTAACATTATGCAAAGTACAGCAAACTGTATGCAGTGACAGTCATCAAAAAATGGATTTCAATCAGTGTAAGTATGATTTTCCAGTTGTTTTAACTTGACAGAAACTTTTAATTCTAGTCTACATTCATCTCAATACTTTCATGTTAAGGAAAGGTTAGTGTAGCAAAGGGGAATCTCAGGTAAATGGCATTAGCCGTATCAGTATACTTATTTTAAAAGTTATCTAACTTATGGCTTAATTACTAAGATTATTGTACGGCTTAGTTTAGGAGCTTTCTATTGACTTCTACCTTATTTTTGTATGGCTTATAGTTTGGAAATAATTGCATGTTGACTGAAATCCATTTTTGTGCATTATTTGTGTTTGAAATTGGTTGTTTTTTATCTTTACACATGATGGTGCATTGTGACCAGGTAACTTGCACGCACAGATGAATCAGATCTTTTGAAATATACGGAAAATAAGCACTAAACTTCTTCTTGTAATGTACAAGGTTATATAGGAGGGCCGAATTGTGTGGTTTACGGTGTAGGCGGATTAAATATACGAAACTTCGCCAGTGTATTCAAGATCAGTGATGTGTAAGGTCAGCGATAAAACTGAATTAAAAGAATCGCATGCTTAAGACAATTGCAACCCCGCAAATTTAAAGCAAATGTGGTGTTAATTCAATTTTATAAAACTAATAAACCACTTACTTTTGACACATTTGATGATTTACCATCCAAGCGAACTAAATTTGGATATGAAGTTTGTACAACGTTCAACATTTGTTTATACGAGAACAACTTAGATATTTCCCAGTTGTTTCCAGCAAATGGCATATACTCAATGAAGCGTACTTCAATAGGCTAAAAAGAATAACAAGTGTACGCATTTCGCGTCACCTGAAGTTGTATTAACATTTCAATATTCTATTACTCGTAAGGTAAATGGATTAGTCAATACAGAAAAAGCAGAATTCTTATTAATCAAAGAATGTTAATAAGGAGAACCTATGCGTCTATGTTTCCTAGTGGTTGGCAATCATTTGCAATGCGTAGTTCTAAAACGTCAAGCAAACTGATATATTCTTCCTAAGATTACCAGAGATATTGTCAAATCCAGCTCTCAGATGCTGTAGTGTTGATTTAGCTTTAAAACATTTGATATCAGAAACAATGCCTCACAATTCATTCATTTAACATCCTGATCTATAAGCTCAAAGGGTTGTACTTGAAAAGTTGATACGCTTATCTTTGAAAGTTCTACTATCGAAAACTTCAAGTCAAAGTACACCTCTATTCAAATAATGATCATCGACACGTGAAAGGACAAATTGGCTTGCAAGATAAAATGTTTTTCGCTTGTTATTGACTAAAAAATAAAAGAGACCAGATAATCCGCATATTTAACTGAAATTGACCAGTCATATTGATGGGTTGAAATGCTGATGAAAGCATGCGGCATCTATGGATTAGAAACTCCTCTTCGATATATCTTTCATTCTGTTCCATTCCGTTGAAGGATACATTGTCCACGTGGGGTAGTGTACTCGTTGATGTGTACATTTGACAAATCCACGAAGCCCAAACCTTTTGTTCAATGGTGTAACTGATACTAATGGATTGCAGCGTAAGGTGTGAAAAATACCGATGATATTATTAAAATCCCCATACCCAGCAATAATTTATTCATTTGCAAATTATCCCCTGTTCTGCTTGTTTTTAGCCTCACTTCTTGTGCTTTATGTTTCCATGTAATATTCTATGTTTATTTTGCCGGATTTCTCATCAATCTATTGTTATCACCTTCCATTCGATACATATATACTACTTATAGGCATCCTTATAAGAGGCTGTCACTACATTACTACTGATGATGACGATGACTATCATGGGGTATAATAGTCAGAAGGATTCATCATCGATGTCTTCTATCTTCCTATGATAAAATTCACTGAAAATTGCCCTTGGGACTCAACAGTGTAATAAACCATATGAAATCTGGACCACAGTATCTGCATATCTGTATAAGGAGAAAAGAAAAAAATCCAGTTGGAGGACGAGCTCCCCCATTCAGTCAAAACAGAAAATTTCTGCGTATTCTGGAACTGTGCACTAAACAAACAATTAGCTGGCATAAGTAGTATGAGGGAGTAGGAAAACATGGAAGCTCTTCATTTGTTCAGAGATGAAGTCATCAGAAATTTGTGTTGACTGATTACTTTCAGGTAACCAGAACTTTCAAATCACGGGATTTTATTTGCTTACTCCAACAGTCTGAAAGTACTTGGAATCCATCAAAATGACTTGATGGTTGGGATTAGATGTTTTTCTGGTCGTAGATATCGTCACTACTGATTAAATTATCTCATTTTGCCTGCATTATTCGAGTAGCATCAATCATTCGGTCTCCGCAAACTTTATGGTCTGAAAATAATAATAAATTCAGGAAGCCAACATGAATTCTGCTTTGAAATCACGCCTAGTTTTGAAATTCTCGTTTTAAGCAGAGTAACTAGTATTCACTTTATATAGTTCTAGAAATATTAGGTGAACAGAGAAGTTGGAGTTTCGGAAACCTGAAAAATACATTAAAATTACCTGATTTAACTGAGACATAAATGTATGTATGATATGAATGAGACAGTGATTCACTAATGAACCAAAACCAATAGGTCTACTTGAATTCTATAAAATATTTACTCCTACCATATAATTTGCATTGCTAATTTTACGGCTTTTACAATGCTTGTCACATTATTATTATGCAAAGCATTCAATCAGATGTTTTATGACAAATTGTTCCACATGAACAGTGTATAGTATCACTGATTACTGCACTACACTCAGTGCTATAAACTACTATAGTATTGATGAAGTTGTTTTCAGAGGAAATCTGTTTGAAACTACAGTAATCTATTCATACTGTGAAAAAGCGGACACTTTAAAAATTATTATTCCACAAGCCTATGAGTTAGAATTAATTGACCTTCTTATTAGGTAGACAGTAAATCAGCTAAGGTAAAAGTAAAACTTGAGCACGATGGTAGGGTATAATTTCATATCAGATTGTTTACTTGATATGGCTAACAGTGACTCCGAATTATTTGCTGGATGACATTACGAACAGAATTTACTGCTCATATTTCAAAGTAATCACACTACTTTCAAACTTCACTTATATAGTCCAGCATTTCTTCATTTTTTGTTTTCAAGATAATAGAATTTTCTAGTTATCTGCAACATGTGATGAGTTATCCGTGTTACATATCTGTGATCAATCTCTCCCTCCACCTAGCTATATTAGATTTAAGAATTATCACCAAAACCTCCCACCCTATTGTGTGATTATGGGTCAGTGCATCCTGAGCGATAGTGGAGGTTTTCTCTTAATTGCATGTCTTAGTAGGGTCTACTACTATGCATTTCGCTAAATTTTTGTACTCTGGTATACTGGCTGTCAGAGATTGGTTGCTTTGACCTCTATGCTTGACTTTACAATCATCAAATAGTATTTGACAGATTAGGTTGTTTTTCTTTACTGGCTGTACTGGGACTCTTAGTCTACTAAGTAGCTCTCTGAGAGAGTTTGTGAGTTTGAATCCCATCCTAATCCTAGTATTGTGAAGACTGCCACGTAAAAGTTTCTGTGACTTCTTTATACGGAAACACTACAGAGGATTTGAATTCCCCCCTAGGCATAGTGCAATGCCCACTAACATAACCACTCATTCTCTTATAAGTCCGTGTAAACTTTTCAGTAAATACCATAAGAGTAGTTGTTAGGACGCCGTGCATCTCTGATACATTTCAGCTTCCTATTCAGGCTTTTTGACTTAATTGTCAAACTCTTAGCCCGATTACTTAGATATTTTACCAAGTCTACCCTGACAGATGCAGGGTGAGATAATGTGAAACCCAAGTATTCTTCCAAATGTGTTGATTTCCTATAAAAAACTGGTACCTAAGCTTTCATCTTCTCCCCTCTCGATTTTGCAATACAACACAAGTAATTCTCTTTCATTTTCTAATTCATAAGCGAAATGGGTCATATTTGCTATCGAGTTAATGTGTGTGAAAAATCATTGGATATGTTTCGATTTCAACACAGTAAGTGTGCCATATTCATATCGCCACCAAACTTTAAAGTGGTTTGAAATATATTTCCAATGCCACTTGTTCCCGACTGTTCATGAATTTGTCTGCTAAGATCAGGGATATTGGAGATCTCATTGGTACACCTTCTGTTTGTTTATATATCTTGCTTTGAAATTTAAAAACCTCGGGGAGTTAGACACAACTGTATCCCTAGCATAATTTATTTAACTTCCTCAACTGGGTTAATGTGAACAAATACCACCTACCTAAGGTTATTATTTGCTTATTTATTCTGTTTACATTCACTTTGCGCCTGGATGACAGATTCTGACTGTATAGCTGATTTGATTATGAAAGAAAACTTGTGTATCTCCCACTCAAATGGCAGTCAAGTAGTTTTAGGCGAAAATGAGATACTATTTGTTGATAGTTGTAATTTTCCGTTGACATATGGTCTACTATGCTCAGTGGGAAGATGATCACTCACTGGTATTCAGAAACATGCGACTAACGGGTCCCAAGTAGGAGAAAGTGCACCTCCTGGATTCCTCTACCAGTCTCTATCAAGTAAATTATGGAAATGATACATGTTTAACAGTTGGGTTGTGTAGTTGGAGATGAGCTTGGAAAAATGTCACACAAAGATCTCATGGATTATATAATGTCTTAAGAACTTAGAATTACAATTCGAAGATTGTGTTTCCATAGCAATCAAATCCAGATCTGAAGGAGTTACAATCAAGCTGAAAGTAGTATAAAAGCAACAACCATACCCTACAAAAGACGTTTCGAGAACATCTTTGGAATATTTTAGGTGTGTTGAGTGAAATAAGCAACCCAAAGTATATTGTTCTAAACCTCGTTAAAACCATGAATTTGTTGCTGTGGCTCAGTGGTTTAGGGAGATGACTATCTATCAGTAGGTTATCATTTTAAGTCCTACTCCATCTACAGAGGTTTGGGAAGCCAAGTGGTTTCTGTCACCTGACTATGTGGGAAAATGTAGTTTTTGTCAATCGAGATTACCTCGAAAATTCTCATTGCTAATATCAACTCAAAAATTCCTGAGTGAAATAGTCAAGGTCAGCTGGATAAAGTTGAGTTGAAAATGGCATCTATCTGCTACTGAGTTGTTAACTACGACTGATATTAATTCACAATTCTTTTGTAAAAATAAAATCTTGATAAACAGTCATTAATTTAATCTTTCATGCATCCATTTTAAGTGATTAACAAATGGAATCTTCAGTAATCTGAAATATGAATGGAATCTTTACCAGTTTTACTGTTGGTGCACATAATTTTCCCTCTAAGGGACTATTTCTTGTCAAGAGTAATCCAATAGTAAGTGTAATTATATTCTAAATATATAAGTGAGAAAGTTTTTGAATATGCGATTGAAAAGCTGTTTTTTAAAGTAAATAAATTTTCTTAAAAACAAAAAACCTATGATGTGTTAAGAATACTGAAAATTAAAGGTATAGCCAACACTGAAAACTCTATAAATTGAATGATGATATGCTATACACATTTTTAAGAAGAAAAAAACCTTCCAGCATCAATTAAAAATACTAATTTATTCCAAGGAATTTGATTTCAAAAATATACACTTACTAGATATCGTGTTAATTCAACAAAATTGCATAATTCATCATCATTGAAACCTTTCATAACTACACAATTGATCTAGATAGAGAAAAATTTAAGTGAATGAAAATTAGTCATGTTGATAATCCTAGTGATCATAATGCTGTTTTGTTTTTTGAATAGATAAAACTTCAAACTAAAACATATTAGAGTATTTTTAGATTTAATATGATTATCTGAAACTCTATTTAAGAACAAATTATGAAGTCTGAAATAATATCAAATATATGAATATAACTTGAATCTGATATCTGAACTGATAACTGAAAAATATAGCTGTAATCATATATTGATTTGTTGCTGGAAGGTAACCAACTTCATGTTATCTAATCCTATATGCTGATCGAATTATTTTGATCACTTTGTAATGTAGTCACCTGGCTAAGAGACTCACCTTCACGAAGCATTAAGATACTTGTTAGTTGCATGCAGGTAAACAGCAGAAAGTCCACAATCTAGGTTTCTTGCTTCATGGCACTCGTCATTAAGATGTACTGCATCGGAACTGATATCCCAACGGAAACTTGAACACATATCACACAGTGTTGATGTTAGATAAGTTACCACTGAGCTAGCTATTTGAACCGAAATAGCTTTGACTGTCCCATATAACAATGATTTTTAAAACACCTCAGTAACTAAATATTGTTGTTCTTGCCTACGCTTTTCCCATATATGTATGTCATAATGCAAAATATTCGCAACATTTAAACTAAAAGTCTTTGTTTCCCTTAGGTTAGATTCATGTGTAATGTGTTATACAAATGAATAAATAGCACATCCACGTACACACAATAAATTGCTAATGTACAACGTAGTTACTGAGTGACTCTAAAGTTCACTCCAACAACGGCTAAAATAACCAATGAGGTTTCTTTATATTTCGGTTGGAAAGGCAGATTATTGTAAAACTAAGGATTTTAATTGGTTATTTTAGTTGTTGTTAAGGTGCTCTTTACAGTTATTCAAGCTATTTATTGTGCAACAGTTTACAATTAATTAGCAAATACGTTCCAATTAAACAGCACGAAAAAATAAAAAATCTAACGGATCCTTAGAAGGCGTGTAAAAATAGCTACATAATAGTTTGTACAAATAAACACAATAAATGGCTAGTATATACTCAACCAAATTTTGCATTGCTCTTTCTTCGGTCGGTTATTACCAAAATAAGTAGATTAATTTTAAAAAGGGAATACCTTCAGCTTTATCCAATGCAAATTAGCCAGTTGGATGCAGCATGTATGTTCATGATTAATAAATGTGAAAACGAAGACTTTTACAGCTATTTCTTCATTACTGAAAACTACTTCATGACAAAGAGGAAAGTTAAGGATTTCCAATGTAGAATTGATATCAGCTGGAAATTTACCCGAAACCGTAAAATGATGGACACCTTTTTCATTCTCGTTCACGGCTGCTTAATGATGGATATCTACCATCTTAATGAATAATAATTTCATGTTCATTAAATACAAGCTTCAAGAAGTATTTCTTGAAGATGTAGTCGGAACTTGTGTCTTTCCCCATCAATCGGTTAGCAAGTGGATACACATTTAAATTGATGACATTGAGTAGTAGTTGTATACTGCTGCTAATCGACTTCAGAATATATTGATCATGAGTGGGTCAAAGCTGAGGAAATTTGCCTCGAAACCTGAGGATGATGAGCAAAATTTGAAAGGGTTTCATTGTGTCACTGTTGAAGAGTCTCAGTATGGAAAAGGTTAACAATGGTTCTTCTATTGGTGCCAACCTATTCTACTAACTACGGTGATATTTCTTTCCATCAGAAACAGTTATCAATAAATAACATACTTTCTTCTCAAACTTATCAACTGATAAGTTCAGAAATTGGTATGTTGTAATAAACTTTATTGGCCATTACTTAACTTTCACGCCTATACAGAGGAATACCATCAAGTCCAAACTATCTCTTACGAAAGTATACGTGCAACAAGATGAAAAATTAAAAACTAATGATTTTGGGGGTAGTTAAAAGTGTTTTTTTTTGTGAAAATTCAAGATTATTATGAAGTTACTTTTTAATAGAACCCTACATTACAGAATGAATTCAGTTACTCTCAGTTAACAGGTAGGAAACTCATGATAACCACTACCACATTAAATTAAAGTGATGCTTAGTTTAAAAAAATGCTGGTAGCTGTTTGTTTAAAGAGTCAGTCACTCCTTAGTAACATCTCGGTATTTCTTAAGATTTGAAACTCGATATCGAAAGAAATTGGAAGTGTGCATATTTTGATACAGATGCTTACATTACATCATTCATCTGAGAAATGGTATTAAACTTAGGTATTTACTCGACCAACACCCTCGCCAATATTGCATGCTTCATTTTGCCTAGAAGACTGAAAGGGGGTCGGCTGAAGTAAAAAAGTATTGAGATACTACTGTTGTTCAGTTCCCAATGTTCATATTGAAAAGATGGGTTGAGAATACACTCTGCTTCTTTGAATTATTATGTCATATTACAGAACCTGTGTTTGTGCTGATAACTAGTTTAGGAATACACTTTGAAACGTTTGCATGGTAAGGATTTGGGTTAGGCATTGCAGTGCAAATGCAGAAACATTTAATTGGTGATCACTCTAATTATACGGATAACTTCACATTGTAAAAGATCAAGTATTATGTTCAGCGTTCAGTTCGACAGTACCTTACTAATTTAGGAAATGACAGGTAACTCAGTAGTACACACCTGGATTATAATCATTAAACTTTAGGTACCTTCGAAGTACTGTCGGTGTTTTAGATTCATAGAGTGAACAGTTTTCCGGTGAGAAAAGAGGTCCGCAGAAACAAAAGAATGTTAATTGGATTTTTTTTTGAGGGAATTGTGGAGATTTGGAAATATTTCAAGTTGTTATTCATCGTAGACTGACATCAGTTGGAAGAACAAAGGAAACCTAAGAACACTGGACAGCTGTTCCGTCCTAGTATGGGACTCCTCAGCAGTGCGCAACAACAACTTGAAATATTTCCGAATTTCCACAACTCCCTAAAAAAAATTCAATTGAACTGGTGCTCATTAGTGACTAGCTTCGAGAAGTATTCCCGAAGTTCCAATGACAAGTCGTGACCGGTGGAGTCGAAGCCTGATGGCCGTGAGGACAGATACTCAACGATAACATTGGGTGGCGGTTGCGCTATATCGTGAGCTAACAGAAGTTGGAAATATGGAGCACTGGATTCTGACCCAGTGGCTCAATGGTAACGCGCTGGTCGCGGAACCTGAAGGTAGCGTGTTCGATCCCCGGCGGGATCGTGAGTGCGCACTGTTGAGGAGTCCCGTACTAGAACGAAACAGCTGTCCAGTGCTCCCAGGTTTCCTTTGTCCCTCCAACTGATGCCAGTCTACGATGAATAACAACTTGAAAGGAATGTTATTTGAAAAAATGATTAAAAACCTCTAAAATGCATAAAATACCTGTAATGTGTTCTTAACTGGCAAATACACTAACTTTTGGTGAAGAAACAAATTTAGATGGTCATAGTTAGAACACGTCCTCAATTAATGAATTAGCTGTTTTTTTAGTGTGATAGGTCTGTATTTTAAACTTGCTAGATTCCATGATCACACAAGCAGAGGAACTAGGTCCTCAATAACACTGATGACTATGATGAAGGACGATGTCATAAATAGTTACACCTGTACATTTGAAATAAGTGAAGTTTTCAGTATTTGCTTCATTGTCATAAAATATGAACTTGGGCACTGAAGTGGGTAGTGATTTCACCCTTCGTCTGACATTTAATGACTCACTTAGTGAGAGAGTATGATTTCCTGGGTTGTGTTTGGAATATAATTTCTTCAGCAAACTTCACCTTACTACTATTTACTATTTCAGATTTAGGTAAGCTCAAGTGGTTTGTCTAACCGCAGCTGATGAATCTTATTGACAGCATACTAACTGGATGGAATCCACTAAATTTAGAGGTGACTCTCCTAGAGAGATACTAACTCACAAAATACGCATATCAATTCAAAACATTTTAATGCTGAGAATTTTGCAAACTACGTTTTCCGCACACCCAGTAGTGACACTGTGACTGAAAAATGAATCACCTATACTGGTCACTTCCTGCTGTGTTCATCAATTCGGCTGCTCCTGGACAGCCAGTTTCGTTGGCTACTGCTTTAGGAACTAAATTTTCGTGCTCATGAATACCGCCAAGCGTGGCTAAGTAAATGTGTGGTAAATACCGCCACCAACTCAATATTAGTACATTTACTTCAAACTAACCGTACGACGGATATGAATAAGCCGTTTTTCATTATTTACCGGGTTTCCATCAACTTACCAAAAGGTAATCGGCACCGATTCCTTCAAACTGCAGGAACGATGGCAGTCATGCTTCGACAGTCTGAGTTATGTGCTAAAAAAGTTTTCGACATAACAACTACACTGGGCCGACTCATGGCTAGTAAATCCTTCAGCATCCTACTCCATGTAATCTGATCTAATTCCACGCTATAGATATCCTTTCATCCCTATAATCTGAAATAATTTAATCACATTCTCTTGACGTGTGTTATTCCCTAACTTGATTAATGTTCATCCAAACTGTCAAATTATCACATTATCTGTCTTTGTTCATGGCATCAAACTTTCGTGCACACCTCCCTATTTTTCTACTAAACTGTTACCTCATAGTATTGCGTAAGCCGTATAATAGCTTATTATGAGGTCTCTTAATAAGTGGTTCTGAAATTAATGTTCCCACAAGACTTTTCTTAAGTGACTTCCTTAACTGTACAACATTATTAACTGTTAAACAAAACCTCAATATTGTTGATGAAAACTATGCAGTAAAGATAAATAACTGTAGAACCTGAAGAAGTTATCAAAAGAATATTCTTTGTTCATTCACATGGCTTTTAACATAATTTATATTGTTTAATTGATATTATTGTATCCTCCAGTCGTCAAGTTTGTTTTTAAGTGAGCCGTTAGGTTAAAATACCTCAATGTTGCCACTAGTATGCGTACTACTATAGTATATCACAAGTAACAGCTGTATTTTTTGAAATTTCTTATACAACTCTGGATCGGAAGTAATTTTTAGGTAATAGCATATCTTTCAAATGTTCCCTTTTGCTGCACATTACCGCTCTTGTAAGTCAGCATCAAGTGTACTGTTTGGAATGAAGCTGTTATTATTATCATGATTATCATTATTCATATTGTTATTATTATTATTATATTGTGTCCGTTTATCCATTCTTTCAGTCTGATTCTCTATCATCTACTCACCTCATATAAAATATTGTCAATACTAATATAATAGTTGCTTATTTCGAAATATATGCACATAAAAAAAATAAACCTATCACATACCTTAACATTATCAAATCCAATTTCTACTGCTTTTATTACAGCCGCCATTGAATGCTTGAATATAGCTTGTCCAGTCAATTTTATCAGTCGTTCTGATTTTAAACTGTCCAAGCTGATATTCACAGAATTCAATCCAAATTCTTTTAGCTTTGTAGCCATTTGTTTAAATTTTACTCCATTTGTTGTCATTCCAATTTCAGTGAAATGTTTATGTTCACATTTCAAAAAGTTTAAAGATTCTTTTCATAAAAATCAATTTGAAATATAAATTTCGAACTTATAATCTGAAGTATATCAGGTCGTAGTAGGGGTTCCCCACCAGTAAGTCGAACTTTCTGTATACCCCGATGACAGAAATAATTCGCAAGGAATAAAATCTGCTTTGATTGCATCATATATGAAGAGATTTTATTTATGTGAGGATTTCCCCTAGGCATACAGTACAAACCTTTAATTCAAAAACATATTTGTTTATTTTATTTCATCAACTTACAATTCAAATTGCATTTTTCCGTTAGAGAAATGCGTAAGTAGTCATGAATTCTACCGAAATTGTCAACAAGTTTTGAAAATTTCCTGATATGCTCATTCATGTTGAAGCACTTAACACGAAGAAATTTGAATAACACTCTCCGATAATATATTTTTATTTTAATTGGTTTGAAAGACAACCAATTAAATTGCAGCTAGCAATTAGTGTGTCGATGCACTTTCTTCAGATTACACTAAACGCCATACCACCAACTTCTGAAATAACCAATGTAGTGTTTTTATTTTGCTGAAAATATCACCCCTAAGGTTAAATCAAGAAAGTTAATTGGTAAGACCTTCATGGCTCATTTTCGCAGAGATTTGTTGTCATTCTTTTTTTATGAATTGATTTTGAGGTTATTAGGGTGTGCTTTTTGAAATGTCGCTGTACGTTTGCACGTTTCATAGAAAGTATTACAGCTAGCTGCATTTTCAGAGAATGTCTGAAGTCTCTGAATGACAGAAGAAATGTAAATCAGTAAAAAGAATTAAGACAAAACTGTAAACATCTCAAGAAGTGATTTTAATCGATCCAGGTGATACATTTATGGACATTTAATTTATGAAGTAATCTTTTTGTTGTTGTTGATATCACGGCTTGCGAACGGTTCCAGGTTTGAGTCTTAGTGGAAAAAATATCATTCACTAGGAGATAAGTACATCCAGGTGATGAGTCCCAGATAGAATGAAGCGTCGGTCAGTGGTTTCGCTGATAGGCACTATCTATCAGCAATATCAAATTTGAAGTAATCATTTACAATTCTCATGAAATCAGTGTGGAGATCTAATGCACTGCACTCAGCATAAAGCGTGAACAAGATCCGGATTTTCAACACCAACGTCAATTCAGTGCTTCTGTATGTCTCAGAAACTTGGTGCTTTACGAAAAGCATTTCCAACAAACTAAAGACATTCATCAACAGCTGCCGCCTACGCTCACTCGATACTGAAGATCAGATGAGTGGCCAGGATAGTGAGAATAAGCAACAAGGAACTCTGGCAACGAACCAATCAAGAACCTACCACCCAACAAATATGCAGAAGAAAGTGGAGATGGATTAGACTGAGCATACAGTGAGAAGGCATCACGCTCCAGGCCAGGCCCTCGAGTGGAACCCAGATGAAAAGCGACCAGTTGGACGTCCCAGCTGAGGGTGATATGGAGGAGATGGTGTGGGGAAAAAAATGAAAGCTTCTGGAAAGTCGAGGAGTCAGGTTCAAAAGACTTCAGAGAAGAGAATGAAATAGAGACGTGCTACTGAAGCCCTCTGTTCTACTAGGAACCCAAAGGATAAATAATAATAATTTGCAATCCTGGTTTTCGTGTTTAAGCCACAGTGACTAACTATAATTTCTTATAAATATATGTATATATATAATAGTACAATTCGATTATCTGAGCAGGTTTGATGCCGTATAACAACAGTGACTCACACCTTTCATGAGCAAATTTGAGCGTGGAAGTTTTACTTCATAACCATGGTACCAAACAGTAAGTTATGGATATTATAATACTGATTTTGACTATCTGAGATTGCCGTGGTTCGTCAGATTAATATTTATACTGGGTGATGATTGAAGGTGAAATGAAAGTCTGGACTGAGGCCATGTTTGGACCAGCGATCGCAGGTCGTCGGCCGCAGTCCAAATCTTCAGTTCACCTTCAGTCACCACCCAGTATTATAATACTGATACTTTCATATGCTAGCGAAGACCATTTGAGTCTGCAGGGATTTTTTAAAATTTTCTTTTCATCATATTTAATCGAAATCAATTCTTTCTGAAATCTTGTGGCCTTTCTGCTTTACAGCTGAGCAAAAGAAGTAAGATTGTTGTTAAATCTATTTCCAACCATATTTTATGACTTCGTTAGTTATTTCCCGTCTGCTGTTTCATACTACTTCCTGCTGGTAAGTAGTATTAGTCTATTTCAATTATCATGCCATCGAACATATTTCATTGAGTAATGACAACTCGTTAAAAATATGGCTTGGTTCAATTTGATTTCATTTCCATCTTTATGTTTTGATTCAGACCCTTCCATTTCTACCTGTATTGTATCATCTTCAGCTTTGGGATATGTTAATTTCTGAGTCCTGACATTTAATAGATTCTATGTTTAGCCTGGTATTTCATCCTCATATATTATTTAGACCAACTAGTTAAAACAGGTGTGCAGTGACCAATCATTTCTAGAACTTTGTGTAAAATCGTTTTGATTTTAGTTATCCAAAACAACTAGCCTGTCTTACTAATAACCATGCCCGCTTCAAAAATATGTTAACACCGTAAACATGGGTTTTACACTCTGCATCAATATTCATTGTAAATTATTATCATAGAACCGTAGTCTGTAACAATTTCCAACTATCATGCGTGCATTCAGCACGGATTTATGTTACGAAATATACGGTTATCCCAAGGGGCATAAGATATCTACAGTAATCAGTATGAAGCAACATTATTTTAAATAAACTTTCTACTTCTCTAAATAGACAGTCAAGTTTTATCACATTTTCTGTACGATCCATAACTTATATTTTACAATAAAACTGCTAGTCTGTAGTAAAGATGGTTAACTTTTTTAGAAAGTGCCTCTTGAATTTAAGAGGATGGTAGAGATTATAATGTATAGGAGTGCATGAACCCATAGGTTTTCTACTTTGCCGATATTAATCAACACTAAACTGTTTCTGATATTCGTCATTATTTTCTAAATCATATACCCCATTTACTCATCTATTCTGGTCCATCTAATATAAAATAAATATGGCCTGCATACTATTATTATTATTATTATATTATTTCTCCCTTGGGTTCCTAATGGAACATAGGGCTTCAGTAGCACGTCTTCACTCCACTCTGTTCTCTGAAATCTTTTGAACCTGGCTCCACGACAGCCCACAAGCTCTCATTTCCTCCTCGCACGGTCTCCTCCATGTCACCCTCACCTCGGACGCCCAACTCGTCGCTTCCCATCGGTGTTCCACTCGACGACCTGGACTGACACCTGATGTCCCCAGTCAGCCTTCTCAGTGTATGCCTAATCCATCTCCACTTCCTGCTACTGCATATTTGTTGAGCGATAGATTCTTGTTTGGTTCGTTCTCAGAGTTCCTTGTTGCTTATTCTTTCTGGCCATCTGATCTTCAGTAACGAGCGTAGGCAGCTGTTAATGAATGTCTTTAGTTTGTTGGAAATGCTTTTCGTAACGCGCCAAGTTTCTGAACCATATAGAAGCACTGACTTACTTGACTGACATTAGTGTTGAAAATCCGGACCTTGTTCTCTGTGCTGAGTGCAGTAGATCTCCACACTGATTTCAGATTAATGAAGGCCTGTCTCGCTTTTCCGATCCTGGCTCTCTTTGACGTCCTCGTCTGTCCCGCCTGTAGTTGGCCGGCATGCTATACATAGAATATTCAATAGTAGGAACTTTAGTAAGAGGCTCTTCACTTGCTACCAATGGATAGAAGATTGTTTTGCGATCCACCATGACAGTTACAATTCTTTGATGAATAAACTCAGTCAAAGTAGAATTAAGCACAGATACCCACTTATGAATTTAGAAATGACTATTTTACTGAGAAAACGGAGTTAAGTCAGAAAATTTGAACTAGTTGATTGAGGTCCAGTAGCTGAAGCATAGAGTGCTTGTTGCGAGACTTAAGGGGAATCGTCAGTCCACATAGCTAGGATGAAAAACTTGTCTATTGTTTTCTGGTTCTCAGTGGCTGGGTAACTACTGGCAGTTAGTGATTCAAAGTATGTCCAAAACAATCACTGTCTTAAGAACCAATTAAAGAAACAAAAAGGGAATAATTTTAATGACACAGATCTTTATGAGCTTTGATCACAGTAACTATTCACCGATATTAAATGATACGTGATTCTAGAAAGCATCGAAACATTATGAAGTTAAAAAGTTAGGTGAGAGATAAAGTTTAATAGCTAGGCTTAAAATACTCCTCAATTCAACAGCACACTTGAAGAGCTTTTTTAAAATCTATTTCTTTTCATTTCCCTTTATCAACGATAAAATAATAATAACAATCTCTGGAACGGAATAACAGGGATCCTTTTTATTATTTTGGCAGTTGACATCAACTGCTCGCAAACCAGAATATTTACAATAAGAAGTTATCGTACTTTAGCGAGTTCTAATGTTCCTACCATTCATTTGTCATTTTCTGTGTTGAAGATAAGAAAACTAATTTGTCGAGATTATTAATTGGAGTGAAACAGCATTTTCGTTAAAGTTACATCAGATTAAAACTTCAAATCAGAAATTCTGATGCTTTATGTCACATATATATGGTGTCATTTTGTAAATAGTTCATGAGCATATTAAGACTCGGGGTGGACATTGGCTATGTAATGTAGCATTAACAAGTGGTATACGCTAAAATCAAAACAATTAGGTGAAAGGATTCGTTCTTAGACTTTTTATCGAGCAAAAGGAAGACAGGAAACTAGACATGTATATAGGCAGAAAACCTACATGAACAATTCGATGTACTCTTTTCTATAACCTCATTCCACTCCAAAGAAAAGCAGTTTGATCAAAAGCTTTACCAAAACGATCAGAAAAGTGTTTTTGTATCATATTAGATGGTGAAAAACAGAAACTTGGAAATGAGGAAACGGTGAATGCATATATCTGGGAAGATATCAAGAGGAATATGCCGGAAAGAGTGCTAGGAAAATGGAGGTAGGAATTTCGTGTCACAGAAGTTATTCGTAACTTATTATTGCAAAGAAGATACCGTGTTCCTGCATTTTCCTGTTATACAAATGAAACTCAACTAAATCTTGAATCACCAGCTAGTTTTCTGTACGTTGATAAGCTATTTGGTTTAAGCCTAATGAGACTATGATGAAAAAGCTTATTTACTCTCATAAACTGTCTCCAAAATAACAGAATGTTTGCGAATCACGAAAGAATAAGAGATGATTTCGATGCTAAGATGTGTCGACAACGTCTGGAATAAATGTAACAGTATAGAATGGCAGTCAACTCTCTATCTCAACTTCATCGACATCAGATAGGCCTACGACAGAGTCAACCGAGAAGTAATTTGGCAGCTGCTTCAACACTACGGAGTACCACAAACCTTTATCAACCTCATTCAATAGCTATATGAAGACGCCACATGCCAATTGATCCACAATGGAAAGCTCAGTGACGCCTTTGAAGTGAAGACAGGAGTAAGACAGTGTTGCCACCTACTATCAATGATGATCTTTCTGATTGTGGTCAACTGGATCATGCAGCAAACAGTGAGGAGCGGGAAGAGGGAGATACGCTGGACCGGGGAAAAGATCCTAGAGGATTTGGATTTCCCTGATGATGACTTGTGTCTAATGTCGCACAAACTCGAAGGTCTACAGGCGTAAAACTAACAAGTTGACAGAAGAGGTGAGGCAGTGAAGACGGGACTTCAAGTGAATGTAGGGAGGACGGAGGTGATGATGATACCCAGCCAACAACATTAACAATAAGCAGCAATCACCATCAAAGGGAGAAACCTAAAGGAAGTAGTCTCTTTCACCTATCTAGGCGGCATCGTTTCGACTACAGGCGGCACAGACGAGGACGTCAAAGCGAGCCAGGATTGGAAAAGCGAGACAGGCCTTCATTAATCTGAAATCAGTGTGGAGATCTACTGCACTCAGCACAGGGAACAAGATCCGGATTTTCAACACTAATGTCAGTCAAGTAAGTCAGTGCTTCTATATGGTTCAGAAACTTGGCGCGTTACGAAAAGCGTTTCCAACAAACTAAAGACATTGATCAACAGCTGCCTACGCTCGTTACTGAAGATCAGATGGCCAGAAAGAATAAGCAACAAGGAACTCTGAGAACGAACCAAACAAAAACCTATCGCTCAATAAATATGCAGAAGGAAATGGAGATGGATTGGGTGTATACTGAGAAGGCTGATTGGGGATATCACGCGTCAGTCCAGGTCGTCGAGTGGAACGCCGATGGGAAGCGACGAGTTGGGCGTCCGAGGTGAGGGTGACATGGAGGAGACCGTGCGAGGAGGAAATGAGAGCTTGTGGGCTGTCGTGGAGCCAGGTTCAAAAGATTTCAGAGAAGAGAGTGGAGTGGAGACGTGCTACTGAAGCCCTATGTTCCATTAGGAACCCAAGGGACAAATAATATAATAAAATTAATAGTACTTTATTTTTCATTCAGAATGTTATGATATTAACTTATGAATACCATTTAGTATTCGTTCTACAGCAATAGTGCATGAACTGACCCGTTTAATGAGATTAATGACTTCGGACCATATTGCTGGTCAACTTTCATTAGTGAAACTGTACTATGTGACCACTAAGATATGAGACTGTTTATGATACCATGTACTAACTGAACCGACAAAATTTATCGTCTGTTTCAACTTTGTTCCGACAACCACTTCTTTCTGGTCAGCACTAACTTGAAGCATAACGACAGACCATATTTCACATGGCGCTCGCCAACATCAAACCAAAGATGGACACAAGTAGATCATATTGTCATCCAAACTGACTCATGTAAGAACTGGTTCCAGCTGCCTCTGATCACAATAAAGAGTGACAGCAGCTGAGACGTAAGTTGATCAACAGTTCTCACGTACATTACGAACAGTGGTGGGTAGCGAAAGCGACAAACAAGCAGAAGATATATGCGTTTGGCAACATTCGGCTACTATTTAGGCTTCTGAAGGATACCCATAAGAAAAAGACGATGACCATTGTAACCATCACCGAGAAGGATACGACGGTGATAACCTCCCACGACTGGTGGCTAGAACGTTGGGTAGAACACTTTGGAGCATATTTCAATTGGTCATCAACAACGCTTCAGTTGCCTAATATCCAGTCCGAACCTAAATGGGAAGTAGATCCCAGTCCTTCAACTGTTCCTAAACAGCCACGGTCGCATAGAACCCGTAGTACTTAAAAGAAAAACACTGGGATTATTATACAAATCATAGTAGCGCAGAAAAGAACTAACCAATATGAATGCTGCTATATATGCAAGCACTTTTCCTAGTTTCATCGGACATCATACGTTGATTACTATATATGTCTAATGCCTCTTTGAATGGTTGCAAACCATCAAGTCTCCTTATTCTCATCAGAAAAGAGTTTACTCCATGTAGTCATACATGATTATTCATAGATAATGACAAGAAAATTTTGATAAACAATAGAAATCTCAGTCAGTAATAGTCTTCTTAGTAAGGAGAACTATACGACATTCAATGGACTGAAATTTGAGTGATCTCTTGAATTAGTCTTTATTAGTTCGTCATCTGCATTTAAATGTATAATCTCATCAGAATGCTATCAAGAATTCACAATACTGAAGTCGAACATAAGACATCCAAGCAGTCATCTGGATATCCGCAAATTTAAACAAGAAACCACACATTTAATTCAGTATCTAATTCGAGATGTATTGAACGAAGTCAATTTTGCAGGAAATTGCTATTCAGAAGCAATTTTTGTCTAACTAGTACTGATTGTTATAAGTTGGCTACGACTACGGATATACATGCTACTTGTAGTAGTTTTGAAGTGATGAGTTCTGAGACATCTTTTGTTTCACTCTCATTGCAGTTCAAAATAATAAATGCCACTCAACAACAACTTTCCCCACTTATTCAGGAGAGTTTTATTTACTTATTATTATGGATCTATATCTTATAAAAATCTATTGTTGGTCTGCTATTTATATAATGAAAGTCAACGAATAATAGATTACCGGTATCACTAGTCATCCATACATCTCCTACTTCCTTGAAAAATGATTTTAGAAAAAGTTCATTTCCATGAAAGTAAACGCAGTCCATATGTTTTGTTGTTAAAGCCTTGTAGAATTTAAGCATCCAGCTTTTCCATGCATCGGTTAATTTTTAATGACTTCCTGCTCAAATATCTTTAAGTGCAGATACACTTTTTTGGTCTGTTCTAGTATCCCTCCTCAAGTTAACCATCATGCAAGTATCATAAATTGAGAAGTTACGATGAAATGAGTTGCCATTTAAAGATATCTTCTTCATTGATAAAAAGTTGTACTGAACAGTGTACTACACATGGTGAAGGAATTGCAGCTCGGCCACAATTCTGCACCAGTATTAATAAAACTTTTCAATATTTGATGAAAATCATAGATTTTAAAATACTGACTGTTTAGCAACTGCCATGACTATTCTGATTAGCGGAAACGATTGTTATACGTTTTCAACGGAGCCTGTGCATACAGTAAGAGAATGAGCTCAATCTCTACACTTTGGTGACTGTAATTCGACCTGAATTTCATTTTGACATAATTATTGATACCAATTATCTGGTAATTCCAACCTACTCAGTTGATCTCAATCTTATGGGTTTCAATTCTTTGCATATTACGTAATTTGTTAGGTCGCATAATTCTTTTCCTTTCTTACCCCTCAGTAAAAATCTTTTCTTAACTTTGTTGTTACCAGTCAAGATTATTTTGTGAAGGATAGGTTATATCCTTTTCATCAGGCTGTCGAGTGACCCAGGATTTGATGCTTCTTTCAAAAGATAATTGGTTGGTAGGCATAAACTACTGATTACTAAAAGCCTAGTGGCAACAGTCATGCTTACATAGCTATAAGAATGGACAACTACGTACATTGGTAACCAGTTACAATTACGTCTCTGTGAATAACATATTGACATAATTATAATTATTGTGTTGAAGATAAAAGGCAAATTGGGAAGTTTAATACAACACTGTGTTTTGCCATCCTATTTATATAAAAATAATAACGATCATAACAAAACTCATCATAAAAGAATAATAAACACAAACAGATAAGAGGACAAAATACAACTCAATTTTGTTAAATGCAACTTGTCTAAGAGGTATACAAGAACAGCGAGAAATGCAAGGAAGCGGCAGAGACGTAGAGGAGGAAATCACGGATTGAATTCCTCTTCATCCTTTTTTTTACTGACTTCAAATCAGACGTCCTGCTTTTCCAGACGATGCTGAATCAAGAGATTTCAACTCGGTGAATTGTGCGTCCACAGTTAATTGTAAGGCATGAATAAATGACTGAAGTGAAATTGTAATCGGTTTAGCACAATTCGAAAGTGATGTTGGTAGTGATGATGCTATTGATGAATTATTCACCTCATGCATATTCATACTTGATGTGCTAAGATTACAACAGGATATACTATCATTTACAACAGATGAATCTTGTTTACCATCTTGCGGTAAATGAACTCGATGACGATAGTGTAGGGCAAGGCTGTATCGCATATCAGGGATCACTTTATTAAGGTGAAATGCATACGCTAATAGCGGTAGTTTACGCAGTGTACGACCATTTAAACCAAGACTACATTCGGATAGACGCCATAGTGAAATACTCAACGAATTAACCTATAACAAAATGGATAAGAGAAATTATTTAATTAAAACAATTGGTCATAAACCTAATAATGAGGAAGTATAGCTCCAAACTATTGTAACAAGTTGCATGCAGATTAACGACAGTATCTGGCTGTTCGGTCAAAAGTCAACTGTTTAGACTAGTGAACCTCAGTATCAGATACGCTAACAGACACATCAACCCTTAGCGAAAACCAATTTTTGATACAGTTATGAAAAATACACGAAGCTAAAAACTTTGTCTGGTAGATAACACAATTTTACTGCATGTTAAATCAAATAAATTTCTTTATTATGGAATAATACTCTACCATAATGTTCCAATTCTACTCTTATATCAGTGCAAAAGTCCAGATTGATATACTTCTAAAAAGCACAGATAGATCAACTTTACAATGATAGAAAGGATTAAATAGGTAAGTTGTAAAATGACTAACCATGCAAATTGAAGTGCTGAGTATGAATTTCACACCTAAGATCCGGTATTACGAAGAAGAGTGATGAAACCATCAAAGACAAAACCTAATTTACTTAGAGATAACGATACACACCAGTTGATCCGTCGTGGGCGTTGCTGATAAGAATGGATACAAGTAGTATATGTTAGAAGGGTGACAGAAATCATAGGGAATTACCAGCAACGGGTAAGGATTGTGCCAAGAAGAACGCAAGAGACAATGAAGGCGTATGAAGAGCAAATCACGAGAGAAAATGAAACACACGGTCTTATGTTCTGAGAGTGAGTCTTGTCTATCAGCGAGACTGCCACCCCCGTATCTATTAGACACACGATCATTTATTCGCATTCTAGCACATGCGGCACCTCGATCTATGGCTCCTACAATATCTAGTTTAGTCGGGAAAATAGAACTCATATTATGTTGTTCAAAAAGTTTTCTTTTTTGCCTCTCCGGACAGTTTCTTCGCCAGTGTCCTAGTTTTTCACATGTAAAGCATTTACTCTATCTGTTGATATTTATTCGAAATGCAGCCACCTCCGCCTGAAGATTATCGATTTAGTTTTTCCAGTTATTTACCTCAGGTGACTCCAATGAAGCTACTGCTGTACCCATCAGCTGTCTGGTCACTTTGGTCATCTCACTAATGTCCATAGGTTGGGTTGCGTTCACTAGTCGTAACTGCTGGGCGATGGCATTCGGGACACTTTCGGTGAACTGTGCAGCCAGCAAATGTTCCTGGGAGTCCTCATCCAACGTCGGAAGTGCTCGTCGAAGTAGTTTGGTCAACTTCACTGCCAATACCAGCGGCTTCGCCTATTCCCAGTTTCGTGCTCATGAACTCCTGCATCGCCAGCTCCCTGTCTGCTGGGTTGTCAAACTCCACCTCCAGGCGTTCAACCATTCTATCTCAAATCTTATTCCCGTCCACGCATTCCACATCGTCATATGCCGTTTCCGTTTAACCCCTCAGTAACGTGCCTAGCACCACGACCTTCTCTCCTGGGTCCCGGACACCCACTAGCTCCGCGACCGACTCGAACTCCCTGAGAAAGACTTTGATGTCTTTATCCTCGAACACTGCAGGCCACAGAATCTTCATCACGTACAGAGGCAGCGACACTGATTGAAAGAAGCAAGAAGAAAGATACGAAGGATGGGATGTTTATCGTCAACAAGTGGGACAGTAGTCGTTAAATATGGTACACCTTGCACTAAAACTGTCATTTGCAAAATGTGCTTCATTTTCTCTTCTGCTTCTTTCGTGATTTGTTCTTTATACGCCTGCGTTGTCTCTTGCGTTCTTCTTGGCAGAATCCTTATTCACTGCTGGTAATTCCCTTTGATTTCTGCCACCCTCCCAACATATACTACTTGTATCTATTCTTATCAGCAACGCCCACTACAGATGGGTTTGAACACTATTTGTTTTTTAATCCATAAAACAATATGGCGACTTGAATTAACAACATTTAAAAGTAATACACAATAATACGAAACAACAACAAGAAAACATCTATATGGTTGATATCTAGAAAATTACACCACTCGGCGGCTTCAGAAGCTATCATGCATACTTCAGAGTTCAAATCATTGGGGATTCTGCTTCAGTTTTCTTTTTCCTATGTAAACATTGAAGGTAGAAGAAATTTTCTTCACTATATCACAGTATGGCTGCATGCTCTCTACTCATGGTCACTACAACCATGTCTAATATGACTTAGGTCTGTACATTTTGAGAAACCTTATATTTTGTATGGCACATTTCCTTGTCGGTATTCATCGTATACTGAAATCAGTTGGAGGAACAATGGAAACCTAGTCGCAGGTTCAACCCCTGGCGGGGTCGTAGGTGCGCACTGCTGAGGAGTCCCATACTAGGATGAAACAGCTGTTCAGTGCTCCCAAGTTTTCATTGTTCCTCTAACTGATGTTAGTCTACGATGAATATCAACATGAAGTATCTCTAAATCCCTACAAACCCCCAAATCCAATTGAACTAGTGCTCATTGGTGACCAGCTTCGAGAAATGATTCCCGAAGTCCCAGTGATAGGTCATGAACAGTGGGGCGAACCTGGTGGCCGTGAGAACAAATAATCAACGATGACATTGGATGGCGGTAGCACTATATCGTGAGCCGACAGAAGTTGGAAATATGGACCACTGGATTCCAACCCACTGGCTCAATGGTAACGTGGTGGTCATGAGACGTGAAGCTCGCGGGTTCGACCCTTGGAGGGGTCGTGAGTGAGCACTGTTGAGGGTGAAACAACTGTCCAGTGCTCCCAGGTTTCCATTATTCCTCCAATTGATGTCAGTCTACGATAAATACCAATTTGAAATACCTCTAAATCCCCACAAACCTGCCAAGTTCAATATTTCCTCGCGCCTCTTAGTGTTCAGTGTGTATTTTTCAACATGTAAATAAATAAATAAATAAAACAGAAATTCCAAAAATTAACTATTTCATACCTGATTCTCTGTAAACTGTACTGATGCTAATGTTTGATAACTTAATAGTCGGTTATCTTTTGAGGAATTGATTAACCCAACTCTAATTAATTCTAGTAAACAAGAACGATAGATTGAATAAATAGCTGGTGGTGAAGGTGGACCAATAAATATACGTAAATCAGCTCTGTCTAAAAATGCTGGATCTATAACACCTGTTACGTTTGAAGTGGCCAGTATCAAGATATTAGGGAATCGTTTAATCTAAAAGAATATGAGGGTGATAAAAATTAGTTAGTCCTAATGATCTTAATAAAATGTTAAACAAGAGTATATGCAAAAACAGTCAACAGATATAATACTTTACATGTATATGCTTACTTCATTTAGGGTGATCCATTCAATACCATAGATTTAGTTAGCAAAACTCAGTTTTATTTTTAATTGATGGTCAAAAGTTACTGATAAACAAATTCTAAATGGTAGGCTAGACCAAGAGAAATGATAATGCACAGCATTCAATTCATTGCCACCTATTCGAAATTTATTAATACACAGAACTATGACCGAGTTTTGAGTTGGTTAAAATCAAGAAGAAACGTATATCTGTAACTTTGTAAAATGCATGCTATTTTTCTGTGATTCCAAAGTGTAACATTCAGTGACAGCTGGATGCATCCATCAATCAAAAGGACCAAATAAGGTTAGCTTGAATTTGTAACAGTGCATGAGTTTAATTGTGATTTTCAAATGTACTATAAAACACAAAACATACGTTCAGGGTTTCTGCTATTTGTTTTCGAATCAACAAAATTCAGCAACCGCGTACAGGTTCGTGTATGCACTGAGCTATCAGTTAAAAGTATTGTAACCGCTAATTAGTCAGTATCAAAATAGAATATGGAACTACGAAGAAACGATCCAACATAAAAAAAACCCCATTTTAACACATCCAGAGAGAAAATTTTTAAAAACTGAATAATTCTCGAATCACGCTTTATCTGTATCGTGAACTCCTAGCTGAAAATCTGCATTTTTTTTACGTAAATCAAACCAACAGTTAGAAACTTCATAAATTAACATCATTTTATATTCCGGTAAACTTAAATCTTTTATTTTAAAAATGCAAATAGTGTCAAACCCTAGTTTTAAGCCAGTGTTCCAAGATTAGAGAGGGAATAGGAATCCGATCAATGCATCTACGGAATGGTATCAAACCTACATAGTTTTCTCGGGTTTGCTTTTAATGGGCTTTACTTAGGTGCCTAACGATTATAGAACCTACTCTTGAACACCATATTCTAGTGAATGATTTCCCTGCGGTTACTACAAGATCTCCTCCTTTCTTGAAAACTGGAACGACTAGAGACTGAGGCCAGGTACAGGGGGACATATTTGATTCCAATACACTAATTAAAACTCCAGTTACTATTTCAAGAATCTTCGACCAACAGTATTAAATACTTCTGTTGCCAACACGCAGAAACATTCTACCTTTTCTTGTTCTAGGTTGCATACAACGTCCCCAACTTTAGTGAAAGTTGAAGGTCTTGTCTCAGTTTTTTTACTCAGAAAGTGACTGGATAGCGTGTAACCGGAGATTACTTGGAGGACAGAAGAGCTGTTCCCCGAAGCGTTCCACCAATGGTTTCAGTCGTCTCTCATGTAACTTGGTAGCATATCTTTCTCCTTCATAGTTTCATTAACTATTGAATTTTCCATTCCAGTTCCTCAAACAGACTTCTAAGATTGCCTGTGAGGAGCTGTTGAGTTGAACTGAACCTGTGGGGTTAAGGACGCAAACGTCACTGCACCCGCTAAAGTTTGATCAGCCAGCTAGTATCATAAGCTCTGACATAATAGGTGTGGTTCATTAATGACTGCACGGATGTGTACGTGGCTGCTTAATGTATTTCGATTTTATTCAGACTACTACCTATCTTTGTTGCCTTTCCCATCTTCCTTTCTCATTGTCGAGCCGCACTCTCGATAATCTTGTTGCTGTTTTCTTACCTACATACATTAAGGCGGAAACAGGAGGGTGTTCAAACCAACCCGTGGTCACTGTCGAACCACGTGCTCCAGAAGAAGCAGCAACCTTTCACAGACCGTCTCTAATGGTAACTGATATCAACGTAATCTATTTCATCCTCTAACGAGTTTAGAAGAGGCCATCTCACACAACGTCTCTTTTTATGCCCGCAATGCATGCCAACCAGAAATATGTGATTATCTGAGCAAAGTTGTAGTAGACTATCATCGTTATCTGTTCGTCTGCATGAGATTCTGAAAGTGTCACCCATATGCCTTTCTGTATGACAGCCTACCTATGAGACCATTGAAATCACCTTTAACGAAAAAAATCTGGTTCGGCTCCGAGTAGGAGGGATAGAAAGTTTCTGGAAGAACTCACCTTTTACTACATCGAAACTGCAGTCGGTAGGTGCGTGAGCAGAAATTACAAAGAGACAACAGTGAGTTTCACCATTCTTTTTAGTTCTCTATGCTCCATTTAGCAAACGACTGTCAACTTGGAGTCAGTCGAGCGGTGCACATTCTGTCTCAGCGCTTAAGATCAGACCCACACCTGAAAGACTATGAAAGCTAGCTGAAGAATCTTTAGAAGACCAAAGGGTGAATTTTGCAAACTCACCATATTGTTCACAGAAGGGTAAGTGAATGATAAAACAAGAGTCCCCTGAGTCTCATATCAACAATGTACGGCTATAATCATAGATATAAGATTTTTGGCTAGCGAGGAAGACTTGTACTTTGAAGTACAACTTTAGTAGATAAAAAACGTTATTCCGTCAACTCGAATGGTTACCATGAGACATAGAGCTAGAGGTTGAAAATGAAGTGGGTTTACTCAGAAAGAAACATGAAGAGAATACAGAAGGTAACGAACCGAAACACCATCGATATTTATAAGGGACTTGGATACTGAAGGCTATTGATGCTTCCTGAATGCCTATACTGTGGAAGAGAGGGTGCGTAAACGCAGAACTCAAGGGACAAATGCATGAGGCTGGCTACATGGCCTTTTTAACAACTTCGGACTGAGACTTCACTGTGCTACCACGAGACAAGAAAAAATTTCATGCCACGGTAATCTATTTGGTTTAAAATAGAGCACTAAGCAACTGAAGCACACCAGTAAAAAGTAAATTACTCATATTTATTATTTTGGTGTATTATTATTATATGACATGCACAACTTTTTGATGACCATCTAGAAGTTATACAATGTACTTTATGGTATAAACACTATATTAGTTTTAAAAAATCAGACGGTTCCTTCTACTTATTTGAAAGTTGTCAGGTAAACTTTACCGATTTATACAAATAAACATATTCAGAAAATATTGATACCCGTGGTTTTGACGGATTGATTCACCTACATATTTTAATTACGGCGAAATAGATTGAACAATGAAAGTGATCTAGTGGACATTGAATATATGTATTTGGTTCACGTTTTAAACTTCGAAGTAGAACACCCATCCTAAACTGTTAATATGATCAAAAATAAAATCTAAACGTTTGGTAAGGACTATATTATCAGTCATGAATAAATGACTAGTATTTATCAATGTAAGCTAAACTTGGGCAGTGTGGTAGAATGTAATTCCATTTTGGTTGATTTATTAGATCTATCACACAGTGGAACAGTATTGTTTACTGGATTACATTTCAGCCACAATTTATTGTCCACAGTCATATCAAGATAACTCCACAACTTTGAGACATGGTTCATATAGTTCTAATTTTTTAGCCTCCTTTGTGATATGGTTAGTATAATTTTCCATATATCCGGAACAAGCGCTAAGTTATTCTTGTTGCATGTATTACATGTTGATTCGATAAACAAACATTAGGTTATCAATCTCTTCTCTCACCTTCCACTAAGTTAGGGATGAGGATGTGACAAAGTGAAAGTCCTTTACTTCACGTACCCTATTGACTATTTAGATAGAGAGAAACAGTTTATCTATACAGCGGCACTGACAAATAAAGAGACATTATGTTCAGTGCACATCTTACTACATCAAGATACTTTAAGTAAGAGTATACGTCATGCAACTCATTAGTTTTAGATGTGGTCGAAAATAAACCAAAATGGAATCTGCAAACATTCAAACAAACACAAGTTGATTTCTTTTACAACCATTATTAACATACCATTTCTAGATACATCTTTATACTACCATCATCGCAATTTGGTGTGATATCTCTTGTGGCCTAGTATACAACAAATGTTTTTATATAATACATAGAATGGAATTTAAAAAGGCTACTTATAACAAATATCTATAGAAAGGACAGGTACATGCCATAAAGTCAAAAAAATTGCATTCACCTGATCAATTTGAGTTAAAACAGCATTTACAACTCGAATAGCATCACTTGGCTCACAGCCTGACATTGATGAACTTCTTACAGCTGTTAAACTTTCAACTTCATCTACTAATAAACACACCAAATGATCACGTGACTCCAAGTATTCCTTGATAGCATCAAACATTTTCGATACAAGACGTGCACTTTCTGAAAACCACTTGGACATCAAATTCATTGTGTTAATTTCAATTAACTGTGTTGATGAGTACCGATCAGCCATTCGTATGGCTAATTTATTAGCTAATGCTCGACAGAGTGAAGTTTTACCAGTACCTGGAGGACCATACAGTAGAATGACTCGATTCCAAGAAATCACAGAGGAAGATACCTAAGAGGCGATGAAATAAAGCAGAACAAATCTGAATTTATAATTTTAGAAATCACTATACATTAGAAGTTTCTTTTGGGACATTGCTAACAAAGGTTACAACCACTAGAATATTTCTTACCTCCTTAATTCACGTTTATTTCGGTACAAACTTATTACTTTCTAATCATTGATACACCATGAAGCTAACTTACATTTCGATAGATAGTAAATGGACTGTAATCATGAAGAATAAATTTGAAACTACATGCTGATAACTACAGCAATTAAAGTAATGATGGATAGTGACTAGCGGTGGAATCCAGGATGCTCACTTCGTCCTATTTGGAACTCGTCAGCTGGATGCACCTACCTCACAGTGAGTGTTGTTCCCACCAGGATTCGGACTCAGGAGCTATCGCTTCAAACGCCAGGTAATATCGAGGCATCCACACACGAGCTCATATGCGATCAATTCGATTCAATCAACGACGGTATAATACAAGCAATTATATTAGGGTAATTACACTTTGAAATACTCTTACATATCCAGTGAGTATTCATGTCAGTTTATAATTACTAGTATGCAACTTGGACGAAACCTTGTACAGAAGTACATTCGCTCAAGTTGCAACACTTTACACACAGGTTGCAAAGAAAAATGAGTGGAAAAATAGTGATATCAAAGTAGAAAAGAATGTATGAAAGTAGAAATAAGTTGAAAACCAAGGTTAGTCAAGCATTCAAGCTTCAGAGAAAATCGAAGAGTAAATATGTCCGAGCCAATGTAATTTATTTCCAGCTATTTCACCCAGTGTCCAACCAATAATTTCTGTTACCTTTAGGACTTCAACCAAGTGGTCTACACTTCCCTATTTAGTTAAGACCAACAGTTAAAGACCTCCTGAATTGGTGTCACACCCTGTTCTGGTTACTCTTTGACTTCCAATTGAATGCCAATTCGGTTAACACTGCAAGTTGAGGTAGACAGTGGTTCGGTAAGCGCACCAAGTATCCAAGTCACCCAAATTAGTAAACATTCATAACCTCATCGAATGGCTTATCTTCTTTGCCTACTACTCTACTCTAGACATAAGATTGCTCACACAGTGACTCCGATATGTGCGAGCGATGTAACGAAGATTATTATTATTATTTGTCCCTTAGGTTCCTAGTGGAACATCAGCTTCAGTAGCACTTCGCCATTTCACTCTCTTCTCTCCAGTCTTTTCAACCTGGTTCCACGACTGCCCAGAAAATCCCATTTCTCCCTCACACCATCTCCTCCATGTTATCCATAGACGCCCAACTCGTCGTCTCCCCTTTGGATTCCACTCGACGGCCTGGCCTGGCGCGTGATGTCCACAAAAAGTCTTCTCAGTGTATGTCCAGTTCAATCAATGCCACTTTCTTCTGCATATTTGTTGGGCGACAGGTTCTCGGTTGGTTCGTTGCTAGCTAGCCAGAGTTCCCTGTTGCTTATTCTTTCTGGCCATCTGATCTTCAGTATCGAGTGAGCATAGGCGTCAGCTGTTGATGAATGTCCGTAGTTTGTTGGAAATGCTTTTCGTAACGCGCCAAGTTTCCGAGACATACAGAAGCACTGACTTAACATTGGTGTTGAAAATCCGGATCTTGTTCTTTATGCTGAAAGCAGTGCAATGAAAGCCTGCCATGCTTTTCCGAAGATACTCGTGGTCAAAAACCTGTGATCGCTTCGTATCTTGTACCTTAAACGGCCGTCTTAGCCGTGGACGACAGTGGACTTCAGTGCAGCATACTTTTCTTTTGATCAGCAGTCGGATATCTTTCCGGAAACAGAGATGACATAAGTCACTGAATGTCAAACTGGGATTCTGTATCCAAGATAAAATTTTGTCAGCAACCAGTTTATCTAGGCTGATGCAACTCCAAAACTGAGCCCAGTAGTCCCTGTATTCTACTAATCAACTGACTAGCCTTATACTAGGGGTGGCTGAAGACCAGTCTTGAGGCATCACTCTGCATTGTAAAGTTGTATTAACTTAAAATGCAATGACTTTTGGTCAGTAAAGTACATAAATGTAGATCTAAACGTGGTAAGCACTACAGCGTGATAAAAAAGAATGACACATGAGTTCTGCAAGAGTGCTACAGTACTCGGTGGTGACTTTGAGTTGCTAATTGTAATCGACGTGGATAAGCACTTCTGAGACGACTGATCCTACATGAGGCAACAAAATAAACAGTAAGAGGAAAATCAGCCTGAATAAAGACAGAATATAAACTTCTCATATCAGCGAGTTAAAACAAGACTCGCAAAGGTTCAATAAAATGTAGGCTACGAGAGACTACTTTCAGCTTTATAGTGATGCAAATTCTCAAACAACACAGCAAAATGAATCATCCACCTGCAATCCTTTAAGATTAGACAGGGAAACAGAAAACAACTCACACAGAATCTCAAACAGAAGACATCGGCTCACGTTTCCACACTTCATTTTAGTACATACAGAACTCATGAATAGAAAAGCAGTCATATCAAAGTAAATCCAGTAGTGTGCGAGCAACACATACATGAAAATACGAATTCGCACTAGTATGCAAGCTTTAGACGACTTAGAGGAGTGAATACATCTACACCATTGTGACCGATTTTCGACCCTGTCGCCGTGAGGACCGAAACCAGGCAGTCTACACTGCCTCACATGCCTCAAATCAAAAGTAAGAGACTTCATCGACTGCTGCAACGTCTTAGTCTGGCCACCCTCAACCCTCACCCGACCTCATCACAACTTCCCCTAACATGGCACATCGAGGTGGATGGTGGCTAGACATGCGCCGTACATGACCAAACTATCTCAACCGATGAAGGTTCACAACCTCATTAATCGACTTGCCTGTCTTGCCTAGTACCCTTCCCCTGGTCTCAACATTACTCATACGGTGATTCTATCAAACGCGGACAATGCTACCAGGACATCTATTACCAAACACCTTCAACCGCTTCATATCGCCTACTTTTAACGGCCATGCCTCACAGTCGTATAACCGGACAGAACGGTCTGCAGTACAGTATGTTCATCCTTTAATATATAGCCAGGTATCTTACCGACTAGCGCCGGAGATGGCACAAGTTGTCAAATGCCAAACGGGCCTTCTGTGCCTGAGCTGAGAGTTCGTAAGGGACCAACCCGTCCGAGCTGATGCAACCCCCCAAGTAAGTGAAGTGGTCGACACATCCCACCATCCTGAGAGTACTTGCAGCAGACCAGTCATGCAGCATCATCTTACATTAGAGAGAAACGAAACGCAAGCCAAAAATACTCAGATTTCTGCTCAACGCCTTCACAAGACCGTGTGGATTTTGTCAGTGACTTCATCTAGTAGGACAATGTCTTCTGCATACTCCAAGTCAACCAAATAACTACCAGGAAGTAGACAGATCCCTGCGAAGTCATAGGTACTTAGGATTATGTCCACTAGTACATCTATGAAGAAGTTAGATAGGAACGATGACAGCGGACATCCCTGGCGAACACCACTACTTGTCGTACATTCGGGTGGCAACTCTCCATAAACGCTGACACGGTTGTATGAGTTCGAGCAGAGAGCTTTGTTTAGCGTTATATACTTGCTATGCACTCCTTTCACAGTCGGACACTGTCACAATGTCTCACGGTCGACTGAGTTGAATGTCACCTTCAGGTCAGGAAATATGGCAAGTGTCGGCCGCTGGTGATTATGCATGTTCCAGGTGGAAATTTGGATGATGTATCCTCTTCCAAGAGTGAAATCTGCCTGGTTTTCTCGAGTTTGCTGTTCTCAATGCTCCAGTCACGTCTGGGATAAACTATGGACCCAGGGATCTTCGACATGGTTTGGGGTCTAGATGAGACCCCATAAAAGAAAGAAGCAAATAAAAGAAAAACGAAGCATTTTATTTGCTACTATGAAATTTATATGGTAAAGTTACTTACTTTTAGGTCAGCAAATAGCAGTGCAGTTTGAGCATACTGTAACAAATTTAGTTTATAGTTGAATCGAAAATAAGTGATTCCCATAGACCTGACATTTCCACTGAGGGAAGTAGCCATGTAGTCCCACCGTTAATTGACTCTGAACCGAATTCAACTAATTCTTGCACTGGTAAAGCTTCATCACCACTAACCAGCTGGTAGACATGTACTAAAACAGGAGCAACACAAAGATTAACTGAACGACCGGCATCACTGTCATGAATTCCGTCAGCTTCATCAAGCAATAACTATATAGAGAAAAAGTAAAGAGCTGGGTAGTAAATAAAAATATATACCTTAAAGGTGTTACTCACAATGATAATTTAAAGCCAACTGAATCCACATACTCTAAGAGTAACTTCCGAAAATGAACAATATTTTGCGTTTCGCTCTAAGCGAAGTAACAATCCGAAGCCGTTGAAATCTAGAAGCTATCCGGGTATCATTTTTGACTTTGGGATATCTCAAAAACCTGTACATTGAAAAGATTTTTGGAACAACTACGAAAAGACTTATTATATCTGTACAAACTCAGTAGAATTTCTAATGATTGGTATTGTATGACCGTAGTTATTTTGACTTGTTTACATATCTATCCTTATCTTTTAACGAAACACTGAGGTTGTGATATAAAAAGTGGATATAAGTGACTTATAAAAGGGACGGAAAAGTTATGTGATACAACTTCAGTTTTCAGTAAACAGCAACTCATGAAAAATAATTAGTCACAGATTACAAATAAAGTATTGATAAAGTGAATTTTAATAATGTTTTACTGAAATAACTAAGAATCCTATTTTAAGTTCACTCAGTTGATAAGTCAACTATTCCTCACTGCCGCTTTTCAAAATTGAGTGGTTTTTCAAAGGTTAACTGTGATGTCAGGATTGATCTTCGAAACCGTCTAAATGACACATATTACGGTCACTGTAACAAAAACGTTAGAGTGGACTGACCAAAAATGCTATTGAGAGGTAAGATTAGCATTGAAGTTAAAGTGAGTTGGGGAAAATACTACACTAAATGATGAAATTCATGAAAAATCAGCAAGCTGACCAAGCAGTACTATAGATTTTTCAAATCAGTAGGTTAGATTTAGACAATATGAACACAAAGCGTAGAGCTTATTTTTCCAAGTACACTATCAATAGTAAAAACAGTTGTTCATTATTCCCAAAACTGACTAAAAAGATAAAAAGTGATACATATCAACGTAAATATCGTTCAGTTACTGTGGTTGAGAACAAGATCTCTTCAGTAACTTACCTTCAAAATTTCAACGAACAAACACGTTTAAAATCTGTGTGATGAAGTTACAGGAAAAGCTTATTTGTGTTTATAAACTCTACTTACATCAATTGAAACAACACAGTTAGTAAGAATCTCATGAACTTTTTTCATGTGGCCTTCCTGTGGTATAAAATTTAATTCATTATCAAGTTTGTTAAAAACAGTTGGTATATGTCGGGGACCAAGATGACGTAGAAATTCAACAACACACAATTCAATGGTAGAGAACTCTTCACAATTATATGGTGATACACAAACCTCAGCATGAACTGGTCGTAAGGAAGAATCAGTTATTAAATTTTGATGTTCAGATATACTGTTAGACAAGTTTAAACTGAAATCAAGTCCAGTGTTATTTTCACTTTGCTCATTCATCAGATGGCCTTTCAGGTTGTTACGCATTTCGATTGTATCTGGATTTCTTAAGGTAGTGTACAGTAGCTGGGTATTTGATGGTTCTGTTTCCATTGAAATAAAAAATGCTGTATGAGAATAACAAATAAAGACAAAATATTGAACTCTTAAGTATCTACATTAAGAAAAATTTTCGTCACGCTACAGTAAGTTCTAAAGAAAGAGCTACAAAAAGTTGTTTAACTTCGATTTGATTTAGTCAACTGATATATTCAACAATGATTTAGCTCAAGAAATACGAACAGCTTTGTTCACTGGACTGTAATTAGTCCACACTGAAAACCACAACCAATATCTGCTATCTTGACGTGGTGGTCGGACTTGAATATCACAATGACCCACAAGCTATTATGGTGATACGCTTGTTTCTTCAAGGTCCTACCATGTCAGAATGGTCTGTTGGATAATGGTAAGACCAAAAACAGTTACTACTATAATGTAAATTGATGAGGTATGACGGGGGTTTGAGGGAGTTGTACTGCTCCTAGCTGGATAAGGTGTGACAGCAGTAAGGTATTTCCCTTGGATGACCAGTAGTGCCACACTGATACTGCCTTTCCTGTGGAAAGAGTGTGTTGGAAAAGGTCACCCACCAAAACAGCACACCACCATCAACTTGCATCAAACCAGTGTCTGTGGAAAGCATTCACGGTTGGACTCCAATGCAAAAAACAAAAACCTCAAACTTGTGAAAAGTTTATGTGTAACCGGCCTCCAGCATGTCTCGTGGGCTCTGCGGTAACGCACTATCCTGTTCTTTCCAAGTACCTCAAGTGCAGGCAGCTGGGAAGTGTCAACCACCCGAATCCTTCAAGTAGTACACGAGACCCAGTCAAACATAATTTGTCCTCCTCAACATCGTCTCCTCCTTTGCCTTCGCCTCCTGATACCAATATTAGGTCTCTTACGCTTTCAACGTCCGAACTCTATACTAAATCAAACAGCAAGCATCGCTCCCCAAAACTCTGGAATTTCCAGTCATGGATGTATGCTGTATCTCTGAGACACGTATACAGGACCCAAATGCGGTTATTAAGTTGACCTCAACTGGCCAAAGTAGTGAATCTCCAAAATTCATCTTAAGAGTATCCGTAGGTGCAGTATCCAGCTCTCATCGACTCACTGGTATAGGTAGATCAATGAATTGTAGAGCAGAAAGTGCACTTCTAGATTGTTTACCACTAAACAGTTGTCTATATGCTGTTTGACTGAATTCATCTGTAACGACTAGGAAAGACTGTGAGACTAGGCGATGCCCACTCGTAATCTCTACCAACACACTCACTGACTGTAGTCTGGATCATGCAAAGGATGAATTCTATGATAAGCTGTCAATTTTTACTACAGAAAGCAAAACGTTCAGGTGTAATCATAATGGCAGGTGATTTTAACGCTCGAGTGGAGAAGCTGAGTCAATCAGAAAAGCATACTCAGGATATTTACGGAATCCCTGCCAACGAACCGACAACGGTGATTATCTGTGGGTAGTTCGTCCCAACAACCACTTCTTTCTGACCAGCAATAGCTTGAAGCATAACGACAGACTGTGTCTCATACGGCGTCCGTGGACATCAAATGAACGACGGATGCAAATAGATCATATTGCAACCATCCATTGTTGGAGGGGATAGGTGGAGGGTAGCCGCTCTCTCTTAAGTGCCAGTTTGCACTCCGATCAACCGTTAATGCTGGCACGTGTATGTCTGCGGCTTACTGGTCACAGGAAAAAGGCGATAACAAAGCCCGTTTATGCTCGATTGGAAGATAAGGGAGGAGTTAGCAAAGGAGCTACCTGAACATGACAGCAATGCTCATCCTGCTGAAATCTGGTATGATATTAAGTCTACTGTAGAAACAGTGGTAAAGACAAATTCTAACCTACAGCTGAAGGCTAGTAAAATTCATTGGATTTCCGCAACGTCATCCAAACTAACTCATGTAAGAACTGGTTCCAGCTGCCTCTGATCACAATAAAGAGTGACAGCAGCTGAGACGTAAGTTGATCAACAGTTCTCACATACATTGCGAACAGTGGTGGGTAGCGAAAGCAACAAACAAGCAGAAGATATATGCGTTTGGCAACATTCGGCTACTATTTAGGCTTCTGAAGGATACCCGTAAGAAAAAGACGATGACCATTGTAACCATCACCGAGAAGGATACGACGCTGATAACCTCCCACGACTGGTGGCTAGAACGTTGGGTAGAACACTTTGGAGCACATTTCAATTGGTCATCAACAACGCTTCAGTTGCCTAATATCCAGTCAGAACCTAAATGGGGAGTAGATCCCAGTTCTGCAACTGTTCCCACAGTTGAGGCCATTTGGAACCTAAAACGACGCAAAGCAGAAGGACCTGACAGTTTGCCAGCCGAAGTTGCAAGCATGGAGGTAGGAAATTGCTGATTAGAGGGATGGGGGTACTAGTTAGCGTATGGAAATCGAAGACGGGGTCGTCAGACTCGACTACTTCTCTGATCATCCCAGACCATAAGAAGAGAAATTTTGTAACTACCATACCGGAATTACTCCTAATATTATATCGAATATCCCATGGTCTCTAGTTATCCCCACACCCGACCGAAGCATTGAGAACAGCAAACTCGAGAAAACCAGGCAGATTTCACTCTTGGAAGAGGATACATCATCCAAATTTCCACCTGGAACATGCATAATCACCAGCGGCCGACACTTGCCATATTTCCTGACCTGAAGGTGACATTCAACTCAGTCGACCGTGAGACATTGTGACAGTGTCCGACTGTGAAAGGAGTGCATAGCAAGTATATAACGCTAAACAAAGCTCTCTGCTCGAACTCATACAACCGTGTCAGCGTTTATGGAGAGTTGCCACCCGAATGTACGACAAGTAGTGGTGTTCGCCAGGGATGTCCGCTGTCATCGTTCCTATCTAACTTCTTCATAGATGTACTAGTGGACATAATCCTAAGTACCTATGACTTCGCAGGGATCTGTCTACTTCCTGGTAGTTATTTGGTTGACTTGGAGTATGCAGAAGACATTGTCCTACTAGATGAAGTCACTGACAAAATCCACACGGTCTTGTGAAGGCGTTGAGCAGAAATCTGAGTATTTTTGGCTTGCGTTTCGTTTCTCTCTAATGTAAGATGATGCTGCATGACTGGTCTGCTGCAAGTACTCTCAGGGATGGTGGGATGTGTCGACCACTTCACTTACTTGGGGGGTTGCATCAGCTCGGACGGGTTGGTCCCTTACGAACTCTCAGCTCAGGCACAGAAGGCCCGTTTGGCATTTGACAACTTGTGCCATCTCCGGCGCTAGTCGGTAAGATACCTGGCTATATATTAAAGGATGAACATACTGTACTGCAGACCGTTCTGTCCGGTTATACGACTGTGAGGCATGGCCGTTAAAAGTAGGCGATATGAAGCGGTTGAAGGTGTTTGGTAATAGATGTCCTGGTAGCATTGTCCGCGTTTGATAGAATCACCGTATGAGTAATGTTGAGACCAGGGGAAGGGTACTAGGCAAGACAGGCAAGTCGATTAATGAGGTTGTGAACCTTCATCGGTTGAGATAGTTTGGTCATGTACGGCGCATGTCTAGCCACCATCCACCTCGATGTGCCATGTTAGGGGAAGTTGTGATGAGGTCGGGTGAGGGTTGAGGGTGGCCAGACTAAGACGTTGCAGCAGTCGATGAAGTCTCTTACTTTTGATTTGAGGCATGTGAGGCAGTGTAGACTGCCTGGTTTCGGTCCTCACGGCGACAGGGTCGAAAATCGGTCACAATGGTGTAGATGTATTCACTCCTCTAAGTCGTCTAAAGCTTGCATACTAGTGCGAATTCGTATTTTCATGTATGTGTTGCTCGCACACTACTGGATTTACTTTGATATGACTGCTTTTCTATTCATGAGTTCTGTATGTACTAAAATGAAGTGTGGAAACGTGAGCCGATGTCTTCTGTATGAGGTTCTACGTTGATTTTGTCATTAAATGTCAGTCAGTCTAACTGGAAACAGATAAATAAAATGAAATTCATTAACACATAGTTGACGGACTATTTTGTAGACAATAGAATAACAAAACAACAGTGAAGTACAGGTTTCTGAACTAGATTATAAATGTTGGTGATACTTAAGTGTAGCTTGAAATGATTTCGATACAGTGGATTCAAATTTGGAATCTTCTTTAGCACTGTAAATGAGTGATAAATCTCCGGTTGATTATTTCTTCAGTAATTGAAGAGCCAATAATGGAGAATGGAGTGGCCGTGCGAGAAAGTACATCTATGCTTATTATACTTCCCAAACAACAAATGCACTCAACTGTCTTTTCAGTTGATTTTGATTATTGAATAAAAAATACCTCAGTACTTAACAACTTCATTAGGAAATTTTAAGTGTATGCTGGGTGTATGCTATTCGTCATGAAACTTTTTGGAGTGTTAAGTGAAAAACTTCGTTTTACAACTTTTGAAGAAAAGGATTAGACAAGCGACAACGTTTAGTAACATCTGTTGAGGAATTCAGCAAATCTTGAAGAGCAACCTATGTGTACATGCGCTTAAGAACATTTTCAAGGAATCATATAACTCATTTCAAATACCTGTAAACTGCTAAAAAGCATTTCAGCCTCACGGTCACTGCTCAAAAAAATAATACTATGTCGTCGGTAGTTGAGTTTACCCAGTGTTTACCGTGCAATGCGTAGTTTGAGAGATTCATTAGGTGTTTTCAGATTAGTATTACACAAGTCCACTTACCAACCAAAATTACAGCTCCGACGAGAAATAAAATTCGAACCTATACACACGAAAATTTGTGTGAAAACCTTGAAGATCTTCAAGCCAATACGTACTCATATAGTTCTCGACATTATTTTAATACAGCTGTTGTTTTTACCTCTACTATACGGTGAAAACAGTTTTGTGAATAATTAGTAAGAGTATATGTCACTTTGTAACCTTTTCATAAAGAAAACATTTGGAGTCTAAAACAAACAAGTTAGCGTATAAAAAGATTCGTTTTCATTTACAGATGGTAACAGTGAACGGTAATAGATGTGACTTGACTAAACAAACATTAATTAGCACTCTTTGAAGTTACTGTTTCTTAGAGAAAGAACAAATGGGCTTTTGGATTTTTGATTTGGAACACATATTCAAGAAGTTCAATACTTTTACAAAACTAACGTCTCAAGCAAACTTTTATATGGATTTAGGACTAATAATTTTTAAACAATATAAATGTATTTGATAAGAACTCTAAACATTATGTACAAGTAGCATAAAATCTGGTGGGAAAAATTAATGTAGTAGAACTTCGCTGAAGGTTATTTACTGTGACTCAACTCTAAAAACCTTTCACATAATGCAGAAAGACCAGTAGCAGCTAAAAGTTGACATTCTGTATCCGTATCAGACAATGAGCAGGATTTCAGCCAACCAGAAAGAGTATTGTCATTACAGCTTTTGTTACTATGATGCAGCAATAATGATTTCCAGAAAATTAACCGTGGTCTAGACGATAGAATTTCCAGTGGAGTTGTAGTGATGACCGTCCCAACAGCAATCAATAAAGCACGTCGCACTGCAGGTTCTGGATGTCGATAAAACAAAGGAATTAGGTCCAGCAATTCATCAGCCATTTGATATTGAACAGGAGAGAACCGGGAGCAGGCGTAAATAGATCCTAGCGACGCTAATAAACTAGCCAACAAACCGGCATCTTGGTGAGCAAAAGTACCTTTGACGGAAGAAAGCGACAAATACGGTATGCTTTTTAACAGAGGAAAGAAAAACTCGCCGGCAACGGGGTGAAACCTGTTTATCAAGTTGGAAAGGAGTGGACGTTTTTTAAAGAATCTCCGAGTCTTCATGTTATGACCTTTGTTGTCTGAGATAACATCATCATTAACTGTTAGACGAACTGAAGGGGTTTCTGAGAAAGAAGTACCTCTTTGCCTCCATACAGTTCGCATGCAATGTCAGTAAGGGATGATATAATACTCATTCTTTGACCCACAGAATTATCTTCCCGACAAAACTCCGAAGTCAGGTATCGAGCACATTTTCGGGGAGCAACCACTCCAATAGCAACCAAAGCTCTACGTCTCGCTTGAGTTATTTGTTCCTGATTATGTGCTACAGGTGGTCCAGCATGAACAAGAGCACGAGCGAACTCTACGGCCATTTCCTGTGCTGCTCCTGGGTGAGCACGAATAAGCTTTTCTGCAGACATCGTACATGCAATATTCACTTCATTATCTTTGATCTCAGATAATAACATTCCATCAAGACATTCACGAAGGTAACGTGGTTTTTTAGCACTGTAACTTGAAGAATGAGTGGAGGGAAGTGGTTTTAAGGAGTTATTGTCAGTATCTGCATCATCATCACTATCCAGTTCATAAACAGTTTGTTCCGCAGCACCGTGATTTTCGTTGTCCATCACTGAAATGTGACAACGGCAAAAAAATTCCATTACTGAAAATAATAAAGCTATTACTATTCTAATATAACTCTGGTATGGTGAAGAAGTAAACATGAAGAAAAAACACTAAGCAATCTTAATTGTGGTGATTCAGACCCAGTATGTAACAACTTTATAGGTACGATAAATATATAAATTATGTGGGAGTTATAGACAGTTATATTATGCACTGAAACAAAAGGATGGGAGAAATATCAATAACACACATTGGGGAAATCTAAATCCACTCAATAACCTTGTGCACATTATTGTAGTAGGCAATAAGGCCACACCCATTGTGTGAGGGCTAAAGATACTAACTGGTACATGAAGCTGAGTTCGGACCGTTGGCCCATCAGCTGGAAACTAAGTACTTAGTCTAATGAGCGACAGCTCCAGAAATCGGGTAAATACCTATGCGATAATCCTACGTGTAAAGTCAATATGTTTACTGATTTTTACAGTGCGACGTGTACGTCGAATAGGTAAATAGTCACACAGCTATAAATAGTACCTCAGTCTATTATGCAGTAGTTCTTGTTGCAAAATCTCACATCACCACATGAAAACAGAAGGTAGTAAGAAGGATGACAAGGAAATGAAAATGATATCAGTTGTAGACAACTACAAGAAGGGAGATGAAGGGAATAAAGATACGTGACACAAAAACTAACCTCAAACAGACAAAGGAGATAAGGCATATATGCATCACAACTAGTCACTTTTGAAACGAATTAGTCTACAGTTATCGTCTTCGGTTGTTTCATCGATATCAATCATGAGGACAACATTTCTTTACATTCATGTTGGTGACTAGCAAAGGAATCCACGATGCGCGTTTCGGCCTATTTGGGACTTGCCAGTCGGATTTATCTGCACCTCAGTGTGTTGTTCTTACGGAGACCCGAACCCTAGACGCATCGCTTCAAACGCCAGTGTTGTCCATGGGATGCGAGCAATCCTATAGAGACAATGGTGGTCTTAAACGCAGTCGTTGAACATCATCAGCTCACGTGGGCCAGGTTTTGCAAGAGCATACCACTCTAGTTTCCAATTAGCGATTGGAAATCTTATCAATCACACCTCCACCAGTACTCTCACAAATACGCAGGTACACAAAATTTTCCACAACTTTCAACCGTTTTTCGTTAAGATTGACTGCGGGTATAGACATCTACTTACTAATCATGTAGCAGAACTTTAAACTTTGACGATACAAAGCACATACTTACGGACACTCATAGATAACTGAGTGTGTAATTTGAGTAGCCTGCAAGTTATTGCACAGTAAAATGATATCACCGGCATACTTGAGATCGATAGGACTTTCGCCCGGTGACAAATCAACACCACTACTAGACAACCCACTCACGGCTGTTTATAGAATGTCATCGATGGCAAATATGAAGATTAGTAGAGAAATGGGGCGACCATGCATAAGCCCATTATTGGGTTTTGAACATCCTTACCTCAGACAAACAGGGTTTCAAAAGTTCAGAGTAGAACTGTCCACACCAACGCGTTGTATATTTGATCTTTTACAGCAACGTTAACATCACAAAGAGTTAGTATTAACCAACCACAGACCATAATACATTGAAGTCGATGTTACTAGATCAGTACGGAAGCTGAACTGCATTTCGAAATGCTGTATGCAGCGCTTCAAATGTCTGTAACAACTGGTGACCGAAGTAGCGTCTTCTTCATAGAGCGTCTTACTGACAACAGGCTACTTGCTGTTAGTGGCTCAGATGAGCTAGAACAGCTTTCAACTATTACAAAATGCAGCTGTTGCTTTCATTTTATATGCCTTCTAACCGACAGGCCTCACAGTTCTTATACAAATGATGCTTATGTGTCACATAAGGGACTTAGGTATCCAATTGCATTCGCTGCCTGCTACAATACACCGAGGAGTATCGAGAAGTTGTGAGGCGTTTGTAGACTCACTGTTTGCTGGTGGGAAGTTTATCAGAGCAACATATGGCTTTGCTTGTCATATTTGTGGCATCTTGAAAGTGAATCCGATACTTATTTACACCTTGTAGAGGTTCTACAGCCACCCTTAAATCCAACTCGGTTTGACATTTGGTTGAAATACCATATACAACTAACTTTTTTACATTGATCCGTTTAGAAAGATAAGTTTGATGACCGCCAAAACGTGAGATGAACTTAGCATAGACTACAGCGTGATAACGTTCAGATAAGTGCTCCAGAAGGAAAGGTATTTCTGAATATACACACACCTTAGGTAGATGATGACTGCAATACCATTTACTGGAGTCCAAGCATGAGTGGTAGATGGAAAAAATCAAGAAGCACAACGCTGATGACCGTATCGTAAGTCAATGCCTGCTAGGAACAGATTGTAACCTGTGTAAAGCTGCGGGAAGCATTCTTTACTATCTAACTTGCTACCGTCGGGCCTTGGCACCCAATCTGTGCATTGAAGTCCCCAGATAGCATTAAGATATTTATCAGAAGCCCTTGGTGTAGGTTAGTCAACGGTAAAACCCATCCTTAGTTGCATTCAGGCTGCAGTCAATTTGAGCATACGCAGCGATGACGAAGTGACACCGTTTACCTTCCTACCTACCAATCTAACCGACTAACAGCACAAACGTCTGTTGATGAAGCTCCAATCAATCATTACAGCCCCAGTTCCGGCGCAGTGTGGCACCAACACTTGTAAAACCAGATGCCCTTGTCACACGATCCTTGGAAAAAAGCACTGTGAAAATTATTTTTGACTCGACAGGTTGGGGGGGTTATACAAAATACTTCACTTGAATCTTGTATGTGGACCTCCCAGATGGGACATACATTGATAGCGAGGCTTTCTGCAGTCCTAGTTAAACCTGCCTGATCTATGCTTAGTTTCGAAAGCTGAAGACATTCAGCCTAAACGGTATGCGCCGTTTCAAAGTAGTTGTATAAGGCATCGTAATGAAAGACAACTTTCTAAAATCAACTGTTTAGCAACTCAAGATGAACTAGACACTGGAGAACTTCAATTAATGGCTGATAGTCGAGTAAAACCAAGATACACATAAAATGTACTCTGAAAATGATAACGGAAAGACAGCATAGTTCGTGTATAGAAATAAAAATATGAAGATAAAAAGTGAATGATTGAGTAGAAATTTCACTGCAAACTGTATTTGGAATAATGCTTTGTAGCCTACACCGTTAATGATGATTTGTAAGTTGTATGTTGCCGGAAACTGTTCATACTCTCAGAAGAAAATAGATAATTGTCGTAGGGGACCATCCGCCGAACCTCTGACTTGAAGAGAAAGAACGGAACCCACCTAGCCTTCTGCACATTCTTGCAGTAAGCAATGAGCCACACTTATTGTGAGAGGCCTATTGATACCACCTGGCTACCCAAACCTCGGTAGGTGGAGCGGCGCTCGGACCCATCATCATCATTATCAATATAGGACCAGGCGTTACTGCGTAACGGTCCGAGTTGTCATAAGCCTGTTGACCAATTTGACGGAGGGTGCGGACATTGAAGGCTCCAATATGTAATTTGGAGCGTGGTTTAAGGAGACCAGTGATGCTGTTCTGTGGACTCAGATCGTTGTCAAAGGCTGCAGAGGTGGGAGAAATCGAAGATGATGCAGCATCATTAATTAAGAGACGTGAAGGAAGATTAGAAGGTAATGATGGAGGAGGTGGATAGCAGTCAGAAGAAACTTGAGTGATGACAGAGTTGTGAGGGCGGTTGACACTTCCCGGCTGCCCACACCATGGAAGGCTATTTCTTCTTAAGGTACCTGAAAGAGATTTGTGTGACCGCAGAGCCCATCGGACATCTGCTTGAGGCCTGTCATATGAAGCCTTTTGAGTACGATTATTTTGAACTTTTGTATTTTTGGGGCCGGATGGTAGAAAGGAAACGACAAGTGAACCAACACCACCGGCCCGGCAGACCGTGGGGCATGGTGGAGTGTGTTATTTTTGGGGCCGACCTTTTCTAACCCCCCCCCCTTCTACTGAGAAGGCAGCATCAGCATGGCACTGCTGGTCATCCAAGGGAAACACCTTACTGCTGTCACACCCCATCCAGCTAGCAGCAGTACCACTTCGCCCTTAGACCCCCATCATAGTGTAGCAATTTACACCAAAACGGTAACTGCTTTTCGTCTAACCACTATCCAACAGACCTTTCTGGTGTGGTTGGGGACCTCGAGGGAACAAGCGTTCCACCAGCATAGCTCGTTGGGTCATTGTGATATGCGAGCCCGACCACCACGTCAAGGTAGCAGCTATCGGTCGGGGGCGCTCGGACCCATGACCCAGTGGTCGAGTCATTTTCCTAAACCACTGAGCTACAGCCCTACGAGGTAGCAGAGTACTGTAAGGTGTCCTATGCCAGTGGTTGCAAATGACCAAGGTAGATTCATTAGCGATTCATTCGTCCTGGATAATTAGGTCCATGTGTACCACTGGCTTGGGGTTAACCGACTCCAGTAGATAAGCTCTTCACACACCCCCAGTCAAGTGAAAACGCTGGGAATTCGCCTTTACTCTCTCACTTTAATGAAGACACCCGATACATCAAGGTAGTCAGTGGAAATTCACGAACAGAGGCTATAAAAGCGTGGCTCCATGAAAGCATCTCGAGATGACTGGTATCATCCCACTTACGGTCATACCGAGACACTTGGGAGAAAGACACACAAGTTTGGGAGTACATGAGGTTAGTATCACGTCTTAGTCCGGTCATGTTTAGCTATATGAGTGAATTTTTCACACTTACTATATTGGCCGAGTAAGGTTAAGTATGTAACTCCACTTGGTTCTTGTGTCTCAAACACACAACACATGTCTATAGACTGAGATAACGCAGTTTTGACTAGCAAAAATGGCTGTCCGATGTGAGGAAGAGTTCGAACACTGAGAGCTCTGATATGTACTTTGCAGTGCGGTTTCACAAGAGCTACAATCCTTATCATGGGACGTAGAGCTGGAAGAAATTAAAGGTGACATCGAATTATTCACAATGTGTGGAAAAGATTGGAAGGCAAAGATATGGAAGGCTGATAGTGTTCCGAAGCGATTTGTTTACTGAAGGAGATGCGAAAGTAATTGATTCTTGTCGACTGTCCACACCGTGTAAGGCTATTTGCCTCTGCGGTGCTTCAAAAAACGGTTAATAGTGATGAATGACCATAGAGCCTAAAAGACGTCAGCTTGAGTTCGGTCACACACGGCCTTTTTCGGAAGTTTGAGACTTGACCATTATTATGTTAAATCCAGCTGCGAAGTTCAAGCCATGGGCATCAAAAGGCGGTAAAGAAGGAAGCGATGTGTCGTTAGGCGACAACGTTTTCTAAGCTAGCCTTCCTATTGTGAAGGCAGTATCAGCATAGAACGCTGGTTGTCGCCAGAACACGTTGCAGGGGTTATACGGTATCCAGCTAGCAGTACGACTTTGCCCTCACAGTGTAGCCATTCACATTATGATAGTAACTGCTTTTATTCTTAATACTTTCCGATAAACCTCTTTGGTAAGACCTTAAGGAGCAATCGTCCAAGTCAGTGGAAGTCGCTAGGTGTGCTCGACTAAAACGTCACGCTAGAAGCTATCGGTGCGGACTTCGTGACAGCGCAGGAAAAAAACCAGAGATAGAACGGATTAAGATAAGTAGAATATACAATTGAAGGTCAATAAAATGCTTAGCTTTTTAATGATAATGGGTGAATACACCTGCATCAGCGAAAATGATTTCAAACCAAACCAACTAGCCCCAAACCAACAACCAGACACTTCATGGATCATTGTCACGTCTTGGTCTGATTACCTTCAGCATTGTTTACCGTTCATGTTTACTTACCCCGGCATCCGACGTTATGGCATGTGAGGACTTAGCATGCAAAATATATGTATCAACCACTTCAGTCGGTGAATGATCACGAATTTATCGGGAGACTTAGACATTTAGAGGAAAACCCTGAAACAAATACTTTACTTAACCTTACGGTTTCTGAAAGCAGAAGGCGAGGATATTACAGAAATGATACTAAAACTCTGCTTTCGCTTTCTTCGTGACAAAATTTGTGTCTACATTCACTTAATTAATCTGCAACCACTGTTTAATATTCCTGTTAACAAAATATTACCTCTGATAATATAAGTGAATAAGAGGCATATATTAGGTTTCACTAGTTAAAAGCCTAATATCTTGGAAGTTTGGTACGTCTCGTTTGAGATGCATGGACGAAATTAATGCCAGATTATTTACTCAGAGTTATCGTTTGTGAGGAGAATTTATATGATGTACGGACTGTAGTAACAATGAATAATCATGCCCAGAATGTAGTCTAGTGAAGGAAACCGTTTTAATGTGAAAAATACTACAAGCATCTAAAAATAAAATCTGCCACCCTGCTCAAGCTTTACTACTGTGTTACACCCAGCTTTATCTTACGGTGAAATGATGGGTAGATCCAAACAAAACCTTAAGGTATTCGACAAAAATCCAGAAACGAAGTTATATCAAACAAACATGTATCAAAAAACATCTACCGCACTCACCTAAATCGACGTCAACCTTGTTACAACTGCTTTTTGATACTAAGTCGGTGGTGGTATCCTGAGAATCAGAAGTAATACAGGGGGTTGCTTCCAGAGAAACAAAATACGGTCGAATGCAACTGAGAAAATCCAGCTCTTCGTATTCGAATTTCAACTTCTGATCCCTATCCTTAGCACTCCAATTAAAAAGCTCCACAATCCACTCCCCGATAACCATACCTAAAGTACGAATCTCGTTTCGTGGACTTCCTAGATGATTAGTGATTCCGGATAGAACATCAGGATAAAGGTGATCATCATTTATATGGAACTTAGAACGTAGAACATTTCGAAAGTCGACAAACCACGAAATCAATATCTGAGACAGGTATATGCGCCTCTCCAATGAAGCTGATTGTATGGAGTTAACGTCTGACCACAGACGAAGAGATGGAAATCCTAAATCTTCATCGACCTGGTTAATCAAACGACCAGACTTCTCAGCCAAATCATTTTTTTCTACTTCTATGGAAAAGGATCTAAAAATGTTTCTAATAGTACTGCCCGTTTGGAACTGGCGAATATAAAAGAGGCGACGACATAACTTGATATAGGCATCAAAGCCATGAGGAGTTGATATAATTTCTGATATAAGTGTATAAAATAGTTCATAAGTTGGGCACTTCTTGGCCAACGGTGATAGAGTTATCTCCATGCTCTTCATGTTGATGTAAGCCAAAGATTTAGACCAAATATGGATGAATTTATGCGTAGTATGTTGCAAGATAAAATCGGAGACATGTTCCGAATATCCTATTCCACAAAAGCAACTTATAATCAAGCCCATGAGTTGAAAAATACTTTCTGATGTGTTTGAAATAAGCTCAAACGACGACATCACGTTTTTGACAAAATTACTTTCATCAGTCAAGTAAGAATCTCCATGATTTGAATTGGCGATGCACACCGGGATTTTACACAACAACCTAGCCCTATGCTCTAAGAAAACAGCGACAAAGTCTGATCTGGCTTCTGGATTGTCTATACATGCAACGATAAAGTCAGATATTCTACAAGGTTTTGAGAAAAATCTCTCCAATTCTGCCACAAGTGACTCAGTTTTACTAACAGTGCGTTGGTTCAGAAAGCTACATATACATTCAAGCCAAATATCAGCCTTGGAAAACTCAGTAGCAAAGCTGGCTAGCAGCAACATATCAGGACATGATGACTCGTCATTAGCATCGAAAATACTACGCATAATGCGATGAAAATACTTCTCGTAAAGTAGCTTTTCATCCTCAAAAGTGACTTCAAATTCTCCTTGTCTGAATGGATATTGAAGTATATTTTTAAGACATGCGATTGCGTTTTTATTTTCTTTGTTGGTTAAGAAGTCATCCAACACCTTTATCATCTTACAGTAACGCACTACTTAACTGGCCGCTAAGTTGAAAGTGCCAACAGTATTCAACCTCTTGATTACTTTAGAATGGTTCACGAGGAAGAACAGAACAGTAAGGATCATCTTTTTTCCCATCAACTTGTGGTGCAATGAGTTTTTCAAAACTCAAATACCTGACATTGAAAGCTTATAAAGCTTTTAGTCAAGGCTGGTTTTCATGGTTAAAAAAAGCTTTAATTTCCAGTATGTGTTTCATGAGTTTGTGTAAACTAGGTGATTCCTTTCCACCCTTCGATCTTGCGAATTGGCCTTATATTTTTACCAGATTCCACCGCAGTATATATCAGTTTCCAGTTTTCCTTGAACACGCTGACCAAAGGTTCTGACACTACTTGCTGGAGCTGTGAGTTCCAGTCGCTGACAACACGGCGGAAGGAAAACAGATTCTAGACAAGTTGATCAAATCACATTATTCGGAGTCTCTTTGGATTCCCTTACAAATCCTGTATCCTAGAAGGAAAAAAGATGGGACTTATCAGTACCGAAGCCCTTGTTGAGGAAAAGGTGTACCAACATGAGATTTCTCCACGGGAGCAAATTTAGCAGACCTAATCATTCTTCATGGGAGGAGACTGAAAATGCCTGCCACTAGCTTGGTACCACGCTTGAGTATGTCAACATCCGTTTGTAGCCATGAACGGATCGCCTGAATGGAGTATTTCAAGTGAGGTCCAAGGTAGGTGGAATCTAGTGTCCTGGACATATCCTGATCAAAACTTCTGAAAGCTCCCCGTATTAACCATAGTACATGGGAACTATTTGCCAAAGCTGAGTTGCCGTGTGCTGACGTTTTCACGTCTTACGGTTCAGTGACTGACAGGAGTGCTGTACTATCAACAGAATAACGTGCGCTCCTTAACCACCGACATGTTCTGACTCATTTGCATTCTACTCGGAAACAACCATATGTGAGCCTTCCCAATCGGATATTTCCTCTATGAAAGCTGCAGTTCTACTGGAAAACACGCTTTTCTATGGAATGTGTAATCCTCAATCGGTCACTACCTCCACTCTCCAAATGGACAACTGTTTGGTAGATCTAACTGTCCCGATCAACCGCTGTAGCTCATGTTGCCGCATCTGCAGCACCGCTTATTTCACTGGATCATAAACTTTAGACTTGCGGGAAGACCTTGGCATTCTTCCGTGTCGTACAACCTGGCAATCCTCGGCGAGATAGACAACTTGCTTTGCCTACCACCGCTTGTCTACATTTCACTTGATACAACCATCTGTGTCAGTTATATCCCTTCTAACCACCAGTGGAAATGAGTAACGGAAGAGTCGTAGCCATATCTGTTCTCAGGAACATCTCAGGTAAGGCTTCACCTCAGCTATTAACTTCCCCATCTATGGTAGTAACTACGGCCGGAGGCAAAAGGCCAGATGCCACCGCAAAAAATCACGGGTCGACCTCAGGAAGACAGTCACAACTGCCACTTCCTGTCTCTCTGTACCCTTGTACTGTAGTTCATTGAAGAGCATATCTTTCCGGCACCGCCAGCTCAAACCCTAGTCTACCTGTGAAAGCTACGACAGACAGGCTGAAGAGGAGGAATCTGAAAGTCTTTGACTAAACCCTGTGGTCAGACTGACGACTGTTATAAGTGTGGTCTCACTGTAGCCAAGACGGGTGCTGCCTTTGAGTGTAACATCTGCAGCAAGCGGGCACATAGTGAGTGTGATGGGGACTTACCGACCAACATTACACCCTCATGGTGTGCCACCAATGCACGAGGTTCTGGTATATTTGGCCACAGTGCCGTATTGGACCACTCTTCCCTACAGGCTCGCTTAGGGTGGCCGTCACAGTGGCTACTGTGATGCCGGCATCTCAGAGGCCACTGCCCCGGGTCCAAGCGACAAGAGTCTCAGCATCGTTCCTCGAGCAGCCGTACCTGTGAACAGTCCAGGAGGACCCAAACGACGACTAGGCACGCGACCTGAAGTCACTTAGCTGCTACCCCACCGTGCATAGAGAAAATTGGTTCACGTTGGTAAAGAAGTCACACCATTTCCATAAGGATCCGCCCCTGCACGCGACAACAGAGATGTTGATGATATTTCAAATTCCATCATCTTATCTTACGTCGTGTGCTATGACAGCCTTCTTGAGAACGGAGAGTCTTTTGATAAACTGCAGTGGCAAACGGTGTGCGTCATACCAGGACTGAGCGGCTTAGATGCAAAGTTGTTTCGGCCCTACAAAGGCAACCACGCATCTCGGGGAAACCCCTCACCGATGACAGTGACCATGAGCTCAGCTAAGGAAGCGGAAAGATTCTTGATGCCATCAACACACACTAGTCATCAACCGATCATCCAGTACTAGAGCCAGACCAGACCATCCTTGGTCAGCGAGAAGCATCTAGCGAGGCACACCACAGACTGAAACCAGCAACCATGGTTGTCCACGGCATACCGGAACCAGCAACCGGCCAAGTCGTAGAAAGGTATGCACACAGTTATTTTTGGGGGTTTCATAGAGTCTAGGCTGGTTTGGATATCTTGTCTGTTGACAGTGATGATTTCAGCACTGGGCGGAGCTGTCATTTGCTGTTGTCACAGTGTCCTGGGCCTGTTTTCACAGCAGCGAGCGATCCCACCGATGTCACCTTTAACTGCATATCAAGTTTGCAGTAGTTTTGTTACAGGACCCTGGGACCCGAAGTTGACAGCCACCAACCGGGGTGATAATAATGATATATATCTCATACAACATAGGTTACATGAATACAAACCAGTCTACAGGTGTGATCATCTTGGCAATGAGGAACGACTATTATGTACGGCGTTGAGCTGTACATTGGATACCGCTATCCATGGCATATAAGAGGTGTGTTGAAGCAGGCTCAGTTCGAGATTAGGAATTATTCTGTTATTGTCCGAATCTTCCAATATTCTTGAAGGTGTGGCAGGCGTGTGCGTTCGTCATAAGGTTTTGATGGCATGGTGCACACTGACAGATGTGATTTCTAGGATCCCGTTTGATTGCAGGACTGGTCAGGTAAACCTGAAAAGTGAATAACAGAAGCGAGCAGAAAGCGAAATTCGAAGCAGGAGCACAAAAATAGGCAGGAGTAGATCAACCATGCTACATGTGGATGAGTTCTTTTTACTGACTGCAAAACTTACTTAAAGAGGTATCCGGAACCAACTGTTTGGAGGTAAGCTTAGGTGGAAGAAGATGAAGGTACGCACGACAGTAATGAAAATTAGTCTGAAGCCGGAGATACCACTACGAAATAGAGAGATGCGTAACCACAGAGTGTTAATTGAAACTGAGTGTTGACTATGAGGTTGGGAGATAGTTTCTCCCTCAATGAATTCTCACACATTTGGAACGGGCTTCCAGAAGAAATTCTTACAGCAAGCTCGTTGACACTTTTCCTCCCTTCACTTAATAAGCCACTAATAAACGATAAGTCTATCGGTTAGTTAGTCACCATCTCTGCATCCTGGGCCAATGAGGATAAACTTGGACCTCCAAATGCATGAAAAAAAGCTATTACAATCCTCATGTTCCTCCTACACTTATGGGTTGAGGATTGCTTGCAAGGGTGTGAGCACTGGTTCCCCTCCTCACTATAATGAACTTATGTACACTGGTTCCCTCCTGAAGCTACTTCAATACACCCCAGGTGCAGAAAAGCTTTAAGAATCTTATAATGGAAAAACTATGTGGTTAATCACACAAACATGCATGAAAATGTACATAAAGCTCGGATAGGTCCTAAAGTATAGGAACTTCCTTCTTTTCCAAGCCGGTCTGCGTGGTAATTCCCTTTCCCATATCTGCTCATGACTCTTCTTTCTTTCTTACTTTACGGCAACAGCTCGATGACGACATTCAGTGCTGAATTTCAATCTGGACATATCTACCAATTGCAAATAATATCTGCTGTTTAACTCCATGAATTATTGAACTGCTCCCAATCTTTCGCGGTTTCTGGAACATCCTCACAATCAACTCATCAGCTGGTCAAGATTCTTCTTGCGATGAACCGTCTAAAGTTTCTCAACAGCCCTAGCGGCACAAACATTCTGAACACACGATCAAACGAGGGACCAACATACCTTTCGGCTTAGAATACGACTTGCCTGCAGTAATTTCACACTACATGTTCTATAATACTCCGTATCAAGTGATCTTGCCAAGTAAAAGTTACCATGCATCAAATACGTTTCCCGAATGATGCTGATTACACTAATATGAACGATGCCTTAAGTCCATATGCAGCTGCTGCCGTTTGGACTATTAACCGTCTCAACCTCTACCGTCATCTACTACTAGTAGTACTCTCCGTGGAATTATTGTGTACTACCTTTAAGCCACATAGTGAACTGGAAATGCATGGATTTAGACACTCACCTTGGTTATATAACTATGGGTACTTACTGATACTCAAGATCGTATAAACAGGCCCTTTGTGGTTAGCAGAGCTAAAAGCTGAAGAACTTTCTAGTGAATGGATGTTTATATAACTAAATAAGGAACCATGCAAATGGACTAACAATGTCGTCTGGTTATAACTCAAACTTCGAACATTGCGCGCTTTTGTTGTTGAAAGTGGAACTTATCCGTGAAATGACAGTTGAAAATCCATACCCGTCTCTTGATATGCAGCACGTTTTAATAAGTTTGTGCATATCAGTAGCTTGCTATGTGAGGAATATAATTCCCGGCATTATTCTGTAAACTTTCAAAATCATCATTTTGACGGTGCTTGTGAACTGGTATCTGTCATGTTAAATCCATTATATGGGAATGGGAATTTTTGTTATCTTCACTTTGACGCACCGCATGTACTGAAAGTGGTATTTGTTGCCCCATGACCGCGACCTGGTGTTTTTGATAGAGTTAAACTACCTCCCCTCTGTACTATTCAGGAACCGTAAAATCTTGTGGGTTTTGCAACATATATCATTGTGATGATGCCTGTAAACTGGCT